TCCACATTTTTCTTCTTACAACAAGAAACACCAACCACCAGGCCCAATGCTGGATTATGTTTCGTTAGGATTGAAGTTCTTATATGCTAACGCGGTAACGAATCATTGATGCATTCGATGATAAAGAAAGATTATGAAGCATGTCTAAACAAATGTTTCTTCAAAATTATCAATGGGTCAATCATAATTTCAACGTCTTTATTGCAATAATGAATAAAATATTCTAATCTATTCTCAAAATTTTTAGCATCATTGAGATATATTTGATAATCTGAATCGGATATTGTTTCTTGAGTTAATGCTGAATAAAATGAATCTTGAGTGAATGGTTCACTTTATATAATTCATCTTCGTAATTCTCCCATGTTGATGAATTGATAGGGAAAAAGGATTTAACACGTGATTTATTGTTTCCGAAATCTTGAGTGAATTGGTCTAATGTTCCACCCGCTATATAATTTCTGATGTCAATAAATCTTAATTCATATGGACAGTTTGTTTTCTTTACAATGATTTGCTTAAATTGAGAAGAAGAACCCAGCATTGATTTTATTTTCCATTTTGCAGTGTTTAAATCACGAAGAATTAAATTTAAATCAAACTTTCCCGAATTAAAACCTATGATATTCACTTTATTGAATTCCTCATCTAGAAGTTCTTTAAATGCTTCCTTCTGTTTTTCATTTAATGTATGGGACAAAGTCCCCGCCGTTTGGTCCGTTTGCGGCTTCATTAATTCTTCATATTGTTCAATATTTGATTCAACAACTAATGAACAGGTTGAAAATAAAAATTCAATCCAATCAGAGATGAACGAATCACTTGATGTTAAGCAAAAATTCCTCGTAAATGTTTTATCACGGTCTACGACCTCGCCGCTTCGGTCTGAAAGACCTTCAGGACTCAAAGAGTCCGTTTGCGGCTTTTATTTTGACAGTTGATGATACCATAAATGGTTTTAAGTAAGCGTTCAAAGTTGCACATTCAGAAAGTTGAAGTTCTTCTTTAGTCTCTAATGTTTCGGAGTCAAAAGTAATATAATATCTTGTCGGTTTATAATATTTCTGCAAATTGTGAGCTAATAAACCACTGATATATCTTCTGTTTCGTAATATGTGGTGCATATGTTGCTGGGTCTTTTGCAATTGAACGTCTTGAATTAATCTTCCATTATTTTCTTTACATTTCTCACAATGCTTTAAAAATCTTCTTTGGTTTTTCCTTTCTGGGTCATCACGGATAGGATAAACTTCTTCTTTACAATATGGACAAAATTTATAGCCGTGAGTGCTTCAACGTCTTTTATTCTGTCAGCGTGAAGTTTTCCACATGGACTCTGTGTAATAAAATATTTATTGTTTCAAATTCTGGATCTATCATTATTGAATCCACTAATGGAAAGTCTACCTTATTTATGTCCACGTCTTCTGGTTGAGGATCACAATAATAGAAATCAATATTAACATTTAACATTCTCGCTAATCTCTCACTTTCTGATGAAATGTCAAACCCTTCATATGCATCTATTGCTTCATTTAAATAGCTTCTACGAGTTTTAGGATTAACACCATCAGGAATGTTATAGAAGCGTTTAAATAACCTTCTACCTTCTGCTCTAATTTGATTATCATTCATTTTAGCTGTTCCGTTTTTGTTCATTTATGTAAGAATAAAAAATTAAAAAATAAATAAAAATAAAGTTTATTTTTTTTTAAAGTCCAGGGCTAAAGTCCATAAAATGAATTAAGAACACATAAATTTTTATCATCTGCGACGTGACGAATACATTTTAATTTACTCAAGAATCGTACCCTGATACATTAAATCTAATTCCTGTCTTATTTAATTTCACAACTTTGAAAGAGAATGTATGAATAGCTTATAAAATGATGAGATGATGTTTTATGGGTTGCTTCCATTTTTTCTGAAATAAAATGAATAAATATAATGTTTATAAGTTTTCATATCTTTTATATTCTTAATAACGAATGGTATAGACCTTTCAACTTCGTCTTCCTTCGGTGCTGTTCTTTCATATGAAACATTATTAGTATCTTCAATAATGAAACCACAATCGCATAAAATTTTATATGTACCAATTGTTTCTTTTTGATATTTTATCTAACAAATCAAAAACTTTATCAACACCTGCACATTTATTTAAATAATAATTTGTGTAATATCATGGTCTTCTTTCTTAATCGTATTTGTTGCATATGTTACATTTTTCAGTGCTTTTTTGAATTTTTCAGAATCAAGAGGAGGTGAAAGTAATATACATGGATAATCTCCATCGTCAATAAATTGTAACTTATGTTTATGAATAAATTTTGTGCCTTCTTCTGAAAGTGTTTCATCTATTTCACCATCTAATAAATTTTTAGTAGATTCCAAAAAGTAATTTTTATATCTTTCTTCATGAGATTTTTGAACTTCTGATTCTGAAGCTGGGATATTCATTAAACCCTCTACTTCATTCTCATTATATTTTTCAACTTCTCTTAATTCCTTAATTTTTCATCTATTTCATCTCTTATTTTTTCCAGTCTTTCAATTTCATCATATTCATCATCTTTAATCCGTTCTTCATAATATTCAGGGAAAACATCAGGTTCTTTAGGTTTTTCTTCTTCAGATGTGGGATATAAGAAATTTATAACATCATCTTTATTCATTTTTCCATCATAATCTAAATCATTTAATAACTCCGCGAATTTTTGACAATTTCTTAAATAATATTTATTAACTTCATAACTCGCCTCCTCTAATATATCCTTTATTTCCTCGTTTGTGAATCCCAATTTTTTAACGTCTTAGTCTTGACACTCATTTTCATACGAATTAAAAAAATAAATTATTCAAAAAATGTAAGACATGAATTTTTAATATTGGTTTCATACAAAATAAAAATAAATTATTCATAAATGTAAGACATGAATTTTTAAAGTTTATTTTTCATTCATGAATGATAATTATATCTAATTTCTTTTACTCTCTCGTATATACTAGATTTAAAGAATTCAGAACTTTTACCATAATCTCCTAAATGTTTTCTAATCCCTAACGTGTGCCAGTTATTATATGAAACTGTATAAACTTTATCTTTATCTTTGCATCTTTCATCACTTCCAATATATTTATATCTCAGTTTTGATTTTGCATTTTCATAATCATTAACGTTTAATAATTCACAGTCTTCCTTTTTAAATAAATGTTTAAGATATTCAGGATTTAATACTCTACGTTTATATGCTCCTAACTTAGTTCTAAAGGTTTTTCTACAAAATTTAGGAATTCCATCCTCTTTAATGTCATCAATGATTTCCATTTCATTATTTTCAATTTCTTCTTCTCGTTTATGAGGTCTTTGATTATGACTCCATTGATTCCATGAAATTAAATATTCTTTATCATTATATTTATACCTCATTAGCTTATTTTGGCTTTCATATTCATTTAATAATTCACAATCTTCATTTTTAAATTGAAGTTTAACCCATTCAGGATTTAAACAATGTTTAATTAATCGCGGAATATCTGACATCATCTATATATAGCTTCTTTTATAAAAGATAAAAAAATAAATTATTTTAAAATTAATGTTAATTTTTTAATGATTTATAAATAAATATATTTTAATGCATCGTCTATATATAGATGTAACAAAAAAAGTCACACAACCCGCACTCATCTACTACTATAATATTGCTTCCCTTTAAATCTTTGAATATAAACAGGAACACCATCCTCTAAAATTCGATAATCTATTTTATCTGGTTTTACTTGTTGGGTTATTTATGTAAGAATAAAAAAATAAATTATGTTTAAAATTAATGTTAAAAATAATGATACAAAATCGTTCAATATTGTATGAATTCTTACGTTTACAAAAAATGTCACAAAACCCATCATACCCTACTACTAATTTTACTTGAAGAAATCATTAATTTATGAGTTCCAAATTGCTAAGCATGACGAAGGATCATTAAATTTGCTACAATTAAATACACTTATTGCAGAATTACGATTTTTGAAATTAAAAGTTTGAAATATTGCCTTTTTGAATAAAAATTTAAATTTTATTATATAATCATGATAATATCTTATAGAAATTAAAAGAAAATATTTTAAACCATTCAAATATTTTGAATGTCTTATCAATTTAAAATATTAAAAGATTGCTTGATTTTATCATCATTAGTTGTTATCAAAGTTTTCTTCTTTTGATGAACAACAGTAAATGATTTGTTAATTACTTGTCTTCCTTTTTCGCAGCAAAATCGAAAGTTATGATGATAATCTTGCTCTCAATTTTGAAACTCTCTGATTTACAAGTAAGCATTCCTTTGGAAAAGCAGTCCTATTCTGTTTTCAAGATATTTTAAAGCCTCCATTTCATACAATGCGCAGATCTATTCGAAATTGCAAGAACTCTCAAGAAAAATGCAGCAGCAAAGAAGATTCCATAGTTTCTAGCATCAAAAATTTACAACCTTAATACAACAGTTAAAGAGAAGCTCGAAAAGAAAATATTTAACCATAAAGCTGGAAACCATTCGATATCTACTATTGGATCTAATAAAAAGTTAATTATAACATATTTAACATGCTATTTGTTGACTTTGTTCCATTATATTACCATATATATCTTTTTGAAATCTAAAATATTTTTACGATTTTAACCATGTGTTGTTGAAACCATATATCAATCTTAGCTAAAGTATAGTTTATGAGTCTGTCACCATCTAACGTATGAATTTTCAAAAATGTCAAATATGTTCATTTTTTCTGTAGATTCAGCCATAATTTCACGTTGTTATACTATTCAACTATTATTTAATATTTTTATCGATTTAAATATATGATGAGATGCTTAGTTCTCCTGGAAATCGATTTTTAATCGCAATTTTAACTTTCCAAAAAAAATTCAAAAATAAAAATCCCTCTCAATTTTCTAAGTTTTATAACTCGCCAAATCTCTAGCCAATTTTTTTTGGCCCGTATAAATATTGTTAGGCACTATATAGGGATGCTATTTATCTATGGCATTCCAAACGGGAACCGCGGTTGGTTACCATGGATTTCCGTCACCGGTCACATTTTAAAGATTTTTAAAGCCTTATAAAAATATGCTTTGTAAATCATTTTTTGTAAATCGGCAAAAATTTGGTAATTTTCTTCAACTAATAAATCTGCGAATAGCATTTATAATACAAGAACAATCTTTTAAAATGCGTTTGATTCATTTTTGTATAATTTCATATAGGCACATATATTCTTCCGGGACTTTCCGTGATTTTACCGTAAAATCATTAGTTTACACCAATTTTCCCGTATTTTGAATAGTTTACTGCACTTTTTCCGTAAAATTGAGTTACGGGAATCCGCAAAATTTCCGGACCTCATTTTTCATAGAATATAATAATAATATTTGATAAAAAGATATATTATTTATATTTTTGATTTTTGAATTACGGAAAAAGTGAATTGATAACTTGATTTTTTTATATGGTTAATTTTTCAAATGATATTATGAAGATCTAAAATATTAAAAGTAAAAAATTGAATTACGGAAAAAGTGAGGTCAAAAGTGAAATAAATTTGCAGAACAATTTTCATTGAAATAAGCTTTATTTTTCATTATTAATAACAATGCTGTAATAAACAGAAATTCATCAAAAGTGACAGCTCTCAATTTTTTGACATTTGTAAATTCTAAATTGAATGAGAAAAATGAAATAATACTAAGCATAATACAATATTCTAGATTTAATTATAATTAGGAAAAAGTTAGTTTTGAGAGTACTTTTCATAGGCATATAGAATGAAATCTTCTGAAAAATAATATCACATAAACTCATATTATTTTCTAATATATAACTATTTTATATAAAAATCAAATTCAATGATCTTAAAAGCGAAGGATAAACCTCAAAATTTACGAATATAATGAGTGGGAATATAATGCTTATCTATCATAAAACCATATGAAATATCAATTTTTGCTTTACGCCTAATTTTTGACGACAATTAGCAAAAAATGTTAAATGTTAACACTCAGTCCATTTGAATATGAAAAATAAAATTGACTTTAATTAAATGTTTTTATTTATCATGCAATTCTTCTTGCGACCAAAGATTTGAATAAAATTTCAAAAAATAAGATAGCTTAAAAAATAATATACGGTAGTGTTTACTAATAGATGAATAGTATATAAATTCTATTAAAATGGATTTGATCCAAAAAAATATATAAAATTTGATCATAAATAAAATCGTTTTAAATTACTTCTTCATTTAAATTATAACAATTATTTTTGGTTTTATAGTTTTTAAAGCTCATGTGGTTTTTTTAACCACAGAATACTTATGTGCTGTAGCAAGCTTGCAATCCAAAGCTCACGTTAGACAACAAGAGTCATGAAGTCTCATACTAAGGGATATCCAATATATATTTTAATAATCTAATGTTTGTGACAAATATTCAACATAAAATTAAGTTTTCGTTTCGTTACAAGGCATTCATACTTTGGAGATATCATATTTAATGTACAGAAAAGTTAATATTAAACAATACATGCTAAAGAATTAATAAATAAGATAATAAAATAAATTTATACGTAATTACTTTCATTTAATATGCTTTATGCTGTATAATATTGATTAAGAGGCATTAAAAGGTTCCATAATCTGCTTTTATAGGCAAGATTTTTGATAAAAATTTTAAATTTTGAAAAATGATGAGAAAAGGAAAAAAAAGGTAAATGAGAGCAAGAGGAGGGAAAAAAAAGAAAAAGAAAAGGAAGGGAAGGGAAAAATAAAAGGAAGAAGGACATATAAAAATTTAGATGCGCATTCTTAATGCCGAGGCGGCTTGCCGCCGAGGCGCGATTTTTTTAGGCCTCTACGGTAACCCGGCAATGTTTTTTTAAATCTTGTACAGCCCTATATTTATCCTATTTTCATCCCATTTTACTGTTATCGCCTAGTGAATGTACCTTTATTAACCATTTGAAAAATTGAAATACCCCTCAAATTGATAATTCCATTTTTCAGATGAGGGATTTCTCCTTCAGTTTAGCATTTCGAGAATTTAGACAAGTTGTAACGACAAATAATCCTCATTCTGAATAAGTTTCGGGCACTTTCTCACAGATAAGTAGCACTTTCAACCTTTTTTTCTTTCATTTTCAAGAATTTTCGTATATTAGTTCATTCTATAACGTTTTGATATTATCCTTACTTAATTATATAAACAGAAACTCACAATTATCAATGACAAACTATTTTTATCAGAGAATATTAAAGAACATCGACAAAACTCCTATTAGAATTCAAATATGTACTTTTAATTTCATTTCAAGATTTATGGTGAGTAATATCTACAAGTTAAAATTTACAATTCCATTTATAAAATTTGATATATCTTAGTTTTGATTTATTTTCTTCTTTATCATAGTTACAGTGTTGGATCCATTGAATACAAAGACAGCGAGCACAAAATTGTTAGTGGTTGTTCAGAAGATCTTACTGAAGTCGTAATTCCTCGATCTGTTGTAGAAATTTACAGCGAAAGTCAAACAAATTATGCATTTATGAACTGCAAAACTAAAATCAAGTCATTGCAATTCGAAGTAAACAGTCAGATCACTAAAATTGGTGATTATAGTTTTTATCAAACAAGTCTAGAAACAGTTGATTTCAGTCAATGTAATTTACTTTTAAGTCTTGAACAATATGTATTTTCTAAATGTGAAAACTTGTCTTCTGTTACACTTCCTCCTAATATTATAACAATTGGAAGAGAATGTTTCAGTAATGATAAGAAATTAACTTCAATCATATTACCAGATTCAGTAGTAATTCTTGAAAACTATGCATTTGATATGAGTGGACTTACAACTATTACTATTAATCCAACTTCAAAATTAGAAAAAATAGATTATATGTGCTTTTATTGGACAAATTTAATATCTCTATACATTCCACAAAAGGTAAATAAACTTGATTCAAGTGCATTAGCTTTTACTAAAATTGAACGATTTGAAGTTCATCCATTGAATAATATGTTTAAAACAGATTCAAAATCTCTTTACTCTGGGCCAAATAATTCAACTTTTTTTTGGTTTGCTGTAATAACTCAAGCCGAATTTGTTGTTCCCAGTTTTGTCACATCATTAGCAGATTCCTGTTTTTGCGGAACTAAAATTTCATCTATCAAACTTCCAGATAGTATCACTGATTTAGGTGATAGTGCTTTTTCTCAGTGTATTATAACTTCAATTACTATCCCTCCTAAAGTATCAATAATTGGTTCAAGTTGCTTTAGTGGCTGTAACTATCTAGATGAGGTAAGATTTTTAGGGAATATTTCAAAAATAGAAGCTTTAGCATTTATATCATGCAATAAATTAAAATCAATTGAACTTCAAGAATCTTTAGTGTCTATTGGATTTGGAGCATTTGATTATTGCAAATCGTTAACAAGTATTATTATTCCTTCAAATATTTCATTTATTGAAAATTCCGCATTTGAAGGATGCACTAATCTAAAAAGCATAACTTTCAAAGACAACAATAATAATATTACTATTGGTCCCAATATATTTAAATCAATTGCACCTTCAGCTAAAATTTACATTCCAGGAAAGTTTTTTGCGAAAACAACTTATAAGAGCGAATTACCACCTAAAAGTCACTTATATATTACAAGTCAAACACGTTTATCTGAATCCTGCAAAATATTCTTTGGTGAAAAATCCATTTACGTTCATTACAATGACAAAGTTGAAATAACAGATGATACAACGAACCAAGTTATTAAACACATCTCTCTTGCAATAATTGTACCAAAATCTGTTAAAAAAGCTCGATCCAGGTACTTCCATCTCTACAATATCTTTATTAGCATTCGCAAATAGATTTATTCATGAGGAATATTCATATATAATAAATCATATACGATTGAAATAATAAATAAAAAACAATTATGAGTAAATATAATATTGAATTAGATAATTTTGTCCTTTTGGATATTTTATTGATAGAAATATTCATTCAAGCAATATGTAAATCATACCATGAATGAATTTTCATTTTTATGACATAATAATTCGAAATAAGGAATAATATTATTCTGAAAATATGATAATAACGACACATTGATATCTAGATCACTATTATTACTGAAATAGGACTGAATTATGATATCCTTCTAAGCAAATAATTTGCGTGATATAATTTCTGAAGAGAAAACTATATACGACTTCATTAATGTATCATCTATTGTGACAAAATTATATGTTATATAATCAATAATCACTTGATATAAATGAGAAATAAAATTAACCTCGGCCACGGTAAATTGAATGATAATTTGTATTTGAAGTATAGTTTCGTTTTAATATAGTGTTGCACAATAAAAGATTTTAATAATTCATTCAAAATCTCAAGTGTGATGCTAAAAATTTTTGTTGGAAAATTGGAAAATTTTCCTAATCATTTGGACTATAACCTGGCATATTAGGGAGTTTTGTCAACAACTCAGTGCTGGGATCAAGATAGTTTGTAATCCAAAAGTAGAAACGTTCCTTGGTGTCTTGTTCTGGCTTCCTGCAAAATCTGTGATTTGCAGGATTCTTCTTAATATTGTCAGAAATTGCGCAAATCATGTCCATCGTCGTCAATTCTTCACCATTGATGTTAAAACGATTTCGATTACGGTAATTTCTTTTCTCTTGCAATTCTTTTTCTGCAGGAGTCAATTCACGAACATACTTATTATGTTTGAGAGCTTCTACAGAACAAGGGCAAAGACCGCAGGCGGCAGCAGCATTTTGAACCGTTCTTAATGATACTGATTCTTGCCATGCGCTAACGAGTATGATATCGGCTATCTCTCTGCTGGAGATTTACTCAGAAATGCTGCAAAGATTGCTGCCAACCCACCTGAAGGTTTTGATCCACAACTTCTCTCTGAATACAAAGAAATAGATCAGATCATCAAAGAGGGCAAGCTTGTTCCAGGCCACGTTACAATCAAACTTCTTCGCGATGCAATGGTTGCTGGAAAACAGAAGCATTGGTTCATCGATGGATTCCCACGTCATCTCGACCAGGAAGCTGAGTTTGTTCAGAAGTGCAAACCAGCCGTTGCTTTACTTTTCATTGATTGCCCAGATGAAGAATTAACAAAGAGACTCTTAAACCGTGGCAAGACATCAGGCCGTATTGATGATAACGCTGAATCAATCAAGAAGCGCCTTGTTGTTTATCATGAACAGACAGAAGCTGTTATTGGCAAATTCAAGAAAGAAAACAAGTGTCTTGAAGTTAACGGTAACCGCCCAATTGATCAAGTTCATGAAGATGTTGTTAGAAAACTTAGGACAGTTTGGACTGATCTCCCAGCTGCTCCAATCCATACAAACTAATTAAACAAGTAATTCTATTTATAAATACATAATGTTTGCCTTTTCCTTGTTTCTAGGCAACATTCTTTGTATTTATATATTATTTTTCGATTACTTGCAAGGATTAGATTTAAACTATTATAAATGTTTGTATTTACTCATATGTTTTAATGCTATTCAAGTATTTTATGTGAAATTATTAAATAAGTTCGAAATATTGGAAATTTCATCAGAAAGAAGCTGAAAAAGGCCCGAAAGGAAGTGCATTGCATCAACATGAACAAGAATGACAAAACATTGGTTGTTTTGCATCTTTAAAAGTATGAAAAAAACGTAATGAACTGGATATTTTGAAGGATCAAGATTGCAAGTGGAAGCAAATGCAAACGAATCAAGATGTATGAAACTGGACAATTTTAGTGCTTTTCAAATCTAATTTGCGGATATATAGAAGAATAAAATTCTGTTTCTAGTCTTAGATCCACTGAATTCATACTCGTTTGCAATGTTTTCATCCCACAATTCCATATTTAAGAAATTGGTGTTATTTTAGATAAAAGTAAATTGAGTATTTTTCTTCCATGGAAGGTCCCCAAATTATTAATTTGTTATTAACCGGGACTAACCACTATGAAATACTAGAAAACGTGAATCTTATGCTATTAGATCCACAATCTGCTCAAATTGCGTTCAGGAATTGCCAACCTGAGGCAATTTTTACAATTTTATATCAAAACATATCATCAAAAGTATACAATGACAATTGTGTTCAACTAGCAATCCGAATTATTTCAAATGTAATTCAAAATTTAACATCTTCGATATCGTTTTTTAAGGATTCATCACATATAATTGATACCATTAATTTATTTCTAGAAACAAAATCTTCTGAGCTTAGAATCGATATAGCACAAATATTAGAAATCATATCTATCCGAATTCCATATGCTTTATGCTCGCTTGCTCAAAGATATTTACAAACATTTGTAGAGCAACTAATGACACCAGATGAAAACCTAGTTCATAAGTCAATTACTCGAGTTATCAAAAATATTTTAAATTTTAATCAATATTCATTAAATTTCAGTGATAGTACGTTTATATTGCTTGTTAATTATACAAACCAAAACATAGAAGGCGAAGTAAGAGCGAATTTAGTTTCAATCTTAAAAATAATTGCAAAAAAGGATAGATTCACAACAGAATCATATAACAAACTAATTTACATGATCAGAAAAACTAATGATTCATTACTTATTCAAAATATGATCAAATATTTAAAATACCAGCTTAAAATCAACCAAGAACAATTTATTAATATCAAATTCCCATATAAAGAGTTACTGATAGATAATGCGATGTTAAGTAAATCATCAGATATTCAAAAATCCGTAATTCAATTTATTAATTGGATTTTAGAAATTCCTCTAGACAAATTAAGCACAATAAATGACAAAATACGTGAAATACAAAATGTTCTTATGCATGTTCTTTGCTACAACCCTTTACATCCTTTAATAACTTTTAAAACTTTAGGAATGACCCTTCAAATAAGACTTTTAGATATATCAAAAGAGTTCATTGCTGCTCTTTATAACTATTCCAACTATATTCCTTATTGTGGCTTCGTTGCTTACATATGTCATTGGTGTTACACGAATCCAGAGATTTATTATAGTTGTATTTACATAAATGCAATGAATACATACTTTTCAGGACCAACTCCGGTCGGATCTCTCAAGATTTCCCAGGAAACAATTAATTTATTCTCAAAACAGCCAAAAGTAGATGTTCCTGATACTCTAAATGAGATATATGAACTATTTAGAGATAGAAAAGTACATTCTGCTTCATTTATGTACAAAGATTTTCTAAATAAGTCAATTAATCTCGTTAAAACCGATAATTCTTTCACAAATTACAAAGAATTCTCTAATCTACTGTTAGAATTACTTGGTTATGTTTGTTTTGATCGCGTATCGATGTGGGAAATTAATTCATATCAATTTTTAGAATTTTTGTCCACAGAAAGGTCAGCAATCTACAAATCTGATGATGGCGGACTATGGGAGATATCTTATAAGCCATATGAATCTTGTTTGACCATATTTGGCAAAGTAATAAATTATTTACAACCAATGACAGAAGAAGAAAAGAGAAAAATCATTGGCAGCAAGATTTGGAGCACTCTTAGATACGAAAACGTCGAAGACATGCAAAATGGTTTACAAAGATTCATTCAAGCTTTGGTTGATGCAAAACCGTTGTCACTTTTTGTAAATAACAAATTGATTTACAATGTTTTTACGACATACATGGTAGATGTATTAATGGACCAATCTAAATCACCTCTTGAAATGGAAACAACAAGAATTAACTTTAATTTACAAAAAGAGTCAAAAAGTGACATGACAGAAATTACAAATGTCACTTTTTACGAAAAAATAAATCCAAATTTACAAAATTTATTGGATTTATTAAAAATAATAAATGAAAAGGAGAAAATTCAACAAAATGAAAAAGTTGAAGAATTTGTTCGAAAAGTAGAAAATCAAATGAAATTTGTTGGTCATACAATACCGAAATTTAACAGTTCTATCAACATTGTTTATAATTATTCATTTTTGTTTCCGTTGAATTTAAGATTATTAGTATTAAGATTAATTTTGAATCAACCATTTGACAAATTAGTTTCGTTTAATAACTATTACAAAATGACTGATAACCAGAATATTTTTGTCCTTGATTCCGCTTTGAAAATGGTTTTTGAAAGAAATAATTTATTTCAAAAAGTCAAAGAAATAAGTTTTTTGTTTGAAAATCCTCTTCCTATTGATATACAGTTCGAAGGAGAACAAGGATCGGGAAGAGGACCGACAAAAGAGTTCTTCCAAGTGTTCTTCAAAGAAATTGCACTTTCAAAACAATTTAGAATGATAAAAAGCGGTTATTTCCCGTCACCTTTTTCTGATAGTGATGAATTTTATTTGATTGGAGTTTTTTCGGCGAAAATGATTCTTATGGATTCGATTTGCGGTTTGACATTGTCAAAATTCTTCTTGAAAATGGTTTTTGATGAAAACGTGACAATTTCTGACACTGATTCTGACATTTTAGAAAATTTGTCTAACAAAGATTATTATTTAGGTCTTGATGTTCCTTATTGTTTCCCGGGAATTATGGACGCTAAATTGAATGAGAAATATGAAATTATTACTTCAGAAAACATAGATGATTATGTAAATGATGTTAAATCACATATTTTGTCACAGAATGTTTTGGATTCTGTTCAAAAATTCAAAGAAGGATTTTGCAAAGTTTTCGACATCCAAATCATGAAAAATTTGTTTTCTGCTGAAGAATTTTCAGATATTTTATGTGGAGAAGAAACACAACAAATCACTACAGACAAATTGAATCAATATTGTATTGTTGAACTTGGATATTCCAAAGAATCAAATCAGTTCAAATGGCTTTGTGAATTTGTTGAAAGCTTGAAAGAAAAAACTAAATTATTTGTTAAATTTGTTACAGGGAATGATTTACTTCCTATTGGAGGTATTTCTGCATTAAATCCGCAGATCAGAGTCATCAAAATGGATGAAGATATTCCAGATAAATACTTCCCAAGTGCTTCAACATGTTCTAACTTGTTGAAGATTCCAGAATACTCTTCAAAAGAAGTTTTCTTTGCGAAAATGATGGATGCATTATATATGGGAAATGAAAGATTTGATTTAGTATAAATTTTATAATTTTTTTGTTTGATAATTTAATAAAAAACATATTTAATTATGAATATTTCGTATCATTTACATAAACTAAAACATGTGTAAATAGATTAAAGCATTACTGACCTTCTAAATCTCCTAATAATTGCAAGATTCATTTCTGGTGTTATTTGATTTAAACACTTTGATTCTATCTTAAATGGATGATTTGCTTGACATAAATAAGTAGATAAAAACTCCAAATCTAAGTTTGATCCTGCATTTATGGTCTCAAAGTATTGTTCATTTTGATCTGAATAAGAATCTTCTATAGTTATTTCTGCATTATTTGCCTTAACGCCAATTATTCCTAAGTATAGCGTATTAGAGAGCACAATGCATCCATTAATTGAAATTCTAGAATACAACGAAGGTACAATAAGAGTACTGCAGAAATTATTACTAAACTCGCATTGTTTAATTAAATATGGTTTGTTACTTAGAGTTAATAAATCACCTTGACTAATATTACATTGATGAAATTTGCAATATAAAATATTACAGGGAAAATCATCTTTCTTTAAATTTTCTGATTGAATGAAAAACCGTCCGTTATTATATGAAAAGTTTGATCTACTAACTGTGATATTTCCACATATTAAATTAAAGATATGAAATCCTTCATTGCTAGCAATAGTAGAATCAATTATATTATTTCGATTTTCATTGGTTTTTGATTGCAAATCAATGTTTGAATGAGAGGCAATAAGAGTATTATCAGATTGTGACCTACACATGTAAGAACAAGTTCTTTTTTCAACAAATGCATTTGCCTTGATATCTAAATTAGTAGCCTTGTATAAATTATTTTCGCTCAATATGTTGAAATCAAAGGAAACTTCAAATACAAGAACTTTAATATTTGATGTCTTTTCACGAATATAAATGCATGGATAATTCTTATTGTCCTTAAATAAAGAATTACTAATATACTGTTATTGTACTTCATTAACAAGTATAAAACCTCCCTCAGGATTGAATTTTTTTGCAAGAGGTTTATTTAGAAATTGCTCATCATTAAAAAATATCAATGGCAATGTATATAATGTTAAGGAAGAAGCTTTTGCTAATTGTATATCTTTGACAAATATTACTATAAGTGGTATTGTTGAGAAAGATGCTTTTGTTAATTGCACGAATATAGAAAATATTAAATTTAGGCGTTGGATAAAAATTATTGAAAATCCTTTTGCATCGATTGAAAAGAAAGTTAACATCTACATAAATGAAGATTTTGATCCCACTCATACGATTGAATATACATTTCCAAAAAGGAGCCATTTATTTATAACAGATCAAACTCGATTATCTGAGTCATGTAAGTCATTTTTTGGGGAAAAGTCTATGATAATACATTTCAACAATAAAACCAAAATAAATGATAATATAACCAATCAGGTCATTGATTATATTTCAATACCAATCCTTCAGAGGAAAATGTCATCTCTCAAAGATTATACAATTAATGTTAATTCTTTGATAAAAATTTTCTTTGTAACTATGTAATTGAGTGAATCTTAAAAACTTAAAAATTGTGTCTCTATTTCATACATTTTTGAATTCTAAATTCATATCAATAAATTAACTTGAGTTCGATAAAAATAAAGAAACTCATAGAAGTGAAATGTTATTTGTTAAAAAACTATTTGATTAAACGAAATAATAAACAACAATTTATAATTTGCCTGGGATAATAAGTCTAGGCTTTGACTTTCTTCTCTTTGTCTCCTTCATATACAACTGGTCTAGGAATCCCTGGTTGATGTTAATATTAGAGCGGTTCTGTTTTATCAAAGCAATTGCGGAATCAATCGGCATCGCCCTATCTTCATTCAAAAATGCCGCAACAAGAGCAGCAGAGCGTGAAATGCCGCGTCTGCAGTGAACAAGGACTGTTCCACCACTCTGTAATGACTTCTGAACAAATTTAATCGCTTCCCAGAATTTTGGAGGTATTTCTTCGAAATCATTATCAATCATTTCAAGTGAGAAATACTTGAATGTATCTGGGAAGTAGTTCTGGGCGGTCTGTCCTGAGAGATTAACGATATGAGTAATATTATTATCTAAAAGCATCTGTTTGTTAGCTGCTGCTCTTTCATCTCCTATATATAAGCCTTCTATAATCTTATTCATGTCATCTGGAGGAGAATCTTCTTTGAAACCGTCTAAAGTAGGTAAAGAAGGTAATTTAAACGTTCCATTGAAGTTTGTATTGTGGGATCTGCGAGAGATAAGCTTTGAAGTTCCGCAAAAATGTCCGGCTGTACGAATCGGCGATGAAGCACGGATAAATTGTGTTTGTTGGGGTGGTTTTAACGCCATTGTAAGTGAATTTATTTGTCCTAGGTCAAGAAAGACTGTCTGTGGATCAACACACTTTGTAGAAGAATAATTTTCCAATTGAGCCGTTTTGAGGGAAGCTGCAATTTCAGAATTTACTGATTTAGGTAATTTATTAGGTGTAATGACCCAAATATATTGACCTGGAACTTTGAAAAACTGTGGCCTAAAATGTTGATGAAAAATTCTGATGGTATCTGCATATGATTTCCCTCGGATCATGGATGTTTCCATTTTTGCATGTTCACCTTGTATTGGTTCCAAGATAACTAATGGGTTTGAAGAAAAAGCTAATGGATTCTCGATAAAATCTGTGAAAGAGATTGGTTTAAATGATTGTTTTTCATATAATAGTAGTATTAGAGCCTTTGGGCCATTTGAGTCTGTGCCTTTTACGCTCTCTATGCTTAAACCAAGTCCCATAAAAACTTATTAGGGGGAAAAAACGAATCTAACTCAAAAATATATTCGTTATTATATTGAGAAGCAATCATTCAAATAAAAATTTTTCTTGATTATTAGTAAAATAACGCGCATCATTTTTATCAAATTATGATTTTGAAAATTTTATGCTGTAAACATCTGAAATCTCAGTTGAGAACTTTTGCGAACATAATTATAAATGATGTATATAAGAAGAGAAAATATAATCACTAAAAGTGACGTAAAAATAATTTTGGCAGGTAAAGCTTGTGAAAAAATCGGAAATTATATATTTCATTATTATTTTTAATAATATTGTACTGAATGCACTACATTTTAGAAAGAATTATTCGGATTTTAGAAAAATTTTGGTAAAAAATGACATATTCAACATCATGCGTCAGCAAACGTTTGCAAAATATAGAAATCTTTAATAATAAATCCAATTTCTTCATATGAAATGTCCTTTTTTCCAAAAAAAAATTTAAAGATTTTACGCAAATGAAAGCTACTGTAACAGCAACATATATAAAAATCCTCATAAAGCAGAAATTTGGAATTGATATACTATCAATATTTAAAATTTAGTGTAATATTATTTATTAAAAGTCATATTGGATAGATTTAATAAAATTTCGCATTAACAACTCGATGCAAATAATATATCTAATTATAGAGAACGATTTCTAAGGTTAATCTTGTAATAAGATAAACTTGATTTGTAATTGGATATAATCCATTGAAATGACAAGCATTTTCAGGACACTTCTTTAAATCATGTCATAAATATGCGTAAAGTCGTTGTATAAAAAAAATTATCGATTGATTTCTTTGTATATTATCAATATGAATGCAAGATTGTAACTATCAGTTTGTTACAGCAATTGTATAGTATCAATGACCAATGAACCTTCACCTAAACAAGCTTTTTTTTGTAAATGAAGTTCTACTAAAAAGTGACAAAATAATTTCATTCATCAATGACTCTAATTTATCAGAGAACCAAAGTAGCAATTTTTGGATCAGATGCATCTGCTTTTCATATTTTTAATGTATATTATAAAAATGACGACAGATATGATGTTGCTGCTTTTATTTCACCAGATCAAAACTCAACTGATGGAAAATATCCTGCACTGTTGAGTGGGTCGCTTTATGATAATGGTATAGAAATAATTTCACTTAGTAGAATTCACACGCTGTTCTTGAAAAAGTCAATTGATCGAATTATCATGACACCACAATCAATGATACTTGGAAACTATATGAATATTACAGCTTTCAGCTTAGCTCAGAAATGCACTGTCATTACCTATCCTTTCGGAAAGTTACAAATTCCGCCACCGAAAGCAATGGTTTCCTTTTTCTCTGATACACAGTTTTACATGCCTATTTTCATGAATTTTATTGAATTATTCTTAGCAGCTAATGCTTCCCCTGCAGTTATCATTCCAATGCCTGAAAAATTAATTGGAACTCATGAATATATCGAAGTTTCAACATTACAGACTCTTGGCCACCACGAAACGAAAATAGATCCAGAACTATATGATTTATGCAAAGAAATAATCGCAAAAGGACTAAAAACGTTTTTCGTTCTCGATTTTAACAAATTCAGCAAAGATATACTCGGTGATGACTCTTTCAACGTCATGTTCTTCTTCGGATACAAGTCAATGCCTACTTTCTTTTCTTCCCACTTCTTAATTTACTGTTGTGACGATTTCACTTTCGGCGAACACATAGACGAGCATCATTCTTCAATCATCGCACAGCAGGCAGACTTAGTATTATACTGTCAAGTCAAAGTTACCGATGAATCAATACTTAAATTCAAAGAGTTTACAAAATCACAGATATTCATGGTTCCTGTTACTTACCAAGTAGCAAGAAGTCATTGCTATCAGAACCAGCCTGTTTTGGCCGTAGATGATAACTATTCTTCGGTCACGTGTTCAGCAACAAATTCAATGGCATGTCACATTGCTGAAAACTACAACATGAAGCCTGTAGATCCTTCAAGATTTAAGCCATATGCAGGAAACAAGCTTTTACACGAGCCAAACTACTTGCATGTCAAATCTCTTCCTTATCCTTCGATTTATAACTTGAGTGAGTTTGTAAATGACGTAAACTCAATGATGGACATCAAAGCTGTATTAATAACATCGATGAAAGTGTTAGATTTGCAACTTAATAAGCAAATCTTGCATGTACAATTCGATGTGAACTTGACAGGTATAACTAGAGAGATGGTTAAGCTGCCAAGAACATTTGTCAAGCAATGGAAGAAGAAATAATTAAAATTAAATTTTTCTGTATGTTTTATTTTAAAAAAATGATTTAGATATATAGCTATGGTCAGACCAATGTTTGATAGATTATCATATTTAGCGATATCCTCCCAAAAAGAGGAATACAGGCGTGAAGATGTACAGAAAATAAAATCTTCAGATTTAAACCGGAAATTTGAATCAAATAGTGATTATAAAAATGTCATTTACCAAAATGTGTTCAAATTATCTTTTCCTACATATTTGGCAAAAATGTCATTTGACAATTAAACTGCATGAAAAAAAATTGAGAGAGCAAAAATGTCATTTGCCATTGAAACAGAATGCTTTTCTTCATTCTTGGCTTACTTTTCAGAGTCAGAAACTCTGAGCGAAAATTCCCTATTCATAGGAAATGGGAGCTTGCTGATGGCCGTTTCTTATTACTTAGAGAAGGACAAGATTGCTACTATTCGATGATGTACACATGTGATTGGATTTCGAGGGCTTATATTTCTGATGGCACAAACGAGGTCTCATTTACCAAAACTTCAGGCACAGTAAAACTTGCCGATGGAAGAACTGCTGGTGTTGGTAACGACAATTATCTGAGAATAGTTGGAAGTAGTCTTGCATCGACAGAGACACATCATCTTGGCGTTTTTAACTTATTTTGTTAAAAAAGAAAGGCTTTTTACTACATAATTTTTTTTTAGTTTAGTTTAGTTTATGTCGAAAATGCTACTTAACCTCATATGAGGTCTTAGAACCTACTTTTTGATGGTTGGGAAATTGATTTTTTGTACTTGTTTATTTCAGAATTCGAAAAACAAGTACAAATAGTAAAAATGCTTAAAGATATGGTATCATTGCTTCCAACTGTGCGTTGCTTGAGCTCAGTGAGTTTTACTACTAAAGAAAAATTGCAAAAATAAGAGACATATAAAAATCGTTTTTTTATAAAAATCTTTGTCACTTTTCTCGTTTTGAATTTTATCGAAAAATGAGCGAAGAGAGTTCTGTATTCACAGAATTTCGAAATCTTTGCATCAGTTTCGATAAAGGCCAGGATCAGTCTCAGAAAGAGGAGAAAAAGAATCTCCTCGAGAAAGTCGAAACCATCTATCTACAGATGAGTCGTCTTGATGTTGCATCCTTAGGCTCACTTGCCGAGGCTTTTGCTATAATGGATACTACTTCGCAAGCTATTGATAGAATTTGGACAGATTGCACTATATATTCCTCTGACCAAGTTCTAAAATTAATGAATTATATATCATCAGATCTTTCTAAATTCGTTATCGCATCAGTTGCATCATTTAAATTATTTGACAATACAAAATCATCACGTACATTAGCTTTATGTTCCCAAATACTCTCAAAATGGTACAATCAAGCAATAACTTTTACAACAACACAATGGCCTCAATTTACTCCAAGGCCATGGAATTCAGGCAAATACGAAAACCCTGAAATCGCACAATTATATTATCGTGTAAACTTTTTCGCAGAATACAGGCGCTCTTTCTTCTACTGTGCCCAATTCAAGCAGAACTTTATGCCACCAAATATCCAAAACATTGGTGGACATATTGAGCTCACTGAAGATAAATGGAACGAAATTACTTCTTTTCTCATGGGCCATTTGAAATCATTGCTATTCGGTGACGGTGGCGTAATTGATAACGTTAATGCACAATTAAAATCCGTATCAGATAGCCAAGATGCTTTAGCTTCTTTAATTCAATCTTTATCTTTTCTCAAGAATTTCCCAGAGTTTACAAAAGTCGTTCAACCTTACGAAGAAACACGCGATAAATTATTCCTTACATTCTTAGACCTTATTAAAGGCCAATTACCACAACATCAAAGCGAAGACCCAACAGATACTGTTGGAACAATCTGGATTCTTCATCAAATACAATACTGCAGAGCTTTTATGGCAAAAATCCAAAATCCTGCTCAAAATGTTACAGATGAATGCAATAATGTCGTTAATTTATTTGAAAAATCCGTCGAAAAGTCATATCTCGCTTGGTATAAGCAGCTCAGCTCGAAACTTGACTCAGTTGATTTTACAAAACCATTATTTACATTTGAATTTAATTCTTCGTCAAAATTAGCATCACTTGCCTTCCCAGAAGAATTCACAAACTATATGGATCAAGCTGCCGACCTCACAGCCTTAAAGAAACGCATTCCAAACGAACTTCAAGCAAAACTCAAGAAAGTTCGCGACCAGAAAGGCTACTACTGCTCAATCAAGCAAGTTTGTGATTACTACAATGCAACAATTCTCTCAATTATTCGACCACTTCGAAGATTACTTATTCAATACGTTGATCAGTTTATTAACTCCTTCCAATCGATTGTTTCCGTTGATTTTACATTCCCTGAGAATGTTGAGCAGTTTATTGGCTCAATATTGAAGCAAGCGAAAGATTTGGATAATACAAACAACCAAATGCTTTCAATTCATAAGAAATTCATTGCTGATATCTCCAATTTGTTCGATTGCAGCTTAATTACAGGCGAAGAGAAGTGGAAAGAGACATTACGTTCAATTCGTAACCAAATTTACGAAATTTATCGTAATGGCCTTACAAATGTCAAGCCATGGATGAAGCATCTTAATGCCCAGATCTACAAAGCTCTTGATTACCAATTTGACAAGACTTTGATGACAATGGAAAATGATGTTCAAAAAACAACAGTTGAAATATCATATAACGTTGATTCTCGTACAGTTATTTTTGAACCATCACTTGGCAATCTCCGCCAACAACTTTACAACCAAATTACAAAATTAATTTCAATTCCTTCGCATTTCGCCGGAGTCACGCTTTCCCAGAAGACCGATGCAGCATCAGAGTTCGCAGCCATCATCCATGGTCACACAGACTCCATAGAACAGCTTTATCAGCGTACAGAAAAACTTATTAATACAATTTCAGGTTGCACCAAGCAATTAAACACCTGGATTGCATTAGGCGCAATCGCCGACTTCGATGCTCGCATTTCCACCATGTTCAGCTCTCCAGAAGAGTTCCGAACAAATCTGAATTTTGTATCTATCCGCGAAAGTGAAATTGAACAACTTCCAGACACCCAACAGTTCGAGTTCATCACTATTTCCTACAAACTCGCGAAAGCAAGCTTCAGAAAGCTTGTTACAGAGTACAAACGTTCGATTTGCAATTTGTTGAGAAAATCTCTTGACAACGACATCTCAACTGTCATGGATTTCATCAACAACTCATTAGCTTCTGTACAAACATCAGTACAGACAAGTGAAGAAGTCCGCAAATCCCGTGAAAACATTGTTGCTCTTTCCAAAATGGTCAATGATTATTCTAAAACATTCCAATCTATTCGTGCAAAATCATCTTTGTTGATGATTCACGATCAGCAAAGTCGCCAATCCCTTCAGTTCCAGATAGATTCAATACAAAGCCACTGGGAAATCTTCAGAGGTACATTGCAAGACCAGAACAAAGTCATTACTCAGCAAATGAGAACTTTGAAGACATTGATGTCCCAGAAAATTGATGATTTCCAGAGAAGAACTACATCATTCAAACTCAAGTGGGAAGAGAGGAAACCAAAGGATGTTGACTTCAAGAACGAAGCAGCTGTTAAGAAAGCAATTAACACTGTCAAAGAAACTAAAAACGGATTGGAAGAGTTCAAGAAAGAAAGAGATCTTCTGTTGGAAGAAGAAGCAAGTTTCGGTGTCAAACAAGAAAGACAATTCCCTGACATTAAAGAAGTCTCTCAGCAGCTGAAAGCATTCGAATCAACATGGTTATTAGTTGATAAATGGCAGACATCGTTAGATGAAATGTCACATGAAGATTGGGTTACTTTTAGAACTCATATTTTCGATTTGGAAGAGTTTTTGCAACAATGGGAACAAACAGTGAATTCTGTTCCTCAAAGCGAAGTTTCCAATTACGTTTTGGATCAAGTTCACACATTATTGAAAGCTTATCCATCAATGAAATACGTAAGAGGAGATAACTGGGTTGCAGAACATTGGGAAGAGCTCGGAATCATCATCAAATTCCCAAGACCAATGAAAATCAATGATCTCAAACTCGCCGACATCCTTAACTCCGCTGATAAAATCAGAATCAATGAGCACAAAATCAAGCAATTGTGCGAAAGAGCAAAAGGAGAAGGAACAATAAGAAGCGCGCTCAGAGAAATCAGAGAATGGAACATGCACACGGAATTCATTTTGTTCGAACAACAAGGTGTTCCTGTCATCAAGGAATGGAAGGATTTGTTGACACAAGTTTCAGATATGCAGGCAACAATCCAATCTCTGTCTTCCCTTCAATACGCTGAAGCTTTCGAAAGTGAAATTCAATTGTGGACAACAAAATTCACTACTTTACATGAGACGCTTTTACTCTTAAACCAAATTCAGAGGAAATGGCTTCATTTAGCACCAATTTTCTCTTCTGGAGCTTTACCCAGCCATACAGAAAAGTTCAATGCTCTTGACAACCAATTCAGAAGTTTGATGAACGATACAAAGAAAGATCCACAAGTCACTTCACTTCTCAACAAATACGATATTGTTTCATTGTTGAAAGGACTGTTAGAAGGCTTAGATGCATGCCAGAGTGCATTAACAGCATTCCTTGAGAGCAAAAGACAAGGATTTCCAAGATTATACTTCATTGGAGATTTCGATTTACTCGACATTCTCGGAAAAGTCAAAGATTCTCCTGATGTTGTTCAAACACATCTCAAGAACTTGTTCCAAGGTATTTCCTCTGTTGTTTTCGATGACAACAAGAAATTGGTCGCTTTCTGTTCCTCTCTTGGCGAAAAAGTTTATTTACCAGAGCCAATTTTCACAAATTCATCAGTTGAAGTTTGGCTGAATGAATTGTGTGTTAAACAACAAAAGGCATTGATGCAATCTCTATCAGATTACGTACAAGGAAAGAGCTTCACGACAAAGAAATTCCCATCACAAATTGTCCAAGTCGGTGAAGCAATTAAATACACAAGTGATATGATTGCATCAATTCCTCACAGACAATTAAGAGATTGTTACAAGTCTTATCAGCAGAAATTACATGCAATTGCTGATTTCAGGAAGAAACCATTAGAAGTAAGTGATGTTTCAAGCTCAATCAACACGGAAACAACAGATGAAAGTGAAATCTCATTGATTAAATGCTTGATTATTGATTTCGTCCAATATACAAGTGTCATGGAAGAACTCCAGCAATACGATGTTGCTTCCTTAGATAACTTCCAATGGTTAAGGAGAATCAAGTACTTCTTCGAGAACGACAAATGCGTAATCAGAATGTGCGATGGAACATTTGATTACGGTTACGAATACCAAGGAAATGCTCCTAAACTTGTTCACACTCCTTTAACTGATATCTGTTGGTCAACACTTTGTGAAGGTATGCACTTAGGTTTTGCAGGAAATCCATACGGTCCTGCAGGTACAGGTAAAACAGAATCAGTTAAAGCACTCGGACAAGCAATGGGAAGACAGGTTTTGGTATTCAACTGCGGTGATGGTATCGATGTCAAATCAATCTGTAGAATATTTACAGGTTTAGTACAATGCGGTGCTTGGGGTTGCTTCGATGAATTCAACCGTCTCGATGAACTTGTTTTGTCCGCTGTTTCCCAGCAAATTCAAGCAATTCAAACAGCAATTCTCAAGAAGAAAGAAAACGTTGCTCTTTTAGGAAAAACAATTCCTTTGGACTTGAAATCCGGTATCTTCGTAACATTGAATCCTGCAGGCAAAGCATACGGTGGCAGATCTAAACTTCCTAACAACTTGAAGGCTTTGTTTAGATCTGTTTCAATGTCTGCACCTGATAAAGCATTGATTGGCGAAATCATGCTTTATTCTGAAGGTTTCCAGGCTTCAACAGAACTCGCTCAAAGATTGACAACAACATTCTCTTTGGCCGACCAATTATTGTCTAAACAAAGACACTACGATTGGGGCTTACGTGCTCAGAAGACAGTTCTCAACATGGCTGGCCAATGGTTAAGAGAAAGCGATGGAAGCCAAAATGAAGCGGATATTGTTATCAGAGCTTTGTTATTCGATACATTAGGAAAACTTGATGACAAAGACAGATCATTGTTCTTGGATATCGTTAAAGATATCTTCAAGACACAAGATGCAAACGCAAACAACGAGAACTCATTACAAGATACAATAAACGAGATCATCAAAGAAAAGAAACTTCAGCCTTCTCAACAACAATTGACAAAAATCGCTCTCCTTCACCAACTTCTTCAGCACAGAACAGGTGCTGTTATCGTTGGCCCAGCAGGTTGCGGTAAGTCAACTGTTTGGAAAGTTCTTGCCGATGCATTAACAAAATCAGGTCATAAATGCAATGTTTGGCATATTGTTCCAAAAAGTGACGCTTTAGAAATGTTGATGGGTTCCATTGATTTAGATACAAGAGAATGGACTGATGGTTCATTAACTAAAGCAGCAAGAGCAGCAGCTAAACTTCCTCCTGAAGAATTCGGTTTTATTGTTTGCGATGGCGATGTTGATCCAGTTTGGATTGAATCTTTGAACTCTGTTTTGGATGATAACAAACTTTTGACACTTCCAACAGGTGAAAGAATCCAATTCGATAAGAACGTAAAGTTTATCTTCGAAACACATTCATTGCAATTCGCTTCTCCAGCTACAGTATCAAGAATGGGTGTTTTGTTCGTAAATGCTGTTGATTTCGATGTCAAATTAACATTCCCACAATTTACAGAGAAAATGAACCCAGAAATCCAAAAGTTGTTCAACAAATTCATACCACAAGTCATTACTTTGTTGCAGCAGAATGCACAGAACATGGTTTTCCCATTAACAGACTTGTCTATGGTAAGAAACATTTATCCACACGTTGCAAATTCAACAAACGAAACAGACTTTGTTTTAGGAGTTATAAGAGGTTCTGTTTCAATGTTGAATCCATCAGTTCATGAGAAATTCGCAACACTCATTCTCCAGAACGCTAAATCTTGCGGTATCAAGTTCAGTTCGATGAAGAATCCATTAACATCTTATGTTGCAAAAGACGGAAATGTTTCCAATTTCGATTACGTCAAAATGCCAGATAACGCCTGGAATGTCACAAATCCACCGTTCATCAAAACACCAGAAAGCTGCAGATTCCTTGCAATGGCTGAATCTCATGTCCAGATGAATCAACCTTTGTTAATTGTTGGTCCAAAGGGATGTGGAAAGACAACTTTGATTCAACAATTATATCCAGGAGATGTCGAAGTTATTAATTGCAATGCTTTGACAAACGCAAAGATTGTCATCCAGAGATTGACAGAGCTTTGTTCTTCATCACCTGGTGCAAATGGTATCAGAATGAAACCAAGATCTGGAAAGAATTTGACAATTTTCTTCAAAGGAATCCAATATCCAGCAGCTGATAAATTCGAAACAGTTCAATTGCATTCATTCATTAGACAGCTCACACAGCTAAATGGCTTCATGAATGATGCTCTTGAATGGGTAGAATTAGTTGGAATCAACATCGTCGCTTCAATGAATCCTGGTGAATCATTACAAACAATTTCTGAAAGATTGATTTCTCAATTCAGAATTGTTGTCATTGATTACGTTTCCAGCGATTCCCTGAAGTTCATCTATGGAGAATACGTAACAAAGATATTGCACACAGAACAAGAATCAACATGGAACAATTCAAACCTTTGTTACGAACTCGCAAAATGCATCGTAACTGTTTACGATCAATTTTTGTCAGCAAACGGTTTCACTCTGAAAGATGTAACTAAATGGGTAACAGGAATCTCGAGGTATTCAGACAACAATCCAAATGAAATATTGTTGTTCGAAGCACAGAGATTATTCTCAGATAGATTGCAACAGGCAAAGAGAAAAGAATTCGAAGGTGTTTTGAGCAAAAACATTTCAGGAAAAGTTCTTGTTTACACATCATTTGGTTTCGATGATCATTTGTTACACAGAGTATCAGCAAGCGAAGTTAAGAAGCAGTTGCAACAAGGATTAGTCCAATACGAAAGAGAAATCGGTCCTTTGGACATTTCTTTGGTTAATTACACTGCTAAATTCGCGATGCAAATAAACAGAGCACTTTCATTACCAAAATCTCACGTTATGTTCATTGCAAACACAGGAACATCAACAAAAGAAGTCATGAGATTAGTTGTTCACACAATGAAAGGCAAAGTTTATACTCCTGCAATCTTTGATGGATATTCTATTCGTCATTTCACAAATGATCTCAAAGCTTGCTTGAATGGAAGCGCCTTTGATAAAGCAATGAGTGTATTCTGTATGGAAGAATATCAGTTAATTGATTCCGCTTTCTACGAATACATCAATTCTTTGCTTGCAGGTGTTTTCCCATCGAATCTTTACACTGCTGAAGAAATCAAAGCAATTTTGAGTCAATTAGAAGACATTTCTTTCGAAGATTTCAAGAAACTAGTCTTCGAGAACTTCAGATTCGCTTTGATCATTGATCCAAGATCATCCGGATACCAATCAATCATCAAGTCACAGCCAATGTTCACTGAAGCTTGTTCGATTCTTTCTGTTGGAGAATTGTCAGAAAATATTTTGAATGACATGACTCCACAAATTGTCTCTAAGATCGAAGCTCCAGAAGACACAGCTAAAATACTATTTGGCAATATCGCGAAGACACTTGACATGTCAACAAGCGATTTCCCTGCTTTCATCATGAATTTCAACGAACTTTCGAAGAAGAAATCAGATTCGTTGGCAAAGAGAAAGCAGTTTTTGTCAGATGGTTTATTAAGGTTAAATGCTGTTGCATCAAAGGTTAACCAGCTTTCCAAAGAAGCTGATGCACAGAGAGCACAAGTCGAAGAGAAAGAAAAGAGAGCCAATGAAGCCATGAACGAAATTTCCAAGACAATGACAGAACTCACGAAACAACAAGATCAAATGGACGTAATTCAACAAGATTTGACAAAGAAAGAAGGCGAATTAAGTGTCCAAAGAGAAGAGATCGATAAGCAATTAGCTGATATCAAACCAACATTACAAGCTGCTTCAGAGAAAGTTTCTCAAATCAGACCAGAACATCTCTCTGAAATTAAATCATTCACTTCTCCTCCACCATTAGTTCGTGATGTTTTAACTGGTGTTGTTTTGTTGTTAGGAAACCAGAACGTTTCATGGGCAGGTATCAAACAAGTTATCTCAGGATCCGGATTCCTTATGTCTATCTTGAGATTTGATCCTCACAATGTCACAAACAAAATGATCAATGATGTTGAGAATTTCATCAAATCTCACATGGGATCATTTGACAGAGAACAAGCTGAGAGATCTTCTGCAGCAGCTGCTCCTCTTTCACAATGGGTTAAAGCAATGGTTAAGTACTGTGCTGTTATCCAAAGAGTTCAGCCTCTCGAGAACAAGATGAAAGAATTAGATGACCAATTAGTTTCATCAAGAAATCAGTTGAAAGACTTAGAACAAAAGAAAGTTTCCTTGAACAAGAGAGTCATCGAGATGCAAGAACAATTCAAGGAATACACAGCAGAAGCTGAGAAACTCAGAATATCTCTTACAGAACTTGAAGAAAGAACTAAAGCTGCTTCAAGTTTGTTGAATAAACTCGGTGATGAACAAAAGAGATGGGCAAGCCAAGTTAAAGACATCGAGAAAGAAGTTTCAACAATTCAACCAAGACTCATTATGTCCGCTGCTTTCATGACAATCTGTGGTTCAATGAACGAAACAGAAAGAAGCGACGTAATGAAGAAATTGGCTGAAAAACTCGAATTGAAAGAACCTTTCTCTTTCACACCATTCATGAATACACAATCCAAAATTCTTGAAATGAAGCACAACGGATTCCCATCTGATGATCTTTCAGTAGAAAACGCCCAAATCATCCAGATTTCCACACAAAGACCTTTGTTTGTTATTGATCCAACAGAACACGTCGTAGAATGGTTGCAAAGTGTTTTAGGTCCATCTGCAGAAGTTCTTTCAAGTTCTCATCCAAGATTCCAACACCAAGTCACATTGGCAATCAGATTTGGAAAGAAACTTATTATCAGAGAAGCAGATAAAGTTCCTTTGTGTTTGTATCCATTCTTGAACAGAGAATTCGTGATGTCTAATGGACATTTGACTGTTTGCGTCGGCGACAAATTCATTGATGTCCATCCTGACTTCAGATTGATCATTGTTACAAGAGATGCAGCAATCAAATTAACAGCGAGAGAGAAATCTCTTGTCAGTTTAGTTAATTTCACTGTAACTAAGACAGCTTTGAAAGCACAGTTACTGACATTAGCACTGACAACAGAGATGCCAGAACTCGAAGAGAAGCATCAAGAACAATTAAACGAATCAGAACAACTCAAGATCGAACTCGGAAAATTGGAAGAAGGTTTGCTTGAAATTCTCGGAAAAGCAAATCCAGATACAATTCTCCAGAACAAGGAACTCATTCAGAGCCTTGATGACAAGAAGAAGAGAGCTGTTGATGTTGAAAACAGACTCAAACAAGTTGAAGAATTCCAGAAACAAATCGAAGAGAAAAGATCACAATATCAAATGTTGGCTGATGTTTCTTCATCAATTTACTTCGCAATCGAGAATTTGCATTTGGTTCATCCAATGTACAAATTCTCTTTGAACGAGTTCACGAAGTTGTTCATTTCTACATTCTCAGCTTGCCAAGAGAAAGAAAAACGTGTCAAGAACTTAATTTTGACATTCAACTCCATGGCATATTCACACTTCTCTCGTGCTTTGTTCAGAGAGCACAGATTAGTGTTTGGTATGCAATTGTTGAAGACAGTTTATCCTAAGATGTTCCCAGAACCAGAATATCAACATTTGTTGAGACAGAAACCAGCACAAAGTGTTGATGGAATTCCTCAATTCATACCTGCAGAAAGAAGACAATCTTTGGCAAGTTTGAACCAGCAATTCCCAGATTTAGTTGCTAAGTTACAAATAGCAAATAATGACAGACAATGGATGGCTTGGTTGCAGAGTAATTCACCAGAAATGAACTCCGAATGGCCACAAATTGAAGGAAAATCAATTCAAGAACTTGGTGTTTCACAACTCCAAAAGATCTTGATTCTTCAAGCCTTAAGACCAGATAGAGTCATTGCAGCTCTCGAAAAACTTGTAATTTCAACATTCAAGAACCCAAGAATTCTCTCATTAAGAGAAGTAATGACAGAAGAAACAGAAAACTGCTTTGTCTTCATTGTCACTCCTGGCAGTGATCCAAGCATCGAACTCAAGGAAATCGCAATGGAAATCGAAACAGTTGGAGAGAACAATTTCATTGAACTCGCGCTTGGTGAATGCGATTCTCAAGAAGCTTTGTCATTAGTTAAGAGTGCTGCAAGAGGTGGACAATGGGCTGTAATCAAGAACGTCCATCTCGATATTGATTTCTTGCAACAACTCGAGAAAACATTGCCATCATTAGCTCCTAAAGATGGATTCAAATTAATTTTGACAACAGAAGCAACAACATCATTCCCGAATGTTTTGCTTCAGAGCTCCGCAAAGATTGCTTACGAAGCACCTCCAGGCCTCATCAACCAAATGAAGAGAACATTGACATTGTGGAACGAAGACTGGTTCTCACAACAACCAAAGAGAGTCAGACAAGCTCTTGTTTCTCTCGCTCATCTTCACGGTACATTGCAAGAAAGAAGAGCATTCATTCCTGTTGGTTGGTCTCAGTTCTTCGAGTTCACACAGGCAGACTTAAACGCTGCTTCCCAGATCATTGTACAAAGATGCGAATCAACAGATGTCGTCAGAGGATTGATCGAAATGACTGTTTATGGAGGTCCAATGGATTCTCCATTCGACAGAAGAGTTCTTTCTAAATTCATTGAAAGAGCATTCCCTGCAAGAAAGACACCTTTGTTCGCAATCCCAGATGAACCAACACTTAATGATCTCCATGAAATGTTGGCGAAATCGAATGCTGAAGATGGTCCAGGATTGTTGGAATTAGCACCAAATGCAAACGCAACAATCGCAAGATCTACATTAGTTTCGTCACTGAAACTTTTAGCTGTTTTAAGTGCAGCTTCAGGTGGAGATGAAACAACATCCAATGACCACTTCCAGCAAGTCGAAGAACTCTCAAAGACATATCCAAGTGCTTTGGAAGATGTTTCTGTTTCATTGGCAAACCATCCAGCAATCGATTTCCTTACTATTCAAAGAGCAGCAGCACACAAGCTCGCAAGGTCTGTTAAAGACGATTTGCAAAGTTTGTCAGGTGTTGTTGATGCTTCTTTGTTACCAGCACATTTGAGAGCTGTTTCAGGAGCATTACAATCCCAGAAAGTTCCAGCTGATTGGGATGTTGACTGGCTCAGATCTGAAGACATTTCAGAGTGGTTAGAAGAACTCTTCTCATCGACGGCAGCTGTAGATCAATGCGCAATGAGATTGAAGGACCACAATGTGTTAACATCGCAACCTGTACCGCTTAAAGCAACAATCAGACCAGCAGCGTTTGTTATGGCTTTAATGCAGACAGCTGCAAGAATGAACAACGCTGAAATGGATAATATGATGTTAACTGCTTCATTTAATTCACCTCCATCACAGTCTTACTTGACAATTAATGTCTGCGACATTGCTGCACAAGTTGCTGTTGTTTCTGGTGGTAGAGTTACAATGTCTAAGTCTCCAAACAATGATATTGAAAAGGTGGAAAAGTTCTTCCTTTCTGTGATGCCGCTCGACAGAGCTGCAAATGGAATTCTCCTTCCAGTTTTCGAATCTATCGGAAGAGATCGCCTCGTCTGCAAGGTTTTGACACCATGCGATGAAGCTGAGAAAGATGCACTGGTTTTATCCTCTGCTGCTTTCGTTTTGACAAGTTTCTAATTTAAGAATAAAAAAAATTATTTTTAAAAAATATATATTTTTATTCTTGATACCATAAATACAGTATATTTAATTGTCTAGCAAGTAATATAAGAAATCTTATTTTTACGAGTGTACAGAAAATTGCATTAAAAAGCACTGATCTTGTGATATATGCTTAATGAAAACAATTGATAATTAATGCTTATCCATCAGAATTGTATTTTTATCTACAAAAAAAATATATATTTTGATAAAAATTTCTTGTATATCTGATCAACTCGGCTTATTTCTATTCTTTGATGTTGAACAATTACATTTTTAAGGGTGCACTTACCACTTTTTGACATGCTCCCACAATATCAATATATCTTTATTATGATTGCAAAAAAGTATAACAGTAATATAAGGTACTAAGTAATGATTTAAAATAACTTCTTTCCGAACAAAGTTAATGACTTTTTACCTTAGAAAATTATGATATAAAGCTTGGATGTCAAAAAATTGAGAGAATGTCAGAAAGTGGTAAGTGCACCCTTAAGGTAGTTCATGATAGTTTTAAAAATTTGTTCAAAATGAATTAGCAGTTTATTTTCTGAATTCTAAAATAGTAAATGATTTCATGGTTCTTGTAAATGTTTTAGTTTTTGTATGGATATTTATCTATTGGATGTCAGACTGGAGGCAGTCAGATATGACAGTAAATGACAATAAAACGATTTTTCCTGATTAGGTATTTCCATGAATAGAATTTCACCTTCATTTGATTTTTTCTTCGATGATCAAACCATTTCTCCCATTTTTCTAAGCTATGTTTCTGACAGACAAAAAAAATTGAGATAACGCGGTAATAAAATTTTTTTCATTTCGTTTATTTAGATGCTTCCTCTGCTTGCATACCGCACTGCTTATAATGCAGATGATGACAATTTCTGGCTCCCAATCCCAACGAAATTGGGACTCTTACGTATTGGCATTGATAAGAACGAAGCCGAAGATGATGACAACTGGTATGTTGGCTTTTCATACCACTCGCCATGGGGTAAGTTCTCAATCGGATACCACAGCAATGATGAAGAAGATGATGACAACTGGTATGTTGGCTTTTCATACCATTCACCATGGGGTAAGTTCTCAATCGGATACCACAGCAATGACGATGAAGATGACGAAAACTTTAGACTTTGGGCAGACTTAGCAACAGCCATTGGACGTTTCGGTTTTGAATACCACAACGCTGCTGAAGAAGACGACAACTTTATTATCCCACAAATATACTTTAATCCTTTTAAAAAGATCGAAGAATATATGAAGCTTCATTATCCTAATGAAGATAGGAAAGTAGCAGCTAAGAAACCAATCCGTATCAACAAGGCTTTATTAAAGCGCTGGTTTGAGAAGTACGGATACCGTGCTTTCCCACGCTTGTACAAGAAAGGAGTAGCTCCAAAGAAGAATGTTCTAGGTATTATCGCTGCCAATCCAATTTACCGTCAGTATTATAATTGGAACAGATTTTTGCAAGGAGTCAAGCAAAGAGCACTTGCAAAATAAATTCGAATTTCATTTGCATCATTAATCTTAAAAATCTTCTATGAAGGTAACAACCTAAGATTTTTTTAATTATCAAGAATGATTTTGATTGAGTAGGGGTAATTTTAGCTAAAAGTGACATGCCTGTAAAAAGTGACACACCCGTGAAGGGTGTGATTACCGATCGGTAATTTCGACAGTTTAGAATTTAAAATTTTTTATGGAACTGTTGCGAGTTTCATAAAGAATTTAAGGAATATAAGCAAAGATTTGAATCAAAATCTTAGACCTAAGCCGATCGCTTCGCTCGCGGCTTTCGCGAATTACAGATCAGCAAAGATTTGAATCAAAATCTTAGACCTAAGCCGATCGCTTCGCTCGCGGCTTCCGCGAACTACAGATCAGCAAAGATTTGAATCAAAATCTTAGACCTAAGCCGACCGCTTCGCTCGCGGCTTTCTTTATTATTTTAAATTTGCATATTTCCATCAAAAGTTCATAAGGTAAAAAATTTCGTTTATATTATTGCAAAATAAAATCTTCATTATCAAAATAATATTAAATGATAATATAATATAATTTATAAACAACTATTATTTAATAAAGTTTAATAAATCAAGGTTCATCTAATTTTTTGATTTTTAATGTTTTATGAATTTTATTTATCATGTATATATCTAATGAAGATTATATATGTAGAAGATAAGTACCTTAATATGTACGTAAAAATTAATGAAATTTATTTTGAATGTAGAACCGAGCAATTTTCAAATTTTGTGCTTTTTTTGAATTTTCTCGATACCAGATAAGTTGTGTTGGCTAAATAATATATGGATACAATGTGTCTTATAGATGAATATATGCACAAAGTTTAAGAGGCCATTTTCTTTCAGAAACCGAGATTTGTGAATTTTTTCAAAATTTGTGCTTTTTTTGATATTGAAATTTCATTTCATTTTTTTGATGCATATCGATGCACCATGCGAACTTAAAGAAAGGCTATCTTATATAGATGCTATGAAAGCTGTCATTGATAACGAATGCCATGCAGGTTGTCCATATCAATTAAAAAAAATCCAAATTTAGGGGGAACAAAATTAAAATTCAGGTGCAGTGCAGATAAATGTGAAGCATGTATCTCATTTCTAAAGGATGATGAAGAATATATCCTAACAGAATATAATGGAACACATAATCACAATCAAATCAAAGATGAGACAAAGAAATACCACACATTATCACAATGCTATCGTCGGGTACTTATTAATTTTATAAAACCGGGGGGTGATCCGAAAATGGCTCAAATTGAATGCGACAAAAAACTTGATCTGGATGATCCACTTAACAGGCCATCTTTTTTGAATGCATCTTCAGATCAAATGAAAACAATTCAGGAAAAAGGAAATAAAAAGATCAAAGGTATTCAAAAGTACGATGATAATCAATTCAAGTCAACTCAATTATTTAAGGGTATCAAAGAACAAGAGTCACCAAAAGATTTAATTTATTTCGATGTCGATAATTACAACAAACCAAAGAAATTAATCTTTTATTATGCTTCTTTCAAATTTCTGGACATAATCAAAATTGTGAAAGAGCATTTTATTGATGCAACCCATTCATTACTTGAATTTAAAATGTTGTTTTACATGATATCAGCCAAATTTCCAAATACACATGCATTCCCAATTTTTCAATTTGTCGTTTATCCAAACACTTCAGAAAATATTGCATTCTGTCTCAAGGCATTTTTTAACTGGGCAAAAGTAAAACCAAAATATTTTATGTCAGATTGTGCACAAGAAATCGAAAATGCGATTATCAACTCTTTTCCAGAAGTTATCCTTCATTGGTGTGCAGTTCATGTAATGAGGGCGTTCAGAAAAAATTTGAAAGATTATGCATTTGAGAGTTCAGACAAATTGATATTAGATACAAAAATGAACTATCTTGCATACGGCAGAAATGGCAAGAAAGAATGGATTGAACCAACGTTCAAAAAAATTCTGGAAATAGCCGAAAAATTCCCAGAATTTTCAAAATACATACAAAATCAATGGATATCAAACCAAGAAAGATGGACAGCCGCTGAAAGAGATGAAAATTTAGCTCTCACAAATAACATTTCAGAATCGATTAACAAAAAATTAAATATTACTACTTTGGCGGAACAATTTTCATGAGATTTGATCGATTTGTGATGAAATTAATCGATTTTATCGTTCCTTCATTTTATTACAGAATTTCTCAAGATATAAGGCTCAGAGACAAAATTCCAAATCCGTTGCCATCTGAAAAAAAGCCAAAAAAGTCTACAATCAGACTGGATACAGAAAAATGTATAATGCTCACTGATAAAATTAAATCGTTAATAGTTAACTCATCAGCAAACTTAAATACGCTTCAATTGGGTTTAGATGACCTACTTGATAAAGTTGTCAAGGCAGCAAAGGTTCAAAAACGAATGACCCAGTATTTTTCGAAATTAAGTATCCCAATGGAAATCAAGCTTAGTATTCTCACGCAAATTACAGAATTTGGATGCAATACCCCTCAATTCATTGTTGAGAATGCCAAGTCTTTTCAAGATAAAATTATTACAGATTTCCACCTTCAAATTTATACAACATTATAAAAATTTATGAATAAAAACTTGATATAAAATAACATTTTTATTTTTACTAAGAAAAAAAGGTTTTTGATAATAAATTTATTTTATTTCGAAAAAGGAGCAATAATCGTAAAAGGGTATTGATAGGCTTGCTAAAATAACTAATTTTAGCTGTCAAATACTTTTGTATTTTGAAGTAAATTAGTATAAATTTGTTTTTACTTTTATTTCGAAAAAGTAACAATAATCGTAAAAGGGTATTGATAGGCTTGCTAAAGTAACTAATTTTAGCTGTCAAATACTTTTGTATTTTGAAGTAAATTAGTATAAATTTGTTTTTACTTTTATTTCGAAAAAGTAACAATAATCGTAAAAGGGTATTGATAGGCTTGCTAAAGTAACTAATTTTAGCTGTCAAATACTTTTGTATTTTGAAGTAAATTAGTATAAATTTGTTTTTACTTTTATTTCGAAAAAGTAACAATAATCGTAAAAGGGTATTGATAGGCTTGCTAAAGTAACTAATTTTAGCTGTCAAATACTTTTGTATTTTGAAGTAAATTAGTATAAATTTGATATTATTTTAACTCCCTTTGAAAACCTCAATTTTCCATACAGAGGGAACGGGAATAGCATCCAATATTCCCTGAGAATGGTTGCGCATTCTCAGTTCCCTCTATATTTCGAACGAAGCTCTCATCGGTCTTTTTTTTTCATACTAAACGTTTTTTTTCCTGTCACTTTTAGCTAAAATTTGGGTTTGCCGATTTTGATTTTCATTTAAGTTTAATAACCTTTTGGCATTGAGCATGTATAGAATGTATTAATTAAATTAAATGCCCCCTCAACTCAAAATTTCTGAAATTGGCGAAAAAATACTTTTCCTTTACAAATCTCATTGAAATAAACTAGCTTATAATTTCTGTGTATCCAATATCTATGAGGAGCAGGAATCTCTAATTGTCAAAATTGAGAATCGTGAAGTTGGAGATATCGCTATGGATGTGAATCTTATGAAAATAGGATAAAATGCGCAGTTATGAATATTATATGTATTATACATCAACAAATCACCCGGGAAACGAAGTTTTTCTCTCCAAATATTATATTTGATAATAAAAAAAATATTACTAGTTTTTATAAGATTTTATTATCTTGTGGAATGTTTCTCTGCATTCTTCTTTCAAAATTGGCCATCTTGAAATGAAAATTGATCGTAAAAGTTGCGATCATTGAAATATCGGCGTCTTGATTCAATATTGAACCTTGATGGGAAATCATCAAAATTCAAATATCGTGTACTTAAATCAATGACTATACATCATATATAAAAGAAGCCGATATTTGAAATGGTAATAACGAATTTTCCTATTTCAATTTTGACGGTTATTATTAAAAGAAAAAGAAAGATGTCGTCAAAGAAGAACATCAAAAAGTACGGAACAGATATCACAAATATCGGCGTTAACAGAATCCCAACCAACCTTAATCGTGTAGGCTTTGTAGTTATCAATTGCTACATTGGAACAAGATATTCACTTGGAGATGGCCCAATGAATGATGGTTATAACATGGCAAAGTGTCTAAAGAGATATGGATTTCAGGTCTTTTACATCTACGACCAGAAAAGAAACGCTTTCATGGAAAAACTTAAATTCTTTTTGGAAAACGTTAAACGCGAGCTTGTTGTATATTACGTAGGTCATGGAACAAGTGTTGCGGATACTGATGGCGATGAAGACGATCAAATGGATGAAGCTTTTGTCTTCGTTGACGGAAACGTTATTGACGACGAACTTGTTGAGTGTGTCAGCAACAGTAAAAATACAGAATCAAAGGTTGTTTTTGTTTCTGATTGCTGCCATTCAGGCTCCATTTGGGATCTTCAGGGCGGAGATGTGAATGGAAGAAAATTACCAGACAAACTTGTTTCCGTGAGTGCTGCAAACGATAAACAAACTGCAAAGCAAACAGTTGCAGAGAGAATGGAACAAGGAATGTTCACTTACAACTTGATGAAGACATTGAAGGCTGATCCAGATATGACAGCTGTTGAATGCAAGAAACGTCTTGCAACAGCACTTCGAAGATACGCTCAAACAGTTACAATTGCAAGTACTACTCCTGAATTACTTAATGAGCCTTTGTTTTTAAATCAATAAAGATATTGAGTATTCAGATTTAAATTATCTCCACATTTTTAGGAAAAAGCTATAAAAGTGAAAATGTAAATGTTATACACTATTAATGTATTATAATTTTTGTATATTTATAAAAAAAATAGAATTACATAATTTTTACAACAATTTTATCAAACAAAATGTAAGCACATATTTATACAGTTATACCTGAGTTGCTGAATAATGAAGGTTCAAGAGATATTGTTGATGTGCAATCTCTGACTTTAAAGATACCAACAAGTCTATCTGCAATTTCAAACATGTTATTTCTTAATGTCACGACAATGAATTGTGCATCTGCAGTTCTCTCCTTCAAGAAGTTTGCAATGATGGAGACATTTCTGAAATCAAGGGCAGCATCTATTTCATCCATAATATAGAAAGGAGTTGGTTTGAAATTATGGAGTGCAAAAATGAGAGATAAACTTGCCAAAGTTTTTTCTCCGCCGCTAAGATTTATAATTGGTTTCCAAGACTTTCCTGGAGGTCTAACAGAGAATACAATACCTTGTCCAAATGGATCTAAGCTATCAACAATCTCTATCATAGCATCGCCTCCTAAAGCTATTCTCTGGTAAGTTTCTCTCAATGATGTTTGTATCTCTGCAAATCCATGAAGGAACATATCTAATCTTGCTTTTTTAACCTTTGCAAGTTCTTCAGCTATATTATTCCTCTGCTCAGCTGCATTCTTAAATATTTCAAGGCATTCTTTTACAATTGCATCTTTTGCTGCATATTCTTCAATGACTGAAAGGTTTGGATCCATTTTTCCAACCCTTTGTTTAATGTTTTCCTTTTCTATTTCTATATCCGTCTCTGATAGATTCTTGTCAAATGATTCATCAGTAACTCCACTTTTTGACAATTTCTGCGAGTAATATTCATATTGGCGTGAAAGATCTCTTAATGCGTTCTGTGCGGTCTCATAATATATCTTTAGACTATCGATTGAAACTGTAATTTCAGATCTTTGTCTTCTGTATTCTGTTGATTCTTCTATGTATTTCTTAAGATTTTCTTCTTTGAGAGAAACATCTGCTTCGCTTTCTTCTTTGATTTTCTTTTGCTCCTCATATCTCTTTTCTAATTCGATTGATTTTTGCTCGTTTTCTGAAAGTCTTTCTTTATGTTTCTCGATATTTGATTCACATTCTTTGATTGTATTCTCTGCATTTTCTTTCATTTTAATAGAGCTCTGAACTTTGGCGCTACTTTTAGCTAATAATCTTCTGTTTTCTGATATTTTATTTTCTAATTCTTTGATGATCCTTTCTTGATCACTTGTTTTATTTCTGAGAAGATCAAAGACAGTTTTCTCTATTTCTCTTATCTTACAAGATAAAGAGTCGATTTCTTGACGTAAATGGTCAATTAATGGTTTCTTTTCTTCAATAACCTTTTCTAATTCGTTTATTTTCTCTGAATTGTCGATTAATTCTTCATTTTCTAAATCTGAAATTGTTTTTTGGACATCAGTCAATCTTGTTTCGATGTTTTCTTTATCCATTTGAAGTTTTTGTATTTCAAACTCAACATTTAATTTTTGAATTTCATTTAATTTAATCCTTTTCTCTTCAATTTCACTCCTCATTGATCGATAAATTTCATCATATTTCTTACTTTCTTCAGCCAATTCTTGAAGTTCTCTTTCGCTAATTAAGTCCATTCCACCTTCTTTCTGTCTTGTTCCTCCACCAGACATAGTTCCAGCCGGTTCTATTAATTGACCTTGAAGTGTAACAACTCTTTGTCTTTGTTCAGAGTTGTATGCCAATTTCTTTGCTATTTCGATATCATCGGCAACCAAAGTGTTTTTGACAGCAAAGAAGAAAGCAGGGAAGAACTTTGGATCGTTCATCCTAACCTTGTCGATGATCCTTTTTGATCCTGCAGGAATATCAATATCTTCTGGAACAGAAACTTTGTCTAATGAAATAAATGTAACTCTTCCAAGTCTTCTTCTTTTGATTTCGGCTAAACATTGTTGTGCAATGTCCATATTATCAACAACTATGTATTTAAGTTTGTTGCCTGCAGCTGCTGTCATGGCTGCATTATATTTTCTATCAATTTCTCCAAGTTTTGCAAGCTTTCCATAAACTCCTGGTATGTTTAATGACATTATTGCATCCAAAGCTTCATTTGAAGACGCGTTTTTCTTCATCAATCTTTGTGCATCAGCATATGCATTTCCCGATCTCCTTCTGTTATCTGCAGCGCTTTCTATATCATTCTGTAACTCATTTAATCTGAGTGTTAAGTTTTCTTTGACTTTAACTCTTTCATCATTATCCACTATTTTTTGTTGCAATTCAGCTTCAATCTTTTCTTTTGAGTTTTGTAATTCGACAAATAACTCTTGAGCTTTTTTAAGATTACCATCATGATCGATAGAAGCCTTCTTCATAGAATATACTTGAGATTCTGCGATTGACATTGTTTTTTGTAACTCAAGATATTCTTCGTTTTTAACTGAATTTTGTTTTCTCAAATTCTCCAATTCTTCATTGAAAGATAATGATTCTTGTCTTGCTTCATCACTAAGTTTTTGAAGTTTAATTTTCTCTTCGTCGAGTTTGATTTTATTATCCTTTAGTTCTTGTTCATTCTGTGTTTTAATATTAGACTCATTTTCTATGATTGTATCCATTGCAGATAAAGTCGTTTCTGCTTTCTTTTTTTCGTCTTCTGTTTTAGAAATAAGAGAATTAATATGAGAAATTTCCATTTTGCTCTTGTTTCTTTCAGAGTTTAAGTTGGAAAGAATTGATGACTCTTTGGAAAGCTGTGCCTTTGCATTATTTAGCTCTGTTTCTAACCTCTTTTTATCTGATTTTTCACCATTAAATTTTGAATCTAATTCTTTAAGCTGATTTTCCTTCTCATCCAATTCTGTCTTCTTAGATGTCATTTCTTGTTCCTTTTCTTTGATCATTTCTTCTATTTTATTCTTATTTGAGAAATAGGAATGAGCTTCGAGTACCTTTATCTTCTGTTTCAACTGTAAATATAGATCTGCTTCATCTTTAGCTTCTTTTAATGCATCTCTTTCTCTTTCTGCCATCCTAAGTCTATCAAGAGTAAGTGATCTTTCACCATTTGCTTCCTCAAGACGAGATTCACATTCTGCGATAGGTTCAATGTATTTATCTGATCCAATTATATCTTCAATGTATTCTAGGAATCCTGTTGGACCATTTGGTGAAGATTTTGGTTTCATTTGTGAAATTGCTTGAACCTCACCCTGTAAGATTAAAAATCTATTATGTTCGAAGTCTAATTTTTCATGTTTAAGATATTCTGTAATCTCAGTAAAGGATGATTTCTTATTGTTAAGATAGTAATTTGATTCACCACTTTTTTCGACTTGACGTGATATTAAAAACGATGACCCTGCGATTTCTTCATTATTTATTGCTTTTGCAAAGTGAACTTCAACTCGAGCATATGAAATGTTTGGATGATCTGGTCCATTATATATGAGACCAGTTAATTTTGAATGGCGCATTCTTTTTGCTCTGAATCCAAATACAAAAAGAAGAGCGTCGATAAGATTTGATTTTCCGGATCCGTTAGGACCAACAATACAAGTAAGTTGATTGTTAAATGGTCCTACTATTTGTCTACCATAGTAAGACTTGAAATTTTCAAGTACAATCTGTGTAACAATCAATCTTTCGCTCATCTAATTCCTATTATTAAACGGTCACTTTCATCAAATCTGCTTTGGAACAAAATCATGTTTGGTTCCTCTCATAGGTTAGAATCCGCATATGAAGCAATGAAAATCAATGGACCTTTAATTTAATTTTTTATTGTAGCATTATACCCTTTGTTATTGATGACATATTGCCAAACATAATCGTGGAATTATAATTTGTAGACCAAAAGCTCATAAACCTTCCTTTTGAAAGTTGAACAAATTTGAATTGGAATACGAAGTATTTCTTTTGTTCATTTGTTTATTTCACGATCTGTTTAACGAAATTCTCTCAAAATTGGGCATGAATTTTAAAAAAATAAAACTTTGAATTAAATTCTTTTTGAAAAATCTTATGTCTGACAAGCTTATTTCAAGCGCATTCCTATATTTATATGTTGCATTACAGGATTTGAATAATTTATGAAATGGCAAAAAAACTTTTGGGTTTGTAGAATTCGTAATGTAATAAGTATTTCATATTAATATCTTATAATATGCTAGATTCATGAATGAAAAAGATCTTTGAAAAAGACAAATATTCACTCATTTTATATTGGAATTTAGCTACTTTTATTGTTGACATTACTGATTTCACATTTGAATGCTAACAAAAATTGAGGCATAGATTAGTCCATTTCCTTTGAATTTTGATAAAATTGTTTATTGAATACCGACTTGAATCCGTTTTATTGTAGAATTGTGATTCGTCCGCATCTCTACTGACATGAAAATGTAGGACAAATTCTTTTGTTTTCCCACTTTTTCTATGTCAAATTTCACACTATCATTTTATGCAAACATATATTAAAACATAAGAAAAGAAAAAATTAGAAACTTCTGATGTTCTGTCGATTTTGGTAATATTCTTAAAATTTGAAACAAATTTATCTCTCATTTTTCATGATGTTTTCGCTATTGCTCTTACCATTAACACGATCGCTTTATGGTGAAATCATAAGCAAATATGATTATCAATTTTTTGATGAATCCTATTCCGACGATCTTGGATTGATAAAGAAACTTTACACAAAGGTCAGATATGATGGTTCAATAAAAAATATTCAAGATGCATCTGATTTAGACTACATGGTTAACATTTCCCATTATCATACTGATAATTATAATGTTTATTTCACAGTCAAGCAGACAATCACTAATAAAGGTACCACAGAAAAGAAAATTGACCTTTGTACAGCAATGGTGTTCAATGAAATGGATAAGTTTGTTGATTCTTATACTATCCCGAATTTTGGTTGGAGCTTGTATTTTACAGAAACATTTTACAACACTATAGTTTTACAGAATCATCCAATGGTTACAAATGTTAATGCCCAAGACTATGGACTTGATGAAGAGCCTAGATTCTTTACAAACAATCTCACAGCATTGAAAATGACTGTCACAGATTCCCGGGGAATTAATTGGCTTTCGTTTTCCTGGTTAAATAATTATATTAAGCCTGGTGAATCAGTTTCTTTCACTTATTTATATTTTGATAAAGAATATGAACCACCACTACTTCAGCTTGATAAATCACTCATTACAGAGGAAGTTGATAGTACCGAACCAATCCATCTTAAGGGATCTTACTCACATTATTCCGAAGGATTGATGGCAAGAGCTTTTTATCAAATTTATGACAGAAGAACTTATAAACTTGCCAAAAGAGGACGCATTGGATAATTTGAAATTTCCGAAACAAAGAAATCCGAAAACTTTGATATTTTTGTCGAACCGCCAACGGAATTAGGAGATTACACATTAGAAGTTTATACATACTTTTCCTTCACTCAATCATATTTATCAGAGTATTTTGACATTACTGTTGTTCCTCCAAATTATAGGCCGAAGTTATATGTGCTTCCGCCTGACTATATCTATTACATTCCTGATTCAGAAGTGACTTTCTTGGCTTCAGCTTACGATCAAGATTCTGGCGATAAGAAACTTACTGCAAAGGTTTTCTTTGATAATAAAGAAGTTGCATCTCAAGAAGTTGCTAACAATAAAGATTTGAAAGAATTCAAATTCAAAGTCCCGACTAATACAAAGGCTGGTGATTACGAAGTCAAAGTTACAGCAACAGATGGTAAGAAGAGTGCAACAAAGAAATTCCCTATTAAAATTCAAAATAATACAGTTCTCACAATTGATTTCGAGCCTAAACTTAACCTCACATATAACAAGGGTGACAAAGTCAACTTCACCGCCGTAATCAACGATCCAGACACGAACTTTGACAACAAATTCATTGTTTCGCTCTATTACAATGATGTAATGAAGTCAAGTCTAACAGCAGAGAATAAAAAGGGATTAATCAGAATTCCTTTATCCTTCTTTATTGCAAAAGATGAAATCAACACCACTGCTGAAATCAAAATCATAGTAAAAACACCAATTGATACAACAGAGAGATCTACATCAATTAGCATCTTTCAGGATGTAACTGGAAAATTTGCAAGAGAAGGCAGTGCTTCGAGAGAATCAACAAAGAAGAATGCGCTTATTGCAGTTCTATGCGTCTTAACTGTTCTTACTGTAATTGTTGCCATTGTAGTTGTTATTCTTTGGCTAAGAAAGTAAAATATTTCCTAATATTAATTTCTTTATAATATTGTTTGGAAAATCAGTGATATTTGTGTGTTTAGTGGAGTTATGTCAATATATTAAAATAGAATTTTATTATAATCTATTAAAAGCAAAAAGTGTTATAGAAAGCTTGAACTTTTGATTATTAATTTTTCTTTTAATTACTGCATCATCAAATTCATTATCAGAAAAAAATTGAAAAGAAGCAATAATTGCTTCTAGATTTGAGAAAAGATGATTTGATCTTCTGCAATAATTTCAATTTGACAGCTTCCAACTGAAATATCATCATTAATTGGAATATCATAATTAAATCTTACAGGATCCGAGGTTCTAATAGTTTTGTTAAGCAAGTTGTAGCTTTCACTGTTATTTATCTTGTGATATATACTTATATTGCTATTTCCGTCGATATCTTGTAATGATAAAACTAAATTAATAAACTTTTGTTTATTGATAAAAATTGGGAAACTTGGTTTTTCAAGTATGGAAAGAACCGGTTCATTGTATAAATACTTGAAGATATAAGTCTTATTTAAACAATAGTTATTCTTTTCGCAGCTAGTTAAATTAATTGTATGAAATTCTGACTTCAAATTTTCAGGGATATCTAAATTTAAATTAAATTCATGATCATACTTATCGTCAATATTGATGATAGTACTTTTTGATGTTAGATTATCAATTGATGCTGTAACATTGATAATTTCATCACAATCAAGATCAGATACTGTTCCTGAAATTACAATATTTCGATCTAATATATATCTATAAATTTCTTTCGGTCTGGTGGTTACATCAAGAAAATGATGATTTCTATAAAACATAAATTGTTTTGATTGCATCTTTGATTCGCCTGTTGTTGTTGAGACCCACACTTTTAAAGTGTATTGACCTTCTTCTAATGGAAAATCTTTAATACTACAATTGCCATCAAACGAAAAGGTCGAAATTGATTCTGTTTTATTCATAGATAATTCTAAAGCAACTTCTATGTCATTAACGCTGCAATGCAATGAGAAATCACTTACAAAATATCCTCTCCCGCTTACTGGAATTACTGTGTCTATTGTTTTATTAAAAGTTTTCTTCGAAGGGTCATCTAATTCAAGGGAAAATGAAATGACAAAATCAAAGTTGACATGTACTGTATTGGATAGTTCGATTCCATTGTCCGTATATCGAACAGAAAGAGAATGAGTTCCATTGTGCAATTCATCGGGGATACTGATTGAAAATGAATATTGAGAATTCAAATCGTCTTTGTATTCAGAATTAATTGGAAAATCATCAATCTGAGTAATTATATTTAGTGGTTCTATCCTTCTTTCATCTAGAAAAACTGTGCCTCTGATGAATTTGTCTTTTCCTTTTTCAAATAACACTTTCTCTAAAATGACTTTATTTAAATATGAAATTGGATGTACAGCTGAGCATAAGGCAGTAACAAAATTATCGTTTTGAATGCTTAATGAATCAATAGTGTATATAACTGGTGAATTGAGAGGTATAGTAGTATTATAATATGAAGGAAGAGAAGTATCTATAAAGCAAGAATTTGCAGTTAGATTAGAAGTAGGCCCAATAAAAAACAAAGAATAACCTGTGTTATTTATAATCATGCAATGGCTAATTGTAATCTGACAATTTTCGTATGCTTGATAAACAGCACCCGTTTCTGCATCAGGTATACTATAATGTTCACGGATTTTATTTTCATTAATGATACAGTATGACATATCTCCTATGCAATTATGATAAATAAAACCATCCTCTGCGGAATTATTTAAAAAATTAGAAAATCTAATAATGCTATTTGCGTAACCATTTTTATAGATTCCTGACCAAGTTAAATGAGAATGTGATATATTAATATTTTTATATAAAATATTTCCATAATAACTAGAAATCGATCCAAAGATTGTTTCTGTATTGATGATTGTTGAATCGAGTATGTAATTTTTATATGAATCCGAGTTTGAAACTGCTATCGCTGAATGCGAGAAACTCATTTTGTTTGCAGCAGCAATGCTTGAACTACAAACTCTGTATTGGACGCAAGCCCCAAGATATTGAGCGATTCTAACGATAGAATAATTATTAAGATCAGCAAAACCTGATTCAAAAACAGAATTAGAAACAAGAAGTTTATTATTATCATTCCCTGATATGTTAATTGCAGTATAGTTGATGAAACTGTATAATACTTCATGTACATGAAAATTTCCATAATTGGAAATAAGAGCTTCTTTTTTTGTCCAGTCAACTGGAATAGTCCCTCCAAAGAAACGATTCCAGACATCACTAAGGCTCATGTAAACCCATTATAATATTCAGTTTTTTTTTTACTCTCAATTTTGTTTTTACCCAATAATGTTTTAAATTATACTGTCATTTGACGCAATATATTATAAAAGTGTATAAAACTTGATAACTCAAGTTACATGTTGTATTTCAATCATTAGAATAGCTCACATTGTTAAAAAATATATGGAAAAGTCGGAATTTCATGTATAATATATAATATGGTTGGTATGACCAGTATCCCATGACTCTTAATTGGATATATGATTCTAAAAACATAATTAAATTTAAATACGTCAATACTTATAACATAAATTTAAACAAATAAAAATATACAAAAGATAAAACATAACAACAATCAATTAACCTTATAGATGGAACAAACAAACTCTGTACTGTTACATTTCGTAAGTAAATCAGTGTCATCTTTCATTATATCCCAAATTGCCATAGCAAACATGTTCCATGTATCAACAACACCTCGTCCCCACTTGCTTGTGAGTACTGATGATGAGAACAAGTTGTGATGTAGGAATAAGAACGTAATTAAGATGTCTCCAGCGTTTGCGTTCATCATGGATATGTGTATCATAGGTAAAAGGTACTTCTTAGGCTGTTTGTCGCATAAACTGATCAAACTTGTGACGAAATCTAAAATAAGAACGAGACGTTTTCCGTATTTGAGCTCGCCAAGCTGTGTGAGCCTTGTAGCGAGGTTCAGGATGCGGACCATCCTATCCTTCACGTACTCTTGGCATGGGTGGTTCGGCCATATCCGTTCGAGCCAATCATTCGACAGGGCGAGGAACTTCCTCGGCCCCTCAAATTTTGAATTGATCGTAATGTTCACAGAATCGAGTGCTGTGCAACCGATAGCGAAGTAGTTGTGGGAGGAAATCTGGTCGCCTGCAACCATCTTCGACATTGCTGTTGAAAGCGAATCATCAATTCTGTGTCTGTTCTTGAGAACTTTCCTTCTGAGATAATTTCCAGCGAATCTGAAGAAAAGAGTCTGCATGTAGTCATCAATGGCCGACTTTAGATCTCTCTGTCTCGATTCGTGCTCTGCCAGAAGGAAACTCGTTTCAAGAGTATTGTAATTCGTTAAATATTCGTTTAAAATGCTCTTAAGGCAGTAAGATCTGAAGGAGGTCTCGTTCAGAAGACTAAATTTGTACCTCTGGTCGTTGATTAGCATGTATACATCGATAGAATTTTTCTTGGCTTCCATTTGAACGGCTCTGTAGAGTCTGCTGTAGTTTTCGTTATCTTCGATCTTTATATTCGGTGGATATTTGTTGAAAAGAGACTGGCAAATCTGTTCATCGTTGTCGAAGTCAAAACTAGGGAAAATTTCCATGAGATAAGCATCGAAACCGTGAGTAATGTTAAGATCTGATTGCGGCGTATACTTAAAGATCGGTGATGATTTCAAAATGTCTGTTAAAATCGAAAGATCGAAATCACATAAAATGAAAGGGATTCCGTGCGACCAAATCGAGCAATTCATCGATGGAATGACATCAAGGAAGCGTTTGTGGTCTCTGATAATGTTGATCAATCGTTGAACTTTCATTTTTTGATCAGATTTTCTGAGCCACGAGAAGAATGATGTCATGGCCTTGTTGAAGGAAGGATGGGGAATGTATTTCGAAGCATTTGCAGCAACGTTAAATCTGTTTGTAAATAGTTTATCGATCAAAAATGAAGAAACACGGGTTGGGTATGTTACGGCGTAGGAAGCGAAGACATTAACGTGGAATTCAGTCAAATGGCAGAGCGAACTTGACAAACAATTCGTGAAAACGTTGAAAATATAATCATTATCGTATTCACGAGGGAAATTTACATAAGCATCGGTCAAAGCAGCCCAAAGTCTTGTATAGAAAATGGGAACAGCCTTGAAATATGACTCTATAAGATTTTCTATAAAATTGACATCTTTTGTTTCGTAAATAAGGCCAATTAAGAAAAGAGAAGCCGATCTAGAGAATTCCTGACCAAGGAAATAAGAGAAAATGGCAGGAAATGTGGAATATGCAAAGTAGTTTTGGCCAGTTTTATCTTTGACGAAAAATGTGGAAATCGCTTTAGCTAATTCAAGCGGTTTTTCGTAAATTGTGTGTATCTGGAATGCGAGAGTTTGAATAAATATCTGTGGGTATCGAGAGGTGGCTCTTGGAGGCTGATTATATATATTGTGGAAAATACCTGGTACTTTTGTCGAGCTAAATAATTTCGAGTTATCGAGAGCAAAAAGCTCCATTAAAAAACATCCGCGCATCATCCTGATATTTTTTATAAATAATGATTGAAGTTTTCGGCCTAAAATTCCGGCAGCTGAGCCCATTTTGAAGCCGCCAAGCTGGTTGAACTCGGCAACTGTTTTTTCTAATTCATCGAGACTCAGGGCGGTCTCGGATGACATTGGAATATGAACCACGTGACCCTTCAATTTCATAACTTTACAAGTGGAGAATTAAACACTTAATATATGCTTAGAATCAAAAGGATAATATTTTTGCTCGGTTTATCCAATAGGTTTATCACAAATTTTTTTTCACACGAGAGAAGCCAGTCAGAAATTAAAAATAATTGGCGTATTATACGATTATATCTCTTGTATGTATATGTGAATTCCTAGAGGAGAGCTTCATATTATGAGGTTCCTAAAAGTTTGAAAATTTTGATCATCTCCAATTGTCGTTGACTTATTAGAGATTTCGCTGACAAATAGCAGCCTGATGATCGTAATGTATGGTGTTACTGTTAAAGGCGTAGAACAAATCATTTCAAGTTGAAATTCGAATGAAAAATTGCCTTAAAATATAAAATCACAAACAATTCTGATTGAAAAACATATTAAAAATTAGAATAGAAAAGCACAATATAATATATTTAAATAAAAACATAAGAAATAAAATACATGATTAAATTTTGAAAGGAAAGAAAAGGTTTTTCTTACATAAGAGATCCCAATGAAAGATCTGTAGACGATGCGCTCTTTGTTAGATCGAATTTTCCACTATCGCTACTTTCATTTCGAAGAATTGGCTGAGAAAGAACTGGATTGAAAACCAATGGTTTGGAATCGAATGTGTAAACCGTGTTTTCATTATTTAGTCTGTTTTCTTTTTCAATTTTCAGTTTTTCTCTGAAAGTATCAACTTGTGTAAGTAATTCATTGATTTTCTTTTGGTTCTCTTTCTCAATTGATTCTTTAGTAACGATAAGTCTGGCATTCGATGACTGGATCTCATAATTAAGGTCAGATATCAATCCTTTGATTGAAGAAGGAATTGAAGTAACTTTAGCAGTCGGAACAAACCTGTGGAGATGTCTCTCAACAGATTGGATGAATTTTGCTGCTGATTGCGAAATTGAAATCAAAGAATTGATTGGCGATGATAATGGTGAGTTAATTCTAGAATTTAATGACTTAGTAATCATTGTAAATGCTTGGTCTGACTTATCTAATAACTCATCAACGAAAACTGAAATATCATCAACAGAATCTCCTTTGTATCCTAATTTATGGAATAGTTGTAAGATATATTTGTCTCTATTTGATGATTCTTCGTTAAATAGTTGACAAACTGATGATAAAATGTCTGTAAAAAGTAATTCGTAATCTGAAAGTTTGTTTTGCTCTGTATTGTTTGTTAAAGCTTGTGTATCAACATCTATGTTATGTTCTTTAACATATTTTGCAATAGCACTGAGTTTTCCTTTGATTTCAATGTTGGATTTGTTCGAATAAGCATGATTTGATGTCAAAATGTTCCATGATGGATTGTTATTGAATAACTGTTTGCAAAGATTTGATAATTGGTTAATATCTTTCTGTTTGTTTTGTATCTCAAGATTTAGTTCATCGATTTTAGAATCATAAGTGCAAACATCTGTTTTCTTTGTAATTAATGACGGTATATCTTCGAATTTCGCATTTTCGTCGACAACATTTCGAATATTTTGAAGAATTGTTTCGTATTTGTTGATTTTTGAAGCTGATTCATCGTACATTTGCTTGGATTTAACATAATTATTCCTTTCTTGGGCAACTTGTTGTTGAAATTCCAAGAATTTGTTTGATAATTGTTTATATTTGTTTTGATCAGCGACAATTGCTTGTTGGAGAGAATTAATGAACTTGTTCTGTAATTCTATGACTCTTTCCGCCTTCGCTTTGTTCGTTTGGTATTTTTGCAATTCCGATTTTTGGAACTCGTAATGTCTCAAGATTTTTTCGATGATTTCTCTGTATTTTTGGTTGTTGTCTGTGATTTGATTCTTATTCTTTAATGTATTCTTAAGAGTAATTGTATCGGTGTATAAATTTTTCAAATTTTGTTTCAGATTGTCGATTGTTCGCTCGTTTTCTTGTATTTTTGTATTAAGTGTTTGATTTTTAGATATTTCATGATTGAGATTTTCATTTGTTTCTTCAAAAACTTTATTGATTTTTGCATATGCTTTTTTCAGCTTAAATAGCTCTGATTCTTGTATTTTACTATCTTCTCGTAACTTTGCATAATCATTTTGAAGTGAAATACGTTCTTCATCTGGTAACGTCTGTATCGAAATTTCTTGTAAAGGTGGACGTTCGAAATCAATCTGTGTTTCTGCATCATATGTCTCTTTTGATTCTAAAAGTACTCTTAAATAATCGTTTTCTTGCTTTAAAACAGATAAATTTTGTTTTAATTCATTTGTAGACGAAGCTTCTTTCTCCATTTTAACGATGAGGCTCTGTGTTGACTGAACATTCTTAAGTGAAGCTTCAGCTGCAACAGAATTCTCAATGCTTATCGTATTTTGCCACAATAAGTTACAAAAAGCACATTCAATTTCTTGTGCTGTATCGAAAGTAATTGGCTCTTGTGATGATGTATAAAGAATGTTATGTATTAATGTCGCTAGCTTCTTTAATGAAGGGTATTTTTTAACAATCTGAGATAATTCTGGAGGTTTATCAGGAAAGCACTCTTTCATATATTTTCTTAAGTCCAGCTTAGCTCTTTCAACTGGATTAGAAACTGCTGTTCTAAAGATTGATCGAGTTCGTTGGTCCGTTTCCATATAATCTTTTGAAATTCAAACGTGCGCGATATTTTGTGAGAATTAAGTTGAAATTGGTGAATGAACTGCATTCTGAGTAATATGAAAAACAATCGAAAATCTTCAATTCAAAAGAACCCCAACAATTTGAGATGATTCTTTTGCGAAGAATAAGGTTACTCAATACAAAAATAATTCCATTTCTCTGAAAAATAGCCCATTGTTTTAATAGTAAATTTGACAATACCACATAAATTGTTATTGAATTGCCATTCAGTTTCATTCTAACTTTGAAAGATATTCAATGAATTTGAGTCCTAACATCATTTTGATTGGATTGTATTATTATAAACTAAAAATAGAGACATGTTGTCATTTCATTTTTCCATGAAATGAATGAATTATATTCAATAAAAATCTTTCTTCTGGGAAAATCTAAAATTTTTTCAGTAATATGTTGGTAATTTTTTGATTTTTGGAAAAAATTTGGAAACGTGGCCTCTAATATTTTTCATATTTTGATGAAGCATCAATTACTCTAATGTTTCATCATATCCAGAATCCGAAAACATGATACCTGATTCTAGTCAAATCTGAAAATCCATCTTTAAACGAAATATACTCACCAAACATAGAAAGCTTCGAGTTTTCAAGAAAAATTACAATAGATTAGATCAAATAGAAAGAAATTCTTTAATAAAGAAATTCTTTAATAAAGAATAAACACATAATATAATATATTAATCTCGCTCCACATTTTGACTTCTGCCTATACGAGATAACCCTGGATACATTTCTACAGTTGGACTAGATGATTCACTTTGCTCAACACGAATTTGTTGGAAATCTGCATTATCGTTAATATATATGAATATAAGTACAGTAACAATTATGACGATTGCAATTGTAACTATAATTCCCACGATTCCAATCAATTTCATTTCAGTATAAGGTTCTTTATAGACTTGCATATATTCCCCACGTGTAAAATTCGTTATTGCTTCCTTTTCAACATACATAGCTGTGAAGAATTCGATTGATTCGCTATAATTAATTCCATTCAACAAACTTGCTTGAATGAAACAATCTTTTATGTAAAGATTCTTTACATTGCTTGTTAGTTTATCGTATTCATTTCCATTAAATGACGAATTTCTGATAATTATTTGATAGCTTTTAACTTTCATGAATTCTGTATTATTTGATGAAGATTTCCTTCTGTTCTTTAAGAAATTACAGTTCCTTATATTGTAAGTGAATAAAACATCTATTTTAGATGATATTTCAAAGAAAAAACCCGTTTCTTGGTAATTTTCATTAAAATTACAATAACTTACAAAGCAATTTTGCTCTGCAGAAAGTATTGAAAACCCTGAGAACGAATCTAAACTATTGTGAGTTATATTTACATTCGTCATTTGAACTTCACCTTCACAGTATCGTACTGTATCGGTTGAATCACGACACTCACAGTTTGAAATTGATGATAAATATTGGCAGTTTTTCTGATTAGAAAGGCTTGTTGTTGTGATTGCACAATATGGTCCATATGATTTAACAACAATTGCATGAAAACATACTATCTTGTTCTGAATGCATTGTCCTTTTGAACCCATGTACAAACACCCACCTGGAGATTTTTGATGTCCACAGGTGAGGAAATTGATTTTATCTAATCCAACTTTAGTGTCATATGAATTTGAATAAATTCTAATGACTCCCATTTGCTTGAGAGAAATAAATTGGCATTCGTTAATAAAGTAGCTAGCTTCCTTTAATTCGAGTTTGGAATTTGCATCTTTGAGTATAATAACGGATTGGTTGCCAAAGAAATCAGACCAATCGTTTTGTAAATTAAAATTCGAATATCTGTTTTGAAGACAATCGGTTTTGATTATCTCATCGCATGGTATTTTTAATAGAAGAGGAATTTTGCAAGTTAGAAAAGCCAACATGTTGCAAAATTCAAGGAGATTACAAGGATTATAAATAATTTTTTATGTAAGCTCTCAAATTCAGTTTCAATATATTTGTGTAAATCTATCATATTAGTATATTTTTAATAAAATAAATTGAATTTTTAATTTGAATTATTATTCAATTTTGATAGAATTTTTTCTTCAAAATTCTAAGAATTCAAATTGAATTTAGCCATTTTATTTTTGATAATTCACTAACACAACTAATTTAAATATTTTAGATAAAAATTTTAAAAATGAACGTTGAAGATGATTTTTACGGGCTTTTGCTAGACTTCACATTATTGCTTCAGCTGCACCTGTTGATGTGTATGGATGAATTATTGTAATTTGGCTCAAATCGAAGCAATTAATTTTTTTTTGTAAGAATCGCTGATTTGACACATCAAGAAAGGCCGATGACTATATCGACTCTTAAGACATTAGAGAGGAATTTAATAATTTCATTGCTCGAATTCCATTTTGATGAATTTCAAATATTTGCTAATTATTTTGCGGGAAATTTATCTTTTTGCATTATTGCCGAACCTATTATGTAGGTTTCGTTCAGTTTTGGATTTTTATTCAGATGACACTTTTTAAAATTTTGTAATGAAATATCGCGGCATTTTATGGGAAACACAACCTCCATTCGATGAAAAATTTACTCACCAAACAGAACTTACACCTACTACAGTAGAAGAACTAAAATCCCTAAGAATTCCGCCAACATATGAAGGAAAATATCTAATCATTCAAATAATATTATTTTTAATAATAGGAATCCCACGTGCTATTATAGCATCTCTATATACAATCATTATTGGCGGTATATTTGTGTTTTTAGTTGCAATCTGGAGAGCATTAGGTTGCCCCGAAGATCTTAGACATTATTTGATGATATATTGGGCAGCTGGTGCTCGTGTTTTATTATTTTTATTAGGCTTTTTCAAAATTAATTTTCACGGAGAAATCGACTCTGACAGTAGATTTATCGTTTCGAATCATTCTTGCTTTTTCGATTCATGGCTATTCTTACCTTTTTATCCAAAGCCATTAGAAAAGAAAGAAATTTTCCAACTTCCTATTATACGAGATATGGTTGATATTTACGGAGGTATTGCTGTTGATCGATCAAAGTCATGCGGCCTGACTAAAGAATTACTCAGAAATGCAGAAGATCAGAATAAGCCACAAATTTTCTGCACGCCTGAAGGTGCTTCGACAAATGGCGAGTATATGTACAGATTCCACCTCGGATCGTTCTTATCAGACCTTCCTGTTCAGCCTGCGGCAATCAGATACACATTATGGGGAACAAACCGGAAAATTTCGACGATATCGTTTTTCCAGAACCATGTTCGCCAGTGGATTGCTTTTCTCGGCATTCCTGCCATTACAGCAGATGTATTTTTCATGGATGTAATGACAATCAAAGCTGTAGCTTCTTGCGAGCCAAGAAGATTTGCGGATGTTGTTTCCCTCGCTATAGGAAACAAAATTGGCGTAAGAGTATTAGATCTTACGACAAGCACCCTCTTCAAGAATAAGCAATTATAGAGAATTGTGTTTTTTGTTACTAAAATTTATTCTATTCTATCGTATTCTATATTCTAAGCTGTTTCCTTATTGCATTCCGTATGATTAATTTTTTTGTAAATAATATAATTGAAACGATACGAATAATCTTATTTTCGGATGCTTTGGAAGCAAATTAACATGATTTCTATCAAAATTATTGAATTATGTAATTTCAATTTCTGGGAATTGCAAGATCGTTGAGAGAGAAACTACAAATACATAAAGATTGTGCATTTATACATGTTGACATATGCGAGCTTTTTCATATGTGAAATTTAAAAATGAGATTGACAAAAAAATCATGAAGTATATTTCAAACCAGTACCAAAATTAATATAAAAATAGATTATCATCTCTTCTATTAAAAACCTGAATTCAAAACTGTAGCCAAATAAAAAATTATTTGAACTATATCTCAATACAGGTATAAAATCTATTTGCGCTCTCAGGTTTACTGTTAATAATTGACGACTTAATTTCAATTGCTCATTCAAAATAATTCATCTGAAAAATTTTATCATATAGATGCCTGCAGTTTCCTTTACTTCCGTTATCACATCATTCGTTACATTCTGGCAGAACATTGCAATATCATTAAGGTTTCCTGCACTCAACATTCCTCCATGGCTTTCTTCAATTGCAGAAAATTTTTTAATTTTCTTCAAACTCTTAGTCAGTATGATTCCAAAACTACCTAATTTCGATATCAGAACAAGTCTTGTATATTTGTCAATTGTTATTCCTCTTTCATTGGATATCTTTACAATATTCTTCGCACTTCCATTTTGGAAAGCCATATTACACATATTTGATCTTGCTGCAGGATTTGGATTTTCATATCTATTAGTATCTATATTAATCCCGGTCAATTTTCGTTTATATCCTCTTCTTGGTTCTATTTTCTGCCTTATTTATTTAATAGTTAGAGCAATTATACATTGTGTTAGGAAGAAAGAAGATTTTACTATTATTGATGCAGCAAAAGCACTTGCAAATTTCTACTTCGACGGAATTATGCCAAACTATGAAGAAAACATGTCTCTTCTTGAGATCGACAACAAACTCAAGAAATCAGTGAGTACAATCCAAATTGTTGCAAAAGTTTCTTCACCTGTTATTATCTTTTTGTTATACGTTTGCTTTTTATTCTTATTACTCTTAGCATTACTACTATTAGACATTATTCAAATTGATATTCCATTTCCTGCTGCAGTTCGATTATTTGTCCCATACATTCTTGTTTCTTTATCTTCGATTCTCTTCATTCTTATGATTCTCAAATCAAATGCACCAGGTGCAAAGTTCCTTCTCGCAATTAAGCAATTCTTAAAGCGTTGGGGTCTCAGACTCCTTCTCCTCGCTTTCGAATTACTTTACATTCCAATCTTAACAGGACTGATGTATAATTTTGTTCCCATCCCTGTCACATGCCCAGGTGAGAATGAAATACCTATGAGACTTCCTGCACATGGTCCATTCTTCCAATTCGAATCTCATTCAATGACATGCATCAATAAATCACTCCTTGGAAACATGTCTAGTTTCAGTTATTCTATCACAGAAAAGCTCGGAAAACTAAGAATGAGGAAAGAGCTTGCATTATCATTCGTCCAAGATATCTTGAAAGTCAATGGTGGCATTATGCTTTTTACCATTGCATTCATCATGATTGGTATTCCACTCTTTTGGTCCATGACAGTTACTACTAACAGAGACTTAGTTTTCCGTTTCAACGTTTTTGGCCGCACTGTTGAAGAGAAATGGGCTACATTGACAACGAAGCTCGACACAACAGGTATTTTCTTTTTCCAGAAGTACACGATTTACTCTGCGAAGTGGTCAGTCATTTTAATTATCTCTAAGTTCATCATCATGGTCTTAGCAGCTGTCGGCAACAACTATTACAAGAAGTTAGTTATCCTGCTTCCAATTTTCTACATTTGCATGGCAGTTGCAACTTGCATCAAATGGCCATATCTCTACAAACTGAACAACTGGCTTGATTTAATTCTCTACGTCCTCAACACGATGTTTGCGATGTTCCCAGTCCTCGCATCTTTCAATGTCAGTGTTCCACCAAAACTGATCATTTACACATCGTTAGCAGTTCTCGCTCTTCCAATCATTTCATGTCTTTTATTCTTGTTCTGTGCTAATTCGTACAACGAAGAAGATCCTACATACATCAACAAAGAAACACAAGAAGAGATCAACATCATCGAAAAAGCTCGTCTTGCTAAATTACAAGAACAAATTGAATATGAGAAACATCGAAAAGAAATCAGACGACGTCGTCGAACATCAGCAGCAGGAAGGAGACGAAGTTCATCCACAGACAATTATTACGGTTCAGAACATGACGGAATGCTTGATGACTTTGAACAAGAGAACATCGATGCACTTCAAGCACAATTCGAAATCGGCGCAAAAGAGATTGATAACAACTCACAAGAGTTCGAGAAAGTCGAGATTGGCGAAGGCTGGTTAAACTCAATATACGACATGAAACAAAACATTGTTGAACGTCCATTCAAAGTTTGTAAACCAATTCTCGCACTTCGTTTCAAGAAATACTACGAGATGCTTGATTTGATCATTGATGCACAGACAATTACAAAATTAGTTTCATTTTTGAATCTCACATCAGTTTTCGCATGCATTTCTATTGGTTGGTTCATCAAAGCACTCCTTGTTACAATGATTGACCGCGAAGTTCAACAAAAAGTTTCTATTCCAAACGATTCATGTGTTTGGTTTGAATTCCTCTCTAACATGACTCAACTTTCATCAGAAAACTGCACTCGCTTTAAACAATGATATTTTCATTATTAATGGAGTGCAATATTATGAATTTATATTTTATTTATTGTTTTAACAGAGCTAAACTATTTTTATGCACCTCTTTCTTATAAAATGAAGATTCTTTTGTAATTCGAACATAAAGATAATCAATAAAACTTTTGCAAACTATTAGGATCTTTAATAAATCGATTGATTAGGGGACCACTGATGCAGCTCGTTTTTACTCCTATACATTCTACAATCATAACAAAAATCTCATACAAAATAAATGAATAACAGAAATTTTGAAGTTCTTAGTGAATAAAATGGTCGTATATGATGAATATAGGCAGTTGACAACTATTAATAATGATAAATTTCCAATTTTACCGTTAATAATTTTAATTTTTAATATGAAAAGAGAATTTGAATGCTGATAATAAGGGAATTTGACAAGCATCTTGTAGGGATTCAAATGACCCTAACTTAATTTTTTCGAGTTTATTGAATTTTTAGCCATAGTAAAACATCAACTCGATGAAGATTTTAAAAGACGATAGGCCTTGTTTGGCCGTGCAGTGGTCCCTTAAAAATAAACATGTTTTCAATAATCACTTTCATTAATATTTGAACTAGTATTGATCCAACCGGAGAATGAAATTGAATATATATATAAGCAAAATTTATGCTAAAAATGCTAAAAATAAAATTCTTGCCTTTTCAATTTTGATATCAACCTCTTTCTAAATTTTCTCTCAAAGGGGTAGGTTTGAATAGTTGTAAATTTTTTAAAAAAATTACAACTATTCAAACCTACCCCCTCAAAAAGATTTTTTGAATAAATGTAAAGTTTAATCGGGATAAAAATATCATTAAAAAAGGGAATCTGTTAAGCGCAACATGGGTAGTATGTATTGGTATCAAATTTTTGACTTTAACAGGATGCTTTTGCCAAATAATTAAATTTGAATTGGAAATCTTTTCATTCATCTTGGAAAGTAAGGGATTAACATGGTCTTTAGAGGTTAACAAAGAGGTTTCATGTAACAAATTTAACAGGCGAATTATCTTAATGACACGCTTCCATCAGCCTTTTCTAGAAATGATGCTAAGAAAAAAAAAATGAGAGCAAGAAAAAATTTCTTCGAAAATTTTTCCGAAATGGGTTTTTATTCAAAATTGAATGACAAGAATGCTGATTTTCTGGAAAATATATTAAAAGTGACATTTTTTAATGGCAAGTTTCACAATTAATTTTTAAGTTTTAAAAGTTAAGATTACATCATGATGGCAGCTGGCAAGAAATATTCACTGATTATAGTTATGATAAACAATATCCAAACCACCATGACTTTATTAGTAAAACTGACGACTTAAACTACTTTGTATTTTTATCCAAATTCGAAGATTTAAGCAGCAATGGTGCTGTTCGATTTATTACAACTACTGATACAACAAAAAGCTTAGTCGAAAGATCACTATTTGAAAATTGTAGTTCCGGCTCCCAAACTGGAGGATCTCTATATTATAACGATCAAGGTCAATTTGTTCAGAAACAAAATTCATTTATTAAATCGAAAAATACTGCTGATAGCCCTTCTTTTTATGTAACAGTTTCAAATATTGAAAATTATAAAAATGAAATTAACGAATCTACTATTTTTGATTGTGGTTCATTAGATCAAGGATGCAGAGTTCTCATGGTCATGCAATATGGTAAGCAAATTATTAATTTATGCAATATCACATCAAATCAAGTTGCAGAAGATATTGCAGGTTATACCATGGAATTTGTAACATCAGATTCCTTCATTCAATTCACTATAATTAGATCAAATAATCAATCAGAAAGTAACGGTTTTGCACTAAATTGTCACTTTTCATCATCTAATGAACAAATCTCGGTATTATCATGCAATTATATTGAAAACAGAGATTCCAGTGGTGAAGGAAATTTAATATATGTAGATTTTGAATCAAAACTTTATATGTTTGGATGCTGCATTGTGAGAAATGAAGTTAAATATGTCATTTACAATGAAGGTTCAGTTGTTGTTAATAATTCATATACAGATAACTATCAAACTTTAAACTCAGTTGAATTTACAAAAACTATTTCAAATGCAGACTGCAAACATTTTATAGTTGAATTCATCAATAATGCGAACAAAGAAGATAATGAGGATGATGATTCATTTTTTATCGAAAAAATCAAACAGAACGTTCGATATCTTGATAACCGACCAAAAATCATATATTTCGTTCTAAAATAAATTATATAATTAATATATCGAACTCTTGAACCTGAACACTACTTCTCGGTATCCCGTCGCATAATTCATTCTGACTAAAGATTGATATGAAATAAAACACTATATTTATGAAAGAAAAGATAAATAATCACTAAGTAAAGCTGGAAGACAAAATAAGGTCAGTGTCCTTTGATATTTCAGAGTAATTTCCCCTGCAGCATTTGCAAGAAGAGCAAGATTTTGTCAAATCTATCCAGAAGTTCCTATTCGGAACATTCCAATGACCAGTCCTTCTTTTCACAACAAGAGATCCAATGACAATGTACAAAAAGAAAACAAGTGCCAATGTCATCGGGATCAGCCAAATCCACCACAAACTTGTAGATCCATCGTCATCATACCATTCACAGAGTTCTGGAGTTTCAACAATTAAATGGTAATTGTTATTTCGAAAAACTCCGTGTTCATTAAAGTGGCGAGGACCTTCTTTCTTGCCTGAGCATACGAAAGACAAAGTTACTGATGATCCACTGTGTCCTCCGCCTATTGTTACGTTGTTTCCTTCAACTTTGTAGCCATACCTCGCATCTGCAACATTTATACAGGTGAATGGACTTGTTTTTGGTGCCATCCAACATTTCCAGACTGATGCATTATTTACACCAAATGTTTCTGGATTTCCTTCTGGTCTTTTGGCGGATCCTGGATATGCATAGAAATTTGCAAGTTGGTCGGCCATTTCGCCTTTCAAAAGAACATGTCCTCTGATTTCTGTTGACTCTGTGACCTTCATCGTTTCGTTTTCGCCTTTAATTTCATACGATTCTACAGTTTCGGTCTTTGGCGTTGATGGAGGGACGTATGGTTCTGGCGGAGGTGTTGGATCAATGTATGGCCTTACACAGGCACCATCTGAGCTTGCATGAACGTGGAATATATTTGGTTCGTCGTAAATAACGTATCTTGAAGACTTTTTACATTCAACTCTGACTGATAATGTAATGTAATCAGTTCCTCTGAATTTTATAGTGATTCCATCGTTTAAACCCTGTTTTGTAAATTCATATGAGTATCCTTCCTGCAAATACATGATTGGGATGCATCTAGGATTATCATTTCGGCTTGTGCAAATATAACCATCTGATTTATTTATGGATTTGCAAGCTCCTGCAATTGGACATCCGAAATCAGCGAAAGGAGATATGAATAACAGGGATTCTTTACGGTAATCCATAGTTGTCTTACATAATGAATTGACATCGAACATGAAAATGCTCGAAAGATCAATTTTTATGCTGTGAGTTCCATTTGATTCGTAAATGTACTGAGGAGGATAAGATGTAGAGGATGGAAGTTGATAATCGAAGTCTGGGAAGTCCCATGTCATGCTGCAAGTGTCCTTACTGTTAAATTGATACAAAAAATAATTATATTTTTCGTAATACTTAACAGTTTTGTTTGGTAGCCATGCAATTTCATCATCTTGTATAGGAGGCCTTGCATTGCACTTAAAATTCACAATTGATTGAATGTCAGATTCCCCGTTGTAAACTAGTGTCACTTTTGCATATAATGACTTATTATTATAAGAAGTTTTAGGTACTTCATCGGCATGCCAGATATTTAAGCAGCGCTTTGTATCGTTTTGATAGCATAGCCAACCATGGGAAGGTCTGTGTCCGCTGCATTTGTATCCTTCTGGACATGGAAGAATATCTACGGGATTTGCGAATACTTTTGGCTGATACGCTAGATCAAAAGTATCACTTAAGTTGAATTCTGTCTGTCCAATGTATTTTTTGTTGTTTAAATCTACTTTAGCGTCATAATTTAATTTATCAAAATGATAAACGTTTTTACTGCCTCTTACTGGATTGCAGATGTCTAGTATGTTTGCACTGATGCTTAAATTATTACCAGAGATCTCTGCATTTGTAAAATCAGGCGAATGTAAAAATCCATCGCGATCGCATTGATATTTGACAGTTAATGATTGGGAAGACTCAGTATATTTTACTGTGAAGGAGTCATTCCTGTATACGTAATCCATTGGATTCATAGTTGTTCCGTATGAAATGCAACTTTGATTTTTACAAACCCAAGCGGAAGACTGGTTTGTGTTGCAGGAATATGATGCTGGGCATTTCATTGTTGAGCATGGCTGGTAGAATATGAGATTTTCGCCGCTTTCCAAGACATATCCGTTTTGATAATTAAATAAATTGAGATTAGTCATATAATGCTTTCCATCTTTGGCAGGAGAATAAACTAAGCAGTTTGCTTGATAGTATTCTTCTTCAGGAACTGGACTTTTCGTTGGTTTTGCAAATTTTGATTTTATTTTAATATTTATATATGAAATATCTTCGAAATAATTTACTGATTCGCATTTGAAGTCTTCTTTTTCGTCGTATTCGATTGATAGAACAGTTACACGTTTTATATTGTCTTGAATGTTACTGTAATAGTAAATTAAGTTTACGCCTTTGTTTGGATCACTATTGTCATTAAATTCTGCGTATTGAGTCCCTGTATATCCATAAAAATAAGATTCTGCTTTGTTACCTGGGAATAAAACAGAAGATATGCCTGCTTTATAAGTTCCTTCGATAAAACGATCTTCAGAAAGTTGCTGACAAATCGAAAATACAATAGTTGCATTTCCAAAATCGATTTCATTCGCGTTATTTGCAACACCTTCAAAATTATATATATAACCATCAATGTTCGCACCACATGGAAGTGATTCATACCCATGAGGCTGAGGAATATTGATATAATAAAGTAAAGTTAAAAACATTTTGTCACTTTTTATCTATTTGTCAGTTTTTTTTTGCTTTTATATGAAAAGGGATCTTTTTAAAAAAGAAACCGATGATCCCGAAAATTTTCTGATGAAAGTACATTTAAAATTCCAGGGTCCATCCTATAAAAACGTTTTAGAGGCAAGAGATGCCATACAATTCGATTTAAAACTCAAAAAACTGTTAATGGATTATCTTAAACGCAATGTTTCGATTAAAGAGAATCTGAATGTTGTTACAAACTTCGATTTGATGTCAGAAACAACAAAATTTAACTATATAACTCTTTTATGCTTACTTCGAATGAATGTTCCTGAAGAGTTTCTTCAAACAGAAACATTAAAGCAGTTATATTACTCATATACATTACCTCCAAAATTACCAATTATCAATGAGGCAGCAGTTGAAATTAATCAACAAAAACAACAAGAGAATCCGCCTGAAATACAATCTGCACCGTTTACTAGCGAGTTCTTTGCCGAAGTTGAGAATATTTTTGTTAAATACCCACAATTTGCCGAAAAAATCATTTCAGAAAAATTTGATTCATCAGGAGTTAAACAATTTCATGATACAATTAAAATATTCTTCTCGTGTGATCGTACTGCCGAAGCTGTTACAGCTGTTGTTCGCTTTTATATACTCCCTTACATAAAAAACCTAAAAAATCTTGCAAATCGTCTTGTCGTTGAGCCACTGATGTCTGTATCTCAATGGTACCCGAAAGTGATTGTTTCCGAAGTTTTCCAACCCGTTTTATTCGATCCAAACTCAACAGTTTATCAATTTCAGATTATTCAAAGACTTTTCGAAGCAAAAAGCATCCAATCGCTCACATTACCAGGAGTATTCGAAGGACGACCTCCTTCATTAGAAGGACCTCTTTCTGACGAAGCTCTCAAATGGTTGGTAAATATCATTCCTAAAACGCCTCAGTTGCAGAATTCTGAGCAAGAAACTGTCTTATTGCATATAAAAATGCAGATGGATCATCAAAAGAAAGATGCACAAAGAGCTTTTATGTTGTTTTTGAAAGGACAACATTTGGAAGGCCAAAATAAGGAGATTGCTACACAAATGATCGAAAATCTTCCAGAAGTGCTTAAATCTAGAGCTCTTCAGATGATCTGATGTATATATATTATCATTGTTTGTTTGTATAAAAAAAATTATTTAGATTATTGTCAATATTTTTCAGTTTCATCTATATGATAATAACAAGACAATACTTAAGTTCATTAACATGAAACCAGAACCAATTAAATACATGAGTAAGAACAGAGATTTTCAATTTGTAAAGTACTCACAAAATCTAGGTTGAGAGGCGGTCAATGACTTTTGAGGGGAAATTAACGCATGGAATTTAATATTATTTGGTTTGATATTCTTGCTTATTATTTCAGAAAAAAATCTTAAAAATTTCAATATGAAAATTGAAAGCAATTCAAAAAAATTGCTAACATGTAAATTTTAATATCCTATGCATAATTTCATATTTTGAACATTTTTTATTTTTGTTTAAAACTTAAAATTTTGCGAATTTAATATAATTTATAAAATATAATACGTATATATATTTAAAATACACTAAATTTAATTGTTAATTGACGTTTTTGGGAATGAATTTTATCAAAACATGCCTGAATCCGAAAATTTGAAAGAACGAATTACACAATCATATATGTAGAATTCAAAATACAAACTTAAAGATTGTATACGTTTAAAATTATTCAGATTGTGTTTGATTTCCACTCATTCTGTTTCTTTTGAACTCTAACACGAACATTTCATGATGATTACATGATCCATTTATAAATGGTTGAATTGTTCCAGATTCTACCAGAAAATCAATCCAAATTTCTCAATGCATTTATGTTGATTGGACAAAATTTAAAATTTATCAGCCTGTTTCCAGAGAAACTCATATATTCCCTAATGAAATGTAATTTTTGCTACATTTATTTCAATCAAATTTTAAAAAATTGACTGCAGAGCTTGAAAAGGTGATGAATCATGTTGTTATTAGATGTACATATTAGATTTACTATTTCCAAAAAAATGCTCAAATTTGAATAGTTTTTAGAAAATTTGGAATTACACTCCTTACATTATATATAATTAAATGTTTAAATTTTATTTATTTTTCCCTTTTAATTTTATAACGTGCTCTATCAAAACTAACCTCTCAATTGAAGGCCACAAAATCTCAGTAGTGGGGGTACACAAATTTTGTATGGAGTACGGTTCAATTTTTGAGAGCCTCACTACTTAGATTTTGTGACTACCTTATAATGTTTAGATGCATTTAAGAGTTTAAAGACTTTAATAAAATATATAATTTCAGTAATTGAAAGATATTAAACTAATTTCATCCAAATTAGTGTGATTTTGAATTTGAGGATTTTAATTTTGACTTTTTAATGACATGATTTTGTGAAATTTAGAATAACCAATAAACACAATTAATATATTTCTACAAATTATTCCTGTATTCTCAAATTTTGAAGAAAAACGATAGAGCGGTTATGGTCGAGCCTTTCGATGTCAGGCAAAGCTCAAGCTGCTGCTCAGACTCTCGCTCAGGGCCAGAAGAAGGAAGTTACAAAGACACGCAACTTCACAAAGTTCGGCAAGAACGCCGCTCAGGTCGTCCCAAGACGCCCAGCCTTCGAGCATAAGGCCGTCAAGCCAGTTTCTCTTAAGCATAACGATTACAAGATCATCCGCGGACCAGTTACCTCCGATAAGTCTACAGTCAAGATCGAGAATGAGAACACAATGACTTTCTGGGTCGATATCAAGGCTACAAAGACAGAAATTGCTGCCGCTTTCAACCGCCTTTACAAGGTTAAGCCAGTCAAGGTCTGCACAGTCATCACCTCCAAGTTTGTTAAGAAGGCTTACATCCGCCTTCCAGCTAATGTCGAGGCTATGAACATTGCCACTGAAATCGGATTCGCATAAACTGATTGCACGCAGCAACTTTTTTTTCTTAATACTAATACCAAATTACATCAATTTTTTTTAAATAATATTTTTGCTTTTTTTTGACCATATTCTGAAATTGAACTTAAGAAGATTTGTTATTGAACTTCTTATGATAGTATTTTCGATTTCATTTTTCGAATTTCATATTTGGTTTCTTTAATTTTTTGGGATTTACCGTAAAAAAACAGGATAATTAAGAATACAAAATAGAAAGCTCTTTATTAACAGTAAAACAAATTCAAATAATGTAACAAAAAAATGAGATGTATGAAAAATTAAACGTCTGTATTAACAATCTGATGGATCGGATTGGAAAGCATCTGTACAGCGTTTGCAGCAACATCAAAGTCTGCAGTTGCTCGCTCAATATCAAGATAATTTGAAGAAAGGGAAGGAGGTTGAGCAATTGATTCATTTACATCTGAAAGAGCACGTGCAGCATTTAGTAAAGATTCAAGCACCTTTTCATTATATTTAAGTGACTGTTCGATCATTTTCTGATAATTATTATCTGGATTTGGCTGATAAGTGCCAGGAAGTGAAGCTGATAAGAGCACGTCTTTGAATCCAGCGTAATCATCTGCATGGAATGATGGAATTTCGTCTTTGCAGTCTTGAATATCTTGAACTGGAGTTTGTGGCTGCTGTGGTCTAACCACTGTTGATTGAGACCTGTTAAAATTATTCCTAGGTCTGTTCTGATTGTTTGGATTGTTATTGTTGTGGTAGTTTTGATGATATTTTGGCCTCTGGTTGTTATAACTCATAGTGAAAAGTGACAGCATAATTTACATCAATATTTGATGCATTCTAAAATTATCAATGTAAGAACCTTGGAACACAGTACACAAAAATCTCCTCCTGAAATCTGTTTATAAAGATATAAGCTTCTAACTTGAAGAGTTTGATTCATCTTAACTCGCACATGATAAACAAGCAGCTTAGATATTCACATTGCCTGGAATGTTTTTCAACATGAAATATGAATATTGAAGCTATTTTGACTCAAAAATGTTGTTAATTCCGAAATTTTTAGTCAATGTATGTTTAAAGACGATGATACATTCAATAGTAAATGTAGCCTATTTCCTAATTGTAATCGAATAGAAAGTATTCAAAAAATATAGATATATATTAGTAAATAATCTCACTGGCAAATCAAACTCAGAATAGTTTCTCAATTTAGAGGAATTATATGTTGATGGAAAAATCTAATGTATAGTTTATAAGTTTTCATCATCTGCATACATACGATAAAGAACATTTTCAAGTTGTTCAACAATGATGTTGAATGAGTTGATATGGAAGCGTTCTTTGTTGGATTCTAGTTCAACTAAAAGTTCTGTGATTTCATCGCAGACGGGCAACATGATGTCATCTTCATGAATTGGACTAAGATAAACACCATCGATCTTCGATTGAATATATGAAACAAGATCTGTTTTGTATTGTTTATCACTTTCTTGAGAAAAGATTGGTGTGAGACGGTAGCCGCAGTGGAATTGACTTCGCAAGTCGTTAGGAGTACCATCGAAAATCAATGAACCATTACGCATAACAAACATTCGGTTAGAAAGAATACCTGCTTCTTCGATAGAGTGTGTGCTAACAATAGATGTGACGTTGTAACTAGAAATCGATTTCCATATTTCTTGGCGGATGCTTGCATCCATACCTGATGTAGGTTCGTCTAATATAACAAGAGATGGATGACCAATGAATGCGATAGCAACACAGAGTTTACGCTTTTGACCACCACTAAGTGTAGACGCGGACATGTTTTCAAGACCTTCTAAACCAAAATGACTAACAATATGTTCAATTTCTTCTTGAAGATGAAAAGAGTCAATGCCACGGATAGTTCCGAAAAATTCAAGATGACGATAAACACTCAAGCCCTCGAACAAGATGTTTTCTTGATAACATATTCCTAAGTGTTGTTGCAATGCACTAAAACCGGTTGAACATTGATGGCCATATATTTGAAGAGAACCACGATCACTGCTGATACTTCCTGTAATCGCATTCAACAATGTACTCTTGCCTGATCCATTTGGTCCTATCAAAAGAATGGTCTCGTCTTTGTCAAGACTAAATGATACATTATTGAGTGCATGGACAGGTGGTGAACTTCTATATGTCTTATCTATACCACGAATTTCGATAAATCTGAGATTTTCATTATGGACTAATCGCTCCTTCTTGAATGTGAATAATTCTTTCCATGCAGATAAATTAAATATGTTACGAAAACCAATTGGAGGAGAACCACAATTCCTTGGCATAAGAATGTTCAATAAGAAATATATAAACAAATAAGCACAAATAAAGCCAATCGCGATACCTAATATGTACAATGAGTCTTTCCATCGAATTATAACTAACAAGTTCTTAAGTGTGAAAGGAATATTGAAAACGCTCGAAACCATTATGTTATCAATGAACATTGTTGACATCCATTGAGGAAGAAGTGAAAGAATTGATGCGTACTCTAATATTGAATTATTATTGCTATTCATTGTAATATTGAAGAGCGGCGAGAGACTTAAAATCATGAATAACCCTGAGAAATAAATTTTGTATTTCGAAATAATTGACAAAGGAACTGAACACAAAAAGAAAGAATAATAATATAATACTAAGAAGAAAACCATGATAAAGATAGGAATGATATTAGATCCTTTATATGATTTTTTATATAAAACAATTGATATCGAAATTGAATCGAAAGTAATAACTAATAAATCAATTGTTAGATTTGCAAAGAAAATCGTTGTCTCGTAAGCACCTGATATCTTTAATAATAAAAGCTGTTTCGTCTCTCTGGCCTCTGAAATTTCAAACAAAGGAACAATCAAAGAAATAGTGATTGCTAATGAAACAAACCGTTCAATGAAAACAATAAGATAATCTGTCTTTTGGACTGCAGTCATTGATAGTGGATAGTATTCATATGTAACGTTAGATGATTCTTTTATAAACTCCTTTATTAATGAATCTGGAAAATCTTGTATTTCATATCTCCAAAAATATGATGATTCCTTTGAATAATATATTTTTGAAGTAATATTATATGAATTTTTCGATTTTTCTTCCACTCTGAGAGAAAATGTGCTAGGCTTCTTGGAAAATTCTTCAAATGCAGATTCATCATCAAATATTTTAGATTGATTCGTATAATTTGCAAGTAATTCGGTTAAATGCGTTCTTGGATAAAAAGCATAATCAAAATTTTTATCATATAGATAATATTCGATTGGATATATGTCTTGACTGGATCCCCATTCTCTAAATTCATGATAATGACCATTAGAATCTTTTGGAAGTTTGTATCCTTGTGTTATTTGGAAGTTTAGTGATAGGTAAATCAATAATGCACTAGCTGCAATTGAAATATAAAATCCAAATTTGCGAAAACGAACGTTAAACAAGATTTTTAAGTAAGCTTTATAAATGCGCCATTGCGATGATTCTTTTGGACTTGTCTTGTCAACATGTTGAGCATCAAAGAGAAGGGGTTCTTTCATTTTTTATGATTTTTGATCCAATTTTATACAAAAAAAATTTCAATATAAATTTTATGAGAATAAAATTCGCCAATTTTAAATATATTTACCTTCGTTTAATCATTCAAATCAATTCTGATCAATGGTTTTGAATAGGCAGATTATTTTATCAACCATCATTTCATTTCCGAATAAAGAGGATGAATAAAATTCAAGAATCAGATCGCTGGAGTCATATATCGGAGGTTCCTAACGTACTGGAACGCCAAGTATTCTTTTTTAATTAACTTCATTATTTCGCTCTTTGTCGCTTCTTTTGCAATCATATTAACGCCACGTCCAAACAGAAATGTTGACCCTATTAATGTTAAAACACTAGAATTTCCTAAGTTTAAACCTCAAAATCTAACTTTTGGAAGAATTTCTAATAAAAACTGTACAAAGTGTGAAGAACTGCAATCCAAATTATCAGAAAAGTTTTCAGATTTAATCAAGAAGAAACTCAACACAGAATTAAATTATATTGATTTTGAAACATTTGAAGATTTTAATGATTATCAATATGATATTGCCAAGAACCCGCGAATATTATCAAACATCCAATTGGCATTTCAAGTTTACGATAATTCATCAATAACAACAGAAAATGGAAAACCAACAGGGAAATTCCGACTTCGATATCTTGAGAACTATTCTTCTTATACTTATTCTAATGACCACTATTATTATTCTCATACCAATTCAATGATTAAATTCCTTAATAGAGCATTACTTGAACTTATATATGATGAAATAGGAGAAAAAATTGATATTAATGCTTCAATAGCTATCAAAGAAGAAAATAGTTATGTTCCAAGCAAATATTCCGACGTGAATTTAAACATTCAGTTATCTTTCATAGTGCCAATTGCTTTGATTATCATTTCTTCCAAATTATTGTATCACACGATACAAGATATCAAAACTCCTGCTCGTTCTTACATGATATCGTGTGGGCTTTCAAAATTTACATATTGGCTAGGAACATTTATTGTTGATTGCTCTATTTTGACAATATTTTCAACATTCGTTTTTATTATTTATTTCTTGGCTGGTGCTGCAGGATTTCGAGCTTATTATATTAGAATTTTCTTTTTGAACTGGTTCTGTTCTGTTTCCCCTCTTTTCTACACATATTTCTGGTCATTTCTTGTTAAAGGACACTCTGGATCAGTTATTTTTGCTGCTGTTACTATTACGTTGTTTTACCCACTAATGCTTACTTGGATGACGAGCCATAATAACAGACAATTTTATTTTTATTATATAATTTCAATGATTTGTCCGTTTGGAAACTATATGAGTGTATTCTATACAATTTCATTTCTAATTAGCAGCCATTTAGACTGTCCACCAGGCTTAAAATTCTTCGAGAAGTCAGAAGTTAGTTTACATTTTTTGATTGGATCTTTGTTTGTTTATCCTATAATTATTTTGATTACAGAGTATTTAATCAAAGTCATAAATCAGATACGCTCAAAATCGGCATTTTATTCATATTCTTTTGATTTGGAAACATTCAAAAACAGTCAGCAAATAACAGATGAAGCGAAACAAATGGAGCAGCAAGTGAAAGATAATCCGAGTGAATTTGCAATCAGGATTTCTAATGTTTCTAAAATATATAAAGACACTAAAGGACAACCAATCGGTGCAGTTAACCAAGTATCATTGGGAATCAAGGACAAATCTATCTTCGGTTTCTTGGGTTCTAACGGTGCAGGTAAGACAACACTTATGAAGATGATCTTGAAAGAGACGCCTATCTCAAGCGGTACAATCGAAATCAATGGCCAAAACATTATGACATCTAAACGATCACAAGTTGTTATTTGTCCTCAATTCGATGACCATTTGACAGAACAATTAACAGGTCGTCAGAATATGAAATTCTTCTGTTACTTGTTCAACAAGACAGGTCGCGAATCCCATGAATTGATCTCTCGTCTTATTGATATTATGGATTACTCAGATCAAGTTGACAAACGTGTTCAAGACATGTCCGGTGGTAACCGTCGAAAGTGTTCATCAATGATTCCATTCTTGTCTGACTGCAACACAATTCTCCTTGATGAACCAACATCTTCTATGGATCCTATTGCTCGTCATCACATGCATGACTTGATCAACTCATACAAAGGTCAAAAAACATTCATGTTATGCACACATTTGTTAGACGAAGCAGAAACATTATGCGACAACATCTCTATCATGGTTAATGGTTGCATCTTCACCGTTGGTACTCCACAATATTTATCACACAAGTTTGGTACCGAATGGAAGATTGATTTGATGTTAGTTGGTGATACTAATTTATGTCGAGAAACCGTCAAAGGATACATCAATCAAAATATTCCAAATGCTGTTTTATCACTTGAAAGGAAGGCATCAATGATATATTCAGTTCCAAGTGATAGTATTTCAATCACAAATCTTTTCCGGATTCTTCAGAAAGGCAAAGATACTAATATTGGAATCAAATTCTTCACATGCTCATCTTCAACACTTGAGAAGGCTTTCATGGAAATTATCATGCGCTCGGAGCAAATTGTTCAAGCAGCGAATGATCAAGTTGATAACCAGGCAACGGCTGATTTAGGAGTTGAATTAGCATCTCAGCCTTAGAAATTATATCACTATTATAAACTATCTTCATTGTGAATAAATATAGTTTTTTATCATTGTTAACTCATTTATTTTGATTGAAACGAATCTAATTTCCATTTTAATCTCAATAACAAGCGAAAATTCCTAGTTTAAATTGTATTTTTAGTGAAATTAAAATCAGATGGCATGAGAATACTCCATCAATATTGAAAAATGCACATGATTTAAAGATATGAAATAAAATACACGCTTTTCATTAAAGAAATATCCTATTGGAATATATACAAATTTTGGTGATAGGCATTTACGCACACACGAATAGTTTAATAAAAATTATATTAATATGGATAGTAATTCATTTTGAAGCAGCAAAATTTCCTCAAAATACGTATTTTGATTTAAAAATTTAGAAGTGATGAAAGCTAGATGATTATTTAAGCGTTTATTAAACAAATCTCACAAATTAAAAAGCAGAAGGTATAGAATTATCTTCAGCGCCCTTGCGGCAGCGAAGTCTATAAGCTTCTGGATATTCCTTTCCTGATCTTTCCTTTCTGCACTCATCGGTCATTTTATACACAACGCAATGGATTTCTTTATCACTCACTGTAATTGGTGTGATAAACCTAAAATATCTCTTTGGGAATCCTTCATATTTATCAAGGCTGGCAAGATCATTTGAATTAACTTTCCAAACGAGACCGTTTACAATGTTTCCTTCTGAGGCATCGATATCAGCATATAAGGCTTCAACAACATGATAATCTTTCATGACTCCATGTCCTACTTTTATTGATTGCGGACACCTGAAAGCCATTTGTTCTAAATTCATGTTGGAGCCATAAGCAAAGTAGTAATAGAACTCATCTTCAGTCTTAGCTTTCTCAACATCTAATTCATATTGAACTTCCATCGAATTTCTTTGATTTAAAAAGTGACAAAAAATGGAAATTGGAGAACCCTGCTCAGGAATTAAAGTTTTTGATGGGGTATCTTCGGAATGCGCATTTGTATGTCCTTCGGGTAATTTTGGTGTATTTAATTCCGAAACAAATCAAATTATTTTTTCAAAAAAGCACGAAAAACCATTAACATGCGTTACAACAGATTCCAATAACAAAGTTTACTATGCAGATGAACGATGCGTATATATGCAAGACATTCGAACAAATAATGAACCTGAATTTATTTTACAATTAAGCAGTGACATCATTTCAATTGCAGCATCAGGATCCACTATTGCTGCTTCTACTAAAGACAGAGGTATTTTCTTAAATGATTGCAGAGTTTTAGAATTTTCACCAGAATCGAATCATTCTGAAAGCGCAATATGTGCGCCATCAATATCATTCAATAACTTAGATTTACTTGCCGGATACCAAAATTCTTCAGTTTCGATTTGGGAAACTGTATCAGGAGCAATGACTGGTTTAATGCTTCCGTCCATTCTCGAGATGCATTGTTTAGAAGCTATTTCTGTTTTCTATTGTAACCAAATCCCAGTTGTTTGTTATTCTTCAGGAATAACTGTTTATAAAGATTCAGAGCCTAATTTCACTACTCTTGATAAGACTTCATTGTTCTCATGTGCTTCATACTCCCCATGCTTTGGAAATGATTTCTGCATCCTTGGTATGAATGATGGAAATATTTCAGTGTTGAATGCTCAAAATATGACTGAAATAGCCTCCAAGCAATATGGTCATGATCCTATTTCCAAGATTACCGGAAATTCTCTCATGGTTGTTGCATCATTTGAAGGCGACGATGGATCTCTCTCAATTATTACTCCAGAGGACTTTGGATTATTCTAATTCTACTTTTTGTATTGTTAGTATAAAAAATACTGTTTTTTATTATGAATTTTTCTGAAATTTAAAAAAATTACATGAATTGCTTCAAAGGAACTTAATTTCGTGTAATAATATTCAAATTATGTCTATGTGATTCGATTGTAAGGACTTATTTTATATAAAGCATGAATTAATAAAATCATCTCAAATTATTAATTGAAATATTACAAGGTATTGATTGAGTATAGAAAAAAACTAAAAAACGTTGCATTGTAATTAAAAAAATATAAACAAACATTTTAAAAGATTAATATTCTTGCCCATTATCAAGAAATACTGTACGCAACACCTTAATGAGCATATATTTTGTGTGGTTGGAAATAATTTCCATGTTAATTTCAGGTTCCTGGCCAGAAAAGTCCGCTTCTTCTCCCTGATTTACCAAAATCCTTCTCATTTTCTTTGCGAGTTTAATTCTTTGTTTCTCGGCCATGAACTCTTGTGCTCTTGTGAGATTCAAGCAGAAGAGTTCCTCATCTTCTGTGCTGACAATGATCTCAGAACGACCAAGTTTCTTCGTTGATTTCGGTTCTTTTGGCTCTTTTGGTTCGGTTGATTTTTCTTTTGGCTTTCTACCTGGTTTTCCTTTCGGTTTTCCTGTTGCTGATGTTGGATGTGGCGGTGGATAGCTGTCTTTGTTCTTCCTTGGCCGTCCTGGACCTTTAGGATGCGTGATATAATCATCGTGGTCGCTGTCTGAGGAATTATCATCATCGGACAAAGCGAACTCATCTCTATCAAATAATATAACTCTGGTGCCACGCTTAGCTGGCTGAGATTCTGCCATTGGCTGATTTGGTAAATTTTGTAAAATGCAGAGCTTCGAAGGAATAGAAAATTTGCGAGGAGGAAGCTGAACAGTTGGTTGTGGTCTTGGTGGTTCTTCGTCTTCCGAACAAGAAAAAAATTCATATTCAGAATCATCTGATTTTTCTGGAGAATTCTCGTTCTCGAATGTTGCTGTAAAGTAAGCAGCCGTTTTCGAACTGACTTTTCCATAACCTTTCTTGAGAGATTTGCCATAAAAAACCTTTTTTCTGCAAGTAGACTGATTCTGGGCCTGGCTGCTTGCCTTTTTAACTCTCTTGACTATTTTGTATTTCGGTTGTAAAGGTTGATCTGGAATACGAAAATCTTCTGGTAAATCTTCCTCAAAATCAGAAATCATAGGTTCATTTTGAATCATCCATTGGCCCTGATTATATTCTATATTTGTTTCTGTGTTTTTATCGTCTTGGGATTCTGGAATTTCAGGTATTGGTGAATCCAAAGATTCATTTTCATTATTTGAATTATCATTAATACTAGTATCATTTTCGATATTTAATTTCATGGAATTTTGGCGAGAAATACCTTTTGATGCAACTCTTTTCATAAGATTAGAACTGGACTGCGCTCTTGTGACCGTAAAAGGTTTGATCGGTATCTGATCATGTTTCTGTTCTACTTTTGTGATTTGATTAGTACTTGTTTGCCGAGACAAATTTTTATTGGGTAAAAACGGACATTGATATTGCTTTTGTACTTTATTTTTAGTGGATCGTGGTATTTCAAATGGAATTCGTTTTTTGTTGTCTGTTGAATCATTTTTTGATTTTATTGAAAAAAATGATGAAGAAAAGCTTGAAATCTGGCGTAATTGTGATGGCATCTGACTAAATATCTGATTAAATTTATTAATTGCGAATGAAATTTGATTTTCCAATGTATTATTCAATTTATTATTTAATTTCTCTATTTTTTTCAATAAAAAGTCTCTCACGATACTAAACATTTGTAGTTGTTTGTGAATAGTTGTATTATCTGTAAATAACTGATAGTTTTGCGAAATAATAGAACAATTTTCAGCTATTAATTGCAAATCGCTAATAATCTGATCAAAATCATTATATTTATCTATTTCTAGATTATAATTTATAATATTTAATGCAAGTTGCCGTTTGAAATAAGTTGGAAATTTATTCAATATGTTCATATACAGAGAATTGGGATCTCCAATAACTAGAGAGCCAATTCCTGATTGACATAGTTCTTTGAGGAAAGAAAGAAGGAGTAAGCGCCTTTCTTCCCTCATAAAAATCCCCACTTAGTTACCACCTCAAAAGTGACTTCATTGAATCATTCACAAAAATAACCTTATTCGTCTCAAAATTGTTGCAAATAACGATTGTGCTCAACTTGGAAATTAAGGATAAGAACAATTCAAGCCTGTTTTCTAATAAAGTTTTCTTTCCACTATTTTTGATTAGTCAGTTTTTGCCTACAGGTTAACCTACGAGGGCAAACCCAAATTTTAGCTAAAAGTGACAGGGAAAAAAAACGTTTAGTATTAAAAAAAAGACCGATGAGAGCTTCGTTCGAAATATAGAGGGAACTGAGAATGCGCAACCATTCTCAGGGAATATTGGATGCTATTCCCGTTCCCTCTGTATGGAAAATTGAGGTTTTCAAAGGGAGTTAAAATAATATCAAATTTATACTAATTTACTTCAAAATACAAAAGTATTTGACAGCTAAAATTAGTTACTTTAGCAAGCCTATCAATACCCTTTTACGATTATTGCTACTTTTTCGGAATAAAAGTAAAAACAAATTTATACTAATTTACTTCAAAATACAAAAGTATTTGACAGCTAAAATTAGTTACTTTAGCAAGCCTATCAATACCCTTTTACGATTATTGCTACTTTTTCGAAATAAAAGTAAAAACAAATTTATACTAATTTACTTCAAAATACAAAAGTATTTGACAGCTAAAATTAGTTACTTTAGCAAGCCTATCAATACCCTTTTACGATTATTGCTACTTTTTCGAAATAAAATAAATTTATTATCAAAAACCTTTTTTTTTCTTAGTAAAAATAAAAATGTTATTTTATATCAAGTTTTTATTCATAAATTTTTATAATGTTGTATAAATTTCATTAAAATTTACGTACATATTAAGGTACTTATCTTCTACATATATAATCTTCATTAGATATATACATGATAAATAAAATTCATAAAACATTAAAAATCAAAAAATTAGATGAACCTTGGCAATTAAACTTTATTAAATAATAGTTGTTTATAAATTATATTATATTATTTAATATTATTTTGATAATGAAGATTTTATTTTGCAATAATATAAACGAAATTTTTTACCTTATGAACTTTTGATGGAAATATGCAAATTTAAAATAATAAAGAAAGCCGCGAGCGAAGCGATCGGCTTAGTTCGAAGATTTTGATTCAAATCTTTGCTGATCTGTAATTCGCGGAAGCCGCGAGCGAATCGAGTGGCTTAGGTCTAAGATTTTGATTCAAATCTTTGCTTATATTCCTTAAATTCTTTATGAAACTCGCAACAGTTCCATAAAAAATTTTAAATTCTAAACTGTCGAAATTACGGATCGGTAATCACACCCTTCACGGGTGTGTCACTTTTTACAGGTGTGTCACTTTTAGCTAAAATTACCCCTACTCAACCTACGAGTATCTCTCGGGCCATTTAAGTCATTGAATGTGATACATCAAAGTGGTATGATTAAATGTTTCTGGATATTCAAACACCCATTGGAAATATTTCAACATTTCCAACAGCATGAATGCATCAAAAGATATTAGATACGGCCTATAATAATGTATTTATCGAACATTTACTGAAGTCAATTCTTATAATCTCCTTTTTATTGACTGAGTAATCCTATCGAGTCCCAATTTATCTGAAACATCACAAATAAGAGTGCACAATTCCTCGATTAGTCAATTTGTACTAGATTCACTCAGAGAGAATCATTGTATTTCAAATATTATAGTTTTGTTTTAACGAATGAAGTTTCAGATAATTATTAGCAGGTGTATTTAACGACATTATGAATATATAGTGGGAACTTAGATAAATTATAGTTTCTAATGGATAGGTTATATAACTTATGTAGATATGAAACATAATTTAGGTTTGTTTTCTAAAATCAGAGAGCAGAAATAATAGACATGAGATTGTAATCTTAAGTGCAACTTAATATTGAGGTATGATTAGACAAATGATATCAAAATATTTTCTGACATCTGACAAAAAATATGTCAATCTGACACTGAAAAAATGGCTTGCAAACAGAGAATTCTTCACATTTTCATTCTTTCAGTGTCATTAATCTCGTGTAGTGCTGCAGCTTGTGCAGCAGTTATGTCTATGTCATTATATTTCAAAAAAATCAACGTAAACGTAAATGAATTCGGAAATTACTTACCACACCATTATGCAGTTAAGCAAATGTATGATACAGGTATCAGAGATCAATACGAAAGACAAATGTCCGCGGTCTTTTCAATGATTTCTTTACTCGAAGGAGAATATCGTTCTAGAATGATTGTTAATAACGAATTACAAGAAAACAAAACAATAGAATTTTCTGAACAAGCATTTTCCGCTATAATAAAGAAACTTTGCACAACAAATAAACAAAATCCAGTTTGTAAATCACTGAATCCATTTACTTTAGAAGGTATTTCAATATCCCAGCTTATCAAACTAATTCAAGCATTCCCATCTACACTTGGTGGATCTCTATTTCCTAAGTCTACTTGTCCATTTTTGGATTCAACATCGAAAGATCCATATCAGTGCAATGCAACACTAAATTACGCATCTAACCCAATCAAATTTACCATCAAAAACCTTAAATGGTCAGATGAAATACATGGAATCAAAGAATTGTTGTATTCATCGATGAAACCCATTCTTTTTACAATGCCACAGTTACTCGCTGAATACTACATCCCTTGTGATGACCCCCGAGCCAATGAAACCCTTGAATGCGCTGCAAAAACCTTTGATTGTCCTTATAACCCAACAAAGAAGTGCGGAATCCTACAATTTCCTTCACACACATTAAGTGGAGAATACTTTATACCTAATGAACCAGTCGGAGTTGCAGTTGGAACCCCAATTAATTTCGAAATTGTCGGATACAGCGATTGGTTCGTTCCAACACGCGGTAGGATGTCTCTAAAGCAAATGAAGATGTCACAGGGTGGTTTCATCGCGAAAGGACCCGACAGAGACATTGGATTTCCAATAACCGTTTTTACAGGTGATTTAAAGAAGTCATCTGCACATGGATTGTGTCCAAACGCACGTGCATCACACTTCTGGTACGGTCCTCTTCGTTCCTGCATGAAGAAAGGCCCAGATGTCGTTGAATGTTCAGCCATGGACAATGATGATGAATATGACACGGAAAAGAGCTTCGAAAGTGCCGATGTCCTTCAGTGCATTGACATGAATTACTGCAAGGAAGGTGCCAGATACTCCATACTCCACATGCCCAGCAGAACATACGACACAATGGTTTACGAAGACAAAGAAAGCGGAATGACAAAAACTCCGATGATTTTGCTCAAAAAAGAAAGTGTAGAAGACGTTGTTTACGACCATGTTCCTTTCTATCTCCTTGGAAATATATTCGATAAGATGGGAGCTGATGAAGCTGACCGAAGCTGCGGATATTGGTTCATCCCTTATGATGTAATTGAAAAAGTGAAAAGTGTCACAAAAGATGGAGAAGTTTTAGGCTTTTCTTTCGATGTTGACTTCGATAAGTCATCTCTTTTGTCTAAGATTCCTGATGGACAGTTCAAGAGGCAACTGAAGATAACTAACGCTCCAAATAGAGTCATCTCTCGTCTGTTCAAGAAACACAATTAATTCTTTACTTTGTCTTTATTTTATTTATTGTAAAAAACAGTTTATATATTACTATATTAATATCATTGTTTTTTGAGCAAATTTATTCAATATCTTTTCTTAAAATTTGAAATGAATAAGCTCTGAATCATATTTTTAACTTACAAACTCCAAAATGTCTCAATTTTTGAATAATGGCCACTAAGAATATAATTCTAAGATTATATTATTAAATTAAGAAATTTCTTCATAAATATAAGTAAATTTATCAGGTTACTTAAATGTGTGTCTCCATCAGAAAGTCTATAAACAAATCGCAAATTTAGATCAAATTATATGAAATACTTAATATAGTTCAAATTTTGGAGGAAATTTATTTATAACTATTCAATAAATAGAGTATATGAGCATGATTCATGAACTATTGTATTTGAAATGATGTGTTTGTTTTAATATTGATCAATCTCAAAGATATAAATGGAAAAAGCAAAAAGGATTATCATGAAAATTTCTCAAAGGAATAGTATTAGAATAATTAATCATCAAGATGCTCTATAACAAGTTAAATATATTTTAAACTCTTGAATCACTTATATATTTATGATCAAGGAACAGAGTGGAATGTTGTGTTCATACTTATACTATATTCATTATTGATTTATGAATTCAATGACTATTTCCTGAGTGAAATCTAAATTCATCAGTTTAAAAATGAAATTGTCACTTTTGAATGGATCATAAAAACCAGGAGATGCTCAGTGATAGTTCATCTGATACTCCAGAAGGAGAGTATTCAGTAGAGGCCATTAAAGATCATCGAATTAGAAAGAATAAGGCTGAATTTTACATCAAATGGAAAGGATATCCAGATGATCAATCAACATGGGAGCCTTTATCGAATCTTGAAGGTGCCCAAGAACTCCTTTTCGAGTACTGCAATTCAAAGAACTTACTTGACTTGCTTTCAAAGCCAGAAAAACATGAACACAAAAAAACTCCAAAAGCTAAAAAAGAAAAGAAAGAAAAACCAAAAACACCTGTAAAAGAAGTGAAAAAAGAAACACCAGAAGTACAAGAAGTAACTATACCAGCTGAAACTAAACCAGAAGTTCAAACTCCAGTTCAAACAAAACCAAAAACTACAATTAAACCAGTTTACGCTGACCCACTTGACCAAGAGCTTCTGAATTATGAAGATGAGGATGTTATCGAAGTATCCCCTGCTAGAAAACCTGCTACACAACCAAAACCTCAAGAACATAAAAAAGAACAAAAATCTGAAGACACTGATAGCTATAAAATCAAGATATTAGCAGTCAGAAAAGATGATAAGGGAAATCTTACATTTGCTGTTCAAAAACATGACCAAATTATGTTATTAACAAATGAAAAGATGAAAAAGAAATACATCAGATCATTATTAAGATTTTACGAATCTAATATCGAATTTGGAGAAGAATACGAACTCTAAGGCTTATATTCTTGATAATATTCTTCATTTTTTGTCAGCAGCTTAGATGCGCTATATATCTGTTTAAACATATTATAATAAAGCATAAAAGTTAATAATTTTTACATATTTCAGTTATTTTTAATTTGATATTTCAAAATTATTAAAAAAAATAAGTGTATAATAACTTGGGAATGAATATTTATTTCTTTTGGTAACATAAAGAGTTAATAGAAATGTTGTAAAGAAAAAAAATTAGCAACAAATAATAATGAATATTTAAGCATAAATAATATAATATATAATAACTCTAATTAGGCAGTAACACCAGCCTCCTGAACAGCTACAAGAATAAAGTCAGCATCAGGAACAATAATTATTTCGTTTTTATGTGATCTGATACGAATTTGACTGATTGTTCCTGGGAGCAAACTGTTTTCGAGAGATGATTTTGCTTTTTTCACAAACTCGCTAACTAAGCCAGCATAATGAACTGATTCAGCTTCTCTAAATGATGTTTTATATGGAAGTCCATTCATTTTAAGGACAATCCAGCCGATGATTCCTGGAATCGTGCCAAGATTCTTCAGAATACCATCGATTTCGATACTCATATTTTGGAGAAATACGTTATTTTGGTTACACAGATTTTGGAGAAAACAAAGAGTTCAATTGAATGTATCAAGAGTAACTTCTACAATTCATCAAACTTCAGTATCAGGAACTGTTCGATACTAAAATGACTTCCAAAAACACTAAAACGCAATGATATTGAATCAAATTCAGAGTAACACTAGAAGATTTTAAGAATAACTATCATGAAACAATAGCAATCTAAAGTGATAGTTGATATTAACTTTATTGCCATAAAGTATTATGAATTAGTTATAAATTAGGATAGAAAAATAAAAAAAATTGATTTGATTTAAATATATTATACCGAAATTGTTTAGAAGCACTTACGGTGAACGATGGATGGGCCAGCCTCGTCGTATTCCTCCTTGGTGATAACCATCTGTGGGAATGTAGCGAGGGAAGCAAGGATGGAGCCACCGACCCAAACGGCGTACTTACGCTCTTCTGGGGCGACGATCTTGACCTTCATTGTTGGTGGAGCAAGAGCTGTGATTTCCTTGTCAAGACGTTCGGCGATGCCCTGGAACATTGTTGTGCCACCAGAAAGAACGATGTTAGCGTAGAGATCCTTACGAACATCGATATCGCACTTCATGATGGAGTCGAAGAGTGTCTTGTCGATACCATCGTATTCCATACCATCGAAGTATGGCTTGAAGAGCATTTCTGGGCAGCGGAAGCGCTCATTGCCGATTGTGATGACGTTGCCATCTGGAAGTGTGTAGTTGACGTTGATGGAGGAGTCTGTAGCGGCCTTCTCCATTTCAGCATCGAAGTCGAGGGCGACATAGCAAAGCTTCTCCTTGATGTCACGAACGATTTCCTTTTCGGCTGTTGTGTTGAAAGCATTGCCACGCTCTGTGAGAAGCTTGACCATCCAGGCTGTGAGATCACGGCCAGCGAGGTTAAGTCTCATGATGGCGTGTGGAAGGGAGTAGCCTTCGTAAATTGGAACTGTGTGGGAAACACCATCACCAGCATCGAAAACGATACCTGTTGTACGGCCAGAGGAGTAGAGGGAAAGAACGGCTTGGATGCCGACATAGAATGATGGGACGTTGAATGTGTCGAACATGAGGGAGATCATTTTCTCACGGTTAGCCTTTGGGTTGAGTGGGGCTTCTGTAAGAAGAACTGGGTGCTCTGTTGGGTCAACACGAAGTTCGTTGTAGAATGTGTGGTGCCAGATCTTTTCCATATCATCCCAGTTGTTGACGATACCGTGTTCAATTGGGTACTTGAGGATGAGGACACCAGCCTTGGAGCAGGCTTCATCACCAACGAAAACGTCCTTGGCATTGCCACCAACTAATTGTTGTTTGTACTTTGGACGGCCGACAACGGATGGGAAAACAGAGCGTGGGGCTTCATCACCAGAGAAGCCAGCCTTGCACATACCAGAGCCGTTATCGATAACGAGTGTCTGAACGTCTTCTTCAGCCATTAGAAGAGAATGTGAAGTGAAATTATTTCTGTATCACAACTCTGAATTTTTTCGGGCAACTTGCTAGAAAATATGTGGGTTTTCAGAACGATAGACTCTCAAAAGCTGTGTAAAATGGCGGTTTTAGGAAGTGAAGTTATAATTGTTTGAAGAATATCAGCCGTGTCCGGGACAAATGGTTCAATCTAACATATTTGAAATAATATTATTTTGTGTATAGAATATAATTATGATAATTGTTTGTATAAAATTCGTGTTTTTTATACACAATCTCATTTTCTGAGGATAATGTGTATCATAATGTGAGGCCAAATATACGTAATATAGACCATTACATAGTAGAAGACAAGTAATTTTAAGATTTAATGTGTTATTCGCACATTATCCTAGATATATTTTATATTACTTTTCTTCCTCAAAAATAAGGCCGTATCAACTCATCAATAACTGTTGAACAATGTTATTTTTCGAACCGATTTCATTATCGTTACTCTTCTTACGTGAAAAGATCAATTGATATCTAAAATTTGAAACTTTTGAGTGATTCTCTCAAATTATCACTCATTACATCAAGCATTAATGCATGCTACCATAAAAAATTGGCAACAGCGTTCGAGTGCATTTATTAGTAAATGATCTCGTATATACAACCAGACAGGAGAAAAAAACTAATGAATTGATCTCATTACACAGAGTGCATATATATAATAAGCCCTCATCCATTTAACATAGGAATAATAAAATTCCCATCACAAGCATACAAGAAAATCCATGTAATAACTCGGTATTGCTAACAATTCCTTTAGACAAATAAATTCTTATTTAAAATTGTTAATAAAATACTTAGTTTACCTTGAAATATTTTCCTATATTTCAATTAAATCCATAATTATAGTGATTGAGTTTATAAATGACATTTTTGAAGGAAGTACTATGTATACTCACTTGATTACCTTGATTGAGAGAAATAGGAATTTCCAAAAAAAATTTAAAAAATTAAAAATATCTTGAACAATCCCAGATTTTATATTCAAATTCTTAATTTTGAAAAAATTTTGGAACATGAAACATCATTATTTTATACAAACATCCTATTTTAATGACAAAACAAAAAAAGATTCAAAGATTCTCATGAAATTTATGAATTCAAAAGGTCAAATTGCTTATTTTTTAAAAGTAATTCACCTTATTTTATTTTACGACTCTAGTATCATCTTTTAAAAACTTTTTCAATCTCATATTTTGTATTTTCAGTATTATTTTGTTTGAATGTCTTTTTCTTTTAATGAAGAATGTATGAAATACCTTTGACAGTTCGTATATTACACTTACTCATATGCAAAACGTCAGTATATCTCTATCTAATGTAGTCGAATCAAAGTTTCATCGTAAAATCTGAAATATCAGTGATTTATAATAATTAACTTATTCACAATATAGCTTTACTGTATAGTACAAATCCAATTTTATGGAGTAATTCAAGTTAATGAAATTTTGATTTAAAAATAATGAAATTTTAGCTGAGTTAATTCAAAATTTTAACGAGATCAAGGAAATCAGTTCATGTTTGATTCAAGAACATGCGCACTTAAAAATGTTTTGTGTTGAATAAATTCAATTATGATAATTTTGTGAAACAATGATATGTAACTGATGAATTCTAGTGCCTGAGGTTGAGGATTTGATATAACATGTTATGGCATAAGCAAGCTTTTTCAAACAATCAAAAACGTCACTTTTATTAATTCAAACGCAATTTTATATGAAAATTCTTATTATGGATACATATACAATAGAAATATTCTTCGAAATTTGAAAAAAGTGACAAAAATGCAACAAGTTCTCCAAGATTATGAAATAGATGAAGAACTTGAATATATGAAGTCATACCATTCTCTTGCATTTGAAAAAGTAAATATTATTCTTGGGAAAGCAAAGACATCTTCCTCAATGTTTTTGTTTATTTCAGATTTTAACGTTGCACTCTTTAACAAAAAGTTTTTTTCCAAGAAGCTTCGATTAGAATTTTCATCGTTATGGACAGAAGTTCAAGAAATTAGATATAATTCAGGAGATAATCAATATTTGTCATTTAAAGCGAAATCAAATTCTTTTCGGGTTGTTTCAAAGAATACAAAAGAAATAGCTGATTTAATAATGAAGTTCAACAAATCTGTGTGGGGAAATCAAGATGCGCCAACTCCAAGGCTTTATTATCCCAAAGAGTACGAAATACCTGAATACACTAAGTCCATACCAATCCATCTAAAATATGAATTGTTCCAAAAAGGTATTCAATTACCAAACAGACAAATTTCATCATTGGCCAAATTTTTCGCATCAAAACCAACAGAATTCAAGTTCGATCACTTCTACTGGCTTATCCAATACATTCCAAATGTCATGAAGATCATAAATTGGGAGCCTTCCATTAAAAAAATCATTATTCCGTTGGACGTTTGTCCTCTTGGCGCAACATTGATGCAAAACATCATGAAGAAGAATAAGACAATTCAGGAGATCTCATTTTCGAACGGAACTATTACTAATTTGCCAGAATTACTTCAAACTATCGATAGAAACCAAGAAAGCAAGATTAAAGGTCTTCATTTTACCGGCATTACTTTTACATCGAAAGATTTACACGCTCTCGATAATTTTATAAGGAATTACAAATTAGATTTTTTAACTTTGAATTTGGCATTCGATCATTCACTTTCCTTGAACTTTACAGAAGACTCTCTTAAAATAGAGAACTTTGGATACCTCCAAACCCTTGTTTTGGATAATACTCCCGGTTTAAATCTTCAAAGAATATTTTTGAGGATGAAAAACCTCAAATTCCTCTCAATTGTTAACTGCGGAATTGAAATAAACGAAATCATCCGTCTTTTCCAGGTCGTAAAGGGCTCAATTGAAAGAATCAACGCATCTTACAATAAATGCACAGTTCCGATCAGATTCAAGAAGAACAAGTTGATAAAAACCAACACAAAGTACTTAAACATATCAAATATCAACTGGTCCGAAAAAGATTTGGTTCAAATTTGGAATTTCTTTTCAATACAAGAAGGAATCACTTTAGATTTGAGCTCCGCAACACTAAGTGACGGATCCTTTGATAATTTCGTAAAACAAGCTGTAAATGTCGATTCTAAAATTTCTGAACTATATTGGAACGACAACATATCAACTGGAGTTACGGATATTATCAAGCATTGTCCAAACCTCTCAGTTTTGTCAATTGCAAGAGTTTTCGGCGAAGATGATCCCGAAATTAATAAAATTTGCAAATTTATCAAGAAAACAGAGACACTCAAGAAGCTCAATATATCAGGATCAAGAAGAAAGTTCATTGGCAAGAATATGCCGATAATTTTCGGAGCAATTCAAGAAAATTCTTCAATTACTAATTTAGACATCAGAAAGAACCACGCTGGTGAATCATTCCCAACAGATGTGATCAACTGCTTCATGAAGAACGAAGCTGTCGAAATTTTGGCGATTGAAGGAAATGAAATCACAGATACCGAGAAATACAAAGAAATTTTCACCCAACTTCAAGAGAGAAAGAAACCGTTACTTATCGTTTGGCCGCAAAAGGAAATTGACGGAATTGCTTTGTCTACAGGAACAGAACAGGACGAACTTGACCAATTGATGGATTTACACGCTAGACTCGCAAATATTGGCCAGATTTAGAGTTTTCCCATTATAATACTTTATTTTTATTGTATTTTATTAAATAATTTTTCTATGTATGTTAAATTTCATGATTTTTGTACTATGCTCCATATATAATACAAATACGTCCATACGAAATATGCTTATTTGCTCAATAAATTAAAATACAATATCAAAATTTGAGATATCAATGAAATCATAACTAAAATAATGAGTAAACAAAAATATTATAGAATATTAATGAATCTTATTAATACCAAACTTCAAAATAGCATTAAATTTGATTACAATATGATTACCAACATAATATACAAGGTTTGGGAATGAAGATATGAATCAACTGGTTCGAAAACTTATACTATGAGCTATTCATTTTGGATTCTCTTTCAATGATTTGCAATCTCTTCATCTGAAATCAATCCAAAAAATCAAAGATCCGAAAACACATGCTGCTTAATATTTTAAAATATTTATTGGATTTGACTGATTTGACATTTTTGTTGATTGAATTTTTTTTTTCTAAACAACGAAAAATAAATGCAAGGCCCTTTTTCATTATCAATCAGTGGAAAGCGCCTGCAAAAAAAGCCAGCGATTGGATCTAAGTTCTATATTGCTGACTTTGGAAACAGCTCTAACTCTCTATTCATAGTTAGAAATCAGTTTACTGATGTTTTGATTCAATCAAATGACTATTCAACAATTTCGAAAATATACGAGACAAGATTTACCGAACGTATAGTGAGTGCATCTGCAATGCCCGGCAAAAAATGGTTCCTTGTTGTTTTACAAGGATTTGGCGATGGTATTGATCCACGACCATTTTACAGGGCAATATTCATCAATGCAGTTTCAAAGACAGCAGAATTACCCGTAACTATGAAAACAAATACACCACAATATGTATCGTGGGCTTATTCCCCGGATAACCCAGTTTTTCTTCATCTAAAATACGACAAAGACAAAAATCCAATTATTAGCACTTACGAATTTAACTATGATCCAATTTCGTCATCATTTACCATAAATTTCAGAAGGAATCACGAACATTTCATGTGGTTTAATACAGGAATGAAAGGGGCAACACACCATACATATATGGTTCAATTTGATCCAACTACAAACAATTTAGTTTTTTCAGATCGAACAAAAACAGATTTATATCCAAAAACATGTATTTTACCTAGTAATATCGAATTGGGATGCAATACTGAATTTAAAGCTTTCTCAGCTTCAGTAAAACATATGTCTTTCCAGAAATGCGGCCAAAGAATGATTATCCATACTTCTTCTAACAAATTAACGATCATACTACCTTTCTCGTCATTAAAGGCTGAGATAACTCTTGACTACATCGATCTTCCGCCAAAATCTGATCCATCCCTCTTCGAAAAGTTCACTACAACCCAAGAATTAGAAGACTCATGCTTACAGTATGATCCTCTGAACGTTTCCGATTTCCCAACTACGAAAATTCCTTTTGTTATGTGCAATAATGGTTTTTACATCATTACTGCACCGAAAGGAATGATCACATGCTTCCTTCTCGACAAGGCCGATCGTGTTAGAGCCTCTTTTTCAACGGCAATGCCAGATAATTGCCTCCAAATGCACAAAATGTCATCTCTCAACGACCAGGCCACGCTATGTCTATCACAGGAGACAGGAGAAATCTTTAACTGCCACTTAAATGCAGATTTCTTCGTAAAACGAGATCCGAAATTTTCATTGTCACTTTTACACGCTTTTATCACTCCACGTAATCACGATATCTCAATAGCCGAGTTTATAACACCCAGGCTGCTCAAAACGTTCTGGAATTGCGAGTTTTTCTCAGAAGCGTTATTATTGCTTTTCAACTCTGACCAACAGAACAGGCCATTCGCAGATCGTGTCTGCTCCACATTATTGGACCCAAAGAGACACGGCGACTCACTATTTTCGGAATATTTGACTCAACCACGAGGAGAGATCGCAGAGCAGTACAAATCATTCCGAGAAATATTTAAGAAGATTCCGAAGTCTATAATGGAACAACTTCCTCCAAATCTTCAAGATTTCGGACAGATTGTCAAAACTTTGATTTCTCTTTTAGACACCGACTTCTTCAACGTTGAAACATTCCCTGTAGACTGCCAATTCGCATCGAGACTCCAGATAACAGCTCTAAAACACTTTTTAGATCCAAACGCCATCATTTTAACCGCCAAAACCGTTTTCCCAGAAAATTTCAGTGAAGAAGTATTAAGTACATGGCTGATGCGTGGCATGATTGATGAGCCAATTGTAAAGGAATGGCAGCCAGGCATTGTTTCTCCTCTTATTCTTTCACAAGAAAACGCTTTCGACATTGTAAATGACATTTGGTGGTTCATGAAGATGAAGAACGCTTCTTTGTTATTTAAGCAGGAAGATGATCCTCTAACTAACTTGTTCCAACACGTTGAGCAGGCAACATTGAGACAGAATGAGTTTGGACCTCTTATTTTCTCTATTCACCAGTATTTGTTGCAGCCAGAGATGGATAAGCCAATTTTCGAAATATGATTTGCTTTTTTTTATTGTTTTTGTTTTTATTTGTTTGTTTTATGTAACATTATTCTCTTTATCTTTCTTTCGATATAAAATTATAGCTATATTTTTGTATGAAAATGAATTTTTTTAGGGTGCATTTACCACTTTCTGACATGTTCTCAATTTTTTTGACATCCAAGCTTTATATCCCAATTTTCTATAATAAAAAGTTAATATTTTTTGTCGGGAAAAGTTATTATTTATCACTGCTTAGTTTCTAACACGGCTATTATACTCTTTTGCCATTAAATTAAAGATATGATGATATTATCTGAGCGTGTCAGAAAGATGTAAGTACACCCTTAAAGGATGTCATCACTTTCTGACAACTACGGTAAAACAGGGAATTGAGTACCATTCCATACCTGCATGTGAGCTTCCATAAATGACAAATGCTTTGTCTAAAACGAGGATGAAAATTATTATATAGGCATTGTTTTGGTAATAACTTTATTTGTCATTCAAAAATATTTGCATAAATGAATTACTACAGTTTGCAAATAATTAGCTACATCATCAACAAGAAATGTGAATGATGTGTGCTTTTAACATATAAGTGTTGCTATATCACACGTGTATTCACCGCCCAATCAAAGCATTATTATATTCAATCATAAAAGCAATTTTTATCCATAAATAAATGTAAAAGTATATGATTTTTTTGTTTGCGATTTTGAATTCTATTGCTTTATCTCTGCCTTTCTATCCTAGACTTTATTATTCTCTTTGGTGTGCAGTAATCTGAATAGCTGAATAAACTTCACATTGTTGGCTGTGAAATAGTTTACATCAAATACTGACTTATATCTGTGATTATCACATATAACACAAGTTTCTTTTCATTGAAAAAGCAAGAACAGTAACTAGAACTAATAAAAACATAAGGAAAATGATGATTTCTTTCGAGTACAGAAGATATTCACAAATTTGATATTAAGGATTTTAAAAAACATAAAAGCTCTTCATTGGAACTATCAAGTAGACTTTAATAGATTTGGACTAGACCAGATAAAGTGTATCAGGATTTAAAATTTATCCAGATCTTATATGCTGGAATTAGTATGTCGAGTTAGATTTGAAATTCAATAATTTCATTTCTGAAAGTTTGGATAAACTAAACTCATTATAAATTCAATTATATAATATTTAATTACATTTATGTGGCAATTTACATATATTTAATTCATTGAATTTATATTCTGCAAAGAATCAGATTTAAATACCAAAAATACATAATACTTTATCTATATATTCATTATATTTATGAGTTATTCAAATTATATATTGAATTCAGAAAAATCACATGAATTTATGTGATTTGGATAATCTATAATGGGAATAGTAAGGAGTATTCATCTGATATATGATATTATATCAAGGAGGCAATGATTTTGTTTTTTATTTGGGTTTTGAATGCAATCAAAGTTTTTCAACAATAAATCTCAAAAGTTAATAAATTAATTGTTTTGCATTGATATAAAGGTCCATTTAATTAAGGAAAACAACAAAATACTAATTGTCAAAATAGTACAGTCTCAACGTCAGAGGAACTCACTCCTTTTTTTTAAAGCAATTCGGTTCATATAAATATAATTATATACAACTTCAAAATTATTTAGGTCTCACAGTCTTGCTTTCGTTATTTTGACAAAGCTCTCATATTATATGATAGTTTAAGTGCCTCTACCTCGTCATCTAAAAAGCCAATGAGGAAGTAATTTATAACAATATATATCCATATAGACTAAGGTATATATTGGGTATATTTAAACTGAGTGAAAATGAATCTATTCTCGTAAAAAAGGAAATTTTGAGCCTCTAAATTTTTCTATGAAGAAGTTTTGTCGGATTAAACCATAAATATGTGGCTTTTGGATACACTATGAACACACAATATCATAACCTTCATAAATCATTGACTTAACTTGCCTGTGATACATTGTGAACAATAAAATCTCAAAACAAATTCTCTTACATACGATTACTTTTGATTCAAATGCTGATTGATAACAGAAGCAAACATAATCTTTTATTAGAGAATTATACTTTTCCTATGTTTTTGAGTCGCTTCGCACAACTGGTTAAAAGTTTGACTGGTGCGAATTTTCTAAATTATACATATTGCCATGCATTTTTATCATAATGTTTCAAATGAATTTTCAATTCACTCAGAAATATTAACAATTTACGACAAAATTTTTCTGAGAAAGGCTCAGAAAAATAATGCTTGAATGTTAAGTTGAAATACCTACAAAAAGTTTCAGGTTCATGATTTTAATGAAAAACGAGACCATAAAATGTTTTCAAATGATTTGAATGTTTGGAAAATTAAGGTAGATAATGAATTAAAATTATATACCTTCAATCATGTGATGTATTAATTATATTTTGCGGATTTACAGACAATTATTTTTACACACAAAATTTGAATACACAATTGAAAATTATAGTAATCTCTTTTCAATTTTGTGAATTTGTGAGGGCAGAAGATTTTATTTTTAGATAAATGGCATTTTTGTTAATTTTCTTTAGACAAATTAACTTTGATGATATCAATGTTGGGGGACAAATGTGGTTCGACCAAAAACTTGATCATTTCTCTAACCTTGACGAAACATTTAAGCAAAAATATTACATTAACACAAATTATTCTAAAAAATCAGAGAATTTAGTTGTGTACATAGGTGGAGAGGCTCCACTCTCTGAATCTTCAATTAAACATGGAGTTTTACATATTGCAAATCAATCTAAATCTGTGATTTTGGCATTAGAACATAGATACTTCGGAGATTCAATACCACATGGAAATTTGGAATTAGAGAACCTAAAGTACTTAACCGTTGACCAAGCAATTGAAGATTTAGCCAATTTTATTTCTCAAATGAAGCAAATATATTGCCAAGATCCATTAAAATGAAAGGCATTGATGATTGGAGGTTCATATGCCGGATCTCTTTCTTCATGGTTCCGTCAGAAGCATCCAGAATTAGCACTAGGAAGTTGGGCATCTTCTGCTCCTATTTTTGCTAAACTTAATTTTTCTGAATATGATAAACATGAAGCAGAAGATTTCATGGAGTACGGTTGCTATGAAAATGTTTTGAATGCATATAAAACAATTGAAAAAGTTGCTTTACTCCAAAATGATAAAACTGAAGAATTGATGATGATGTTTGGAGTTCCTAATCCGGAAGAATTTGTCAGTCATTCACTTGAATTCTTAGATATGTTCAGTTATGCTTACACTTATGGAAATCAATATAAAGCTTGGAACCAAATCATCTTGGACATGTGCGACTCATTAAAAGAAATTGATACATCGGACAGTGATGAAGTCATTGGAGTTATGGCAACTACATCATATCTTCTTGGTATGGATAAATTTTTAGAATTATATCCAAATGGACTCAAAAATACATCTGTCGACTCTCCAAATAAAGCTTCAAGGGGCTGGGCTTATATGATGTGCAATGAGTTTGGATGGTTCTATTCGGCTTCAGGTCTTTTGAAGAGCAACTTATTGACAATACAATATTATAGTGATTTTTGTCAAAATATATTTGGAAAACAACCTGATCCTGATAAATTCAATGAAAAGTATGGAGGATATAATCCAAACGTGACAAGAGTAGTTTATACTAATTCTCACTATGATTCGTGGTCTGAATTGACAATGAAACGTAATGACACCTCAAAATCCATCTATAGTTTTAGTATAAATGATGGATTTCATTGCGATGATATACACGATCCCAATGATAGTGATTCTATATCGTTGATGAGCGTTAGGGAAGAATCCATCAAGTTGCTATTAAAATGGATGGAAGAAAAAGAAGAAGGAAGAAAAGAAGGAGGAAAAGGAGAAGGAAAAGATGAAATAAATGAAAATGCACCAAATAAACCATTACCAACATGGGCCTGGATTGTTATTGCAATGACCACAACAGTAGTTTTGGTAACAATTATTGTAATAGTGATCATCTATACAAAACTAAAAGGAAAAATTTCCTTATCAACGGATGAAATTAAAGAATAATATTTTTTTGTATTGATATTTTGGAAGTTTTTATTTCTTTGTGCGTAATGTCCTCTTTGTGAAACTTTGAATGTACCAAAGAACTACACAATATATAATCAATATCCAAAAAATGATAGAAAATTATCATCGAAAATTCAATGAAATTATTCATTTGAAGCTATGGTATTGTATTTCCTCCTATTTGAACGTTATCAAGGGATTAAAGCATTTAAACTGGAATTTAAATGAATAAATTGTTTAATATTGCTAATTCTAATGCGAGAAGGTACGATCACCTCAAAACAATTAATATATTAAAGTTATAACATCCTTTTAGGATAAAGCAGTTTTTCATTTTTTAAAAAATTAAAATTTTAATACAAATATATTGTTTATTTCCCGAAAAACAGAAATAAAGTTATACAAGAGGTGCCTTGTTATCAGAAAGCTCTAAAATTGCTGATGGATTTGTCTTATTCTTCTTCATGTAGATGCAATAAGCGAAAACCATAGCAACAATAATTAATGTAACTAAGACACAAGATACGACAATGATGAAAATCTTATCTCCCATCATAAGATTGCCTCTGAATGGAGCTCCAAGTTTCTTTTGGAAATCAATAACTTTCTTGATGAGATCTGTATCTGGACAGTAATAAATATAGTCTCCGACCTTAACTTCTTGTGATTTCTTACATGTATGAGTAGTTCCGTTCAAATCTTTAAATGTAAACACGCCATTTTTGCCTAGCGATGACTCCGAGCACATTCCCATAACGCCTGTTCCATTGTAGACTGCCATGGCCCATTGGTTCTTCAAACATGTAATTTTCGGATTCTTAATTAAAGAGTAATCATATGTAGCTGTACTTCCAATTATTTTGTCCTCTGGGATATAAAGATCTTTGTACCTTACAATATCCTTTTCGTCCTTTTCTGTGTCGTATTTCTTAATATCGACCCAAGCAGTGTATCCTCGTAAATCGTGTGCAAGGAATGAAGAGTTTGGCTTGTAATAATGCGAAGCAGGGAACGCGCTTCTTGCTGGCTTCTCAGACATTTTATGAATTTCTTTATCTGTGTAAAAATAGGAGTCAATCCATGACAGTCTTTCACAGACATTCCAGTTAACTGTATAGAAGCCAATGTCATCCATTAATGCGCATAGAACTGGTGATAATTTTCCATCAATTGGAGCAGTTCCTGTCATGAGGTCCTGTCTGAAGATTGTAGCCTTCGGATGGGAGTATATTGTTCCTGGACCACCGTTATCTTCCATTTCTAAGCATTGTTTGATACCAGCCCAATTCGTTTTTCTTTTTAGAAGTTTCTGGGCAACTTCTGTAGCTTTCGGAGAGCACAATTGAAGGAATGTCTTATTGTACTTATCAACATGGAAATAGTTAATGAAAGACTTTGCATCATAAGTTTTTCCTGTTCTTTTGTCAAACCAAAGGTAGTAATCATCATTTATCAATCCAAGTGAGTGCATACACTCATGGAAGAGGGTGTTGAAGTAGTTACGAGGGATAGAATCGAAGTCTTGAGGTACAGATGGGATATATCTTGGATTTATAAAGATAGAGGACTGTAAAGGACGAAGGGTTTTGTTATCATGAGCTGTAACTAATGATCCGGCAATGGTAAATCCTGAAAATGAGCGAACAGAGACCACAACATAGTGATCAACATCGAATTCTTTCTTTGGTGGGTTGAAATAGTTATCTACACCATAAAAATATGGTGTAAGAGTCATCTTAGAATGCCTTATTTTAAGGAATTTCGAAATAAATTTTTCGACGTTTTTAAGAGTTTGAATAAGAGATTCTCTTTTCTGATCTGTAAGTATATCTTCTTCTTTGCAGGTATATTGAGGATTTAATGACCATGCTATTTCTTGGCCAACATATTTACATTGAAAATTGTCGGCTCCGGAGACAGCATCATCATAATCAAAGATTAATCTGAAAGGCTTTCTTGTAAATAAGTCAGATTCAGTTACTGGTATTCTTCTACTTGAAAGGATTTTTTGAATTGCATCTACATCAATAGTATCACCAAGAGCTTTTCGATTTGATAATTTACTTCCAAGATGCAGAGGGGGATCAAATTCTGTATTAGCATACATTTCAATATCCTCTTCTACTGTAGATAGAGTAAACGAGAGTAAAAAGACAAACATAAATTTAAACTATTCAATCATGATGACATTCTGACAATAGATTTGACATTATTTGTCAAATGAAATATAACCAATATTTAATAGTTTCATTTTATGATCAGAATTTTTTTTGTTTGTCAATTTTTGAGTTTCCTAAATGGCAAAAACTAAGAAAAGAAGAGAGTACTTCTTTTATTGTTTAAAATTACACGTCACTGTTTAAATGAAAGGAAATCAAATGAAAAGTGCCATGCTTCTCCTTTTTTCCTAGGGTTACAGATCCTTTATTTTCTTCTCTTTTAGCCTGAAATGAAAGTAGACATTTGTACAATATAATTCTTGACTTCAATCGGCAACTGTCTTGTGTTGTATCATTGTTCATATTTTCAATTGATCTCCAGTATTTTTCAATTTAAAATCAATTTCGTTAAATCTAATAATATTGCAACATTACTCCTATATTTCCATAAGATCCAGATTACACCTACCGAAAACACACATTAAAATTCGAAATTTTGGATCTCGAAAATGCATTGACAAAATTACTCGCCAATAGGAATTTTTACATAACTTATGATACATATTCAAATATCACGTAGATAAGAAAAGTTTCTAAAATTTGAAGAATTTATTGCATTCAGAAAAAAAAATTGGCTTAATTATATAAATTAGTGATGATTTACAAAGACTTCTATAATGGATGCACAGAACCAAGAAAATAAGTTTTGAATCCTTCTAATTTCAATTTTATTTCAATTTGACCGCATAAAATTATCGAATTGTACATCGGTAATTATAATGAATAAATTGCAAGCTTATATCTCATTTTAATTTAGAAATTTTATTAATGACAAGAATATTGAGTATAATTATTATATAGAAATATAGGACACATGTAATATATTAAAGTACTGCTAATAGATTGGAAAAAGATTGTACTTTTCATTACTGTTTCCAAAAATTAGAAAAAAGAGTAAACAGTATTTTATGGCAAGATTTTCATTAACTCAATAATTTGTATATTATCACTTAGATAAACAATTTCCGTGGCAATTTATCGTTTTTTTCAATAGTGTTTGCTTTAAAATCGATTAACCCTATTACATTATATCATATTAATTAAAATAATGAATAAATGAGCCAAAATATGGATAAAACCATGTGTCATAATTTAACCATCATTTTTTGAGAATAAAAAACGGTTGAAAAATTAAATTTATGTACACATTGATATACTGTGGTGTACTAACTTTTTATAAATATCGATTTTGAGAAGTTTAATTCAATTTAAACTTCCATGCAGTAATAAATTATCCTAAAAACATCATTATTAGTTATTGCTAATAAAATTCATTTAATACAAAAACTTTGTTTTGAAAAATTCAATGTATTTTTTGAGTTATTATTCAATTTGAAATCTAAATATCGATATCTTCATCTATATAATAGTACTGCTTGTATTTTCAATACAGTCTCATATATTTTTCAATAATTAATTGAATATTTATTCAATTCTCGATTCCCTTTCAATTTGAAATGCCAGCTCATTTTTTTTAATTGATCTTTATGCTTTTGTTCTTCCTGCAACAGCATATTTTGTCAGAGATTAAATTGGTTAAACCAAATCCCTCTTATAATTTTTCAAGTTGGACACAGGTATGGGGTTATTACGACATTGAACACACACTTAATAATCAAAAAACTCCAATTACATACGGTAACAGTGGTGTATTTGTTAAATTTGTTGTTGGCGACCAAATCTGTGTTCCTTCAAACATGACAACTACTTTATGCAATGGTTTAATTTTAGAACTTGGAACTCAAAAGGTTACAGATGATGATGCTTATATATTATACAAAATAACCAATCCTGGTGAAGAAGAAAAGACATTTTCACTTGGAGTTTATGCAGATTTTACTTTTAATACAGGAAATGGCAATTCAAACATTTTCCAACCACTAGAAGGTCAGGATATATACACAATCTCAGCTTCTAAATCAGAAAAGCCACGGCAAAAGATGGCAATTGACCACACAAATAAAGAAACAAATTACATTAAACCAGATAATTATTGGTACGGAGTTCTTGATAGTAATGATGATGACAAAAGATATTTCATGAAATTTGAAGGTGATAAGTCTGTAGTTGGACCAGGTGCAACACCGGATGATGACCCAGTCTCATCATATTCATGGGAAAACAAAATAGCTCCAAAGGGTAGAACCGTTGTTTGTGCAATTCGTATCTATTTCATCATGAGATACCCATTAGAAGTTTTCACAGACGGTACAGTTTTCGCAGGAGACTTGACTGGAGAAATTCAAGTTCCAACATGGATGAGAATTGCTGAAAAATATCAACCATACGACGCATATTTCAAAGAAGGTAATGGAGAATGGACCAAAAAATTATCTTTTAATGGAAATATGCCGTTCGATAGATATACATATAAACTAAATCCTTCAGGAACATCAACAGAATACACTTATAAACTTGAATACACCAAGAATGGCCAAAAATTTTCATCCAATGAAGTTAAATTTAAAGTAACACGCTCAACACAGCCTGAACTTGAAGTTACCACTGCGATCAAGTCCCAACCTTACAACCAACATGATTCACTGGATATTAGAGCAACAGTTATGTCGGACACTCCCGGTGACATTTCTATCGAAATATACAAGGATGATTTTATTGCCACAGATCCAATTAAAGAACCCTATGTTTTAGGAGTTGGAACAGGTGTGAGAGATGCAACCTACAGCAAAGTTTTACAATTGGGAACATTAAGATCTGGCACATATAAATTAGCTATCAGAGCTATCAATAATCTTGGAAGATCTTCAGAATGGTACAATCGTACATTTACAATGGAATTCCAAACTGAAGTTTTTGATATTCACTTTGAAAAGAAAGCTTATCAGGCAAATGATATCATCCGATTACTTGGTCAATTCCTTGAAACAGATAACAATGAACAGATTAGATTCGCTCTCGTCATGCCTGACGGATCCACTGCCAGATCAGAGCTCTACACACCAACAGGCGCTCGACAAGATTTTGTCGTCACAACGACTGTTAGTGATGAGACAGAAAGACTCATTGATTGCACATTCCAAGTCTTGACCTCAAATAATGTTGTTGTTAAATCACAACAAATTCAATTGCGCATTACAAAAGCTCCTATTTTCACTCTTAGCCCAGATTTCTTTGGAAAGGAGTTCAATAACTCACAGATTTTATCATACAAAGTTACAGCTGCTTCAGATGAAGACACAACAAGTCTTAAATGCTTATATAAGATCGATAAGAATGAATACAAAGAAATTTCATGGGCAGACTATAGAATAAATATTCCATTGACGGGACTAAATTGGTCAGCCGGTTTCGATCATCATCTTTCAATCGTTGCCATGGACCAATATGAATCAACATCGAAAGAGACAACCTTAGACTTCAGAATCTTAAATGAACCGAAGTTAGTGAGCGTTCAATTTACTGGTACTAATATTCATGATCCATTTTCAACAGGAGAATTCGTTGCAAGATATGATGATATTGATAAGGGTAAGCAACTTTATCTTTATGCTAAGATTGGATCAGATATTCAGAAGTTTGATTTCATATCAGTTCCAGAACAAAATACACAACAAATCACAAGAAGTTTAAGATATCCTAAACCAGGCAAACAAAATGTTGTATTCTTTATCTCCAGCTTGTCAGAATCCGTCTATCCAAAGACGGCACACTCAAATTCAAATGAAGTTTCAGCGGAAATTATTAGTACATATCGCCCAGAAGTCACATCATTGACAGTTACTAGAAGCAGTTATTACACTTCTTCCGATAGAATTCCATTCACACTCAAGATCAAGGATGATCTCTCAGGAACAATTAAATACAAGATTGATGATGTAGATGTTACAAATCTACAGAACACCTTAACAACATATCAAACACCAGACGGCGAGTCATATGCGACAGTATCAACATCTATTGTAATTCCTTCAACATGCACTTATTCTAACAACAAAGCACACACACTCACTGCAAAAGTTGTCGACAACTACGACTTGGAATCATCTAATTCTAAATCATACACATTTTACATCAGAAATGTTCCAACAATCTCAGTTGATGAACTTACGAAGACGTTAGCCATCTCTAATACACCAAAAGAGAGCGACAGAACAATTCTAATCTCAGGCACCTTCCGTGATGTTGATAACAAACCACTTAAAGTCTTCGTTCAAGAAGAAGGCGGTTCTCCATATGAATGCAAGTCCGGCTCATCAAATAATGCTGATGTTGGCTTCTCATGCAACTATATTGTTCAGGCCGAATCCAAGGCTGATTTCCCAATTTCTATTTGGGTCGAATCAGTTGAATCTAAGAATGACGAACAAGGAAAAGTCAAATCAGAAGTTGTTGTCAAGAAGATCACTGTCACCGATCCACCTGCTATCAGTTCAAACTGTGTTTCTGGTTCATTTGGATATGAAGATCCAATCACAATCAAATTCTCAGTTACCGATGATTCCAAGGGCAATATCAAGTTCTACTTGAATAAAACATATTTGAGCAATCAAGACTACAGATACGAGAACTTTGTTGGTGGAGAGTCATCTGCAACAGTCAAAATCCCACAAGACTTACCAAGAGGTATGTACTATCTTAACTATTATCCAGTTGATGACTATGGTGTTGAAGCACTTGACAAATCTCGCTACAGGTGCCTTATCGAATACAAGAACAAACCAAAGATCGGTGAAGTTAAATTGAGCAAGACATCAGGCGATGATGACGATGAAGTTTCAGCCACAATCAAATACACCGATTATGATAATGAAAAGAAATTATATATCTACCAGAAAGTTGGTGATCATTCATATCAGGTCACTGGCGAAACTCAATCTAACGGTGGATCGAATGAAGTCAATGTTCCAGTTCAAGGATTACCAGGAAATCCATCTGGACAAGTCAACATCTATTTCATTCTTGCAGACACAAACAATGCTGATCTTATAACATTACAAGGCAATCAGAAATCCAACGAAGCTAGTGCACCATTCACTCTTAATAACATCCCAACACTCGAAGTCACTTATGATCAAGTTAAATCAGGCGGAGAGACCTTCAAGATCAACTTAAAGGTAACAACTGAGAAGTCATACACAATTTATAGAAGACAGAATAATGTCGAAACTTACGTTGCAGAATACACCGGCAATGCAGAATATACTGATTCAGTTCGAGCAGATGAATCAGTTGATTCAATGACAGTATACTATTATCTCAAAGATAATAGTGGAAATACAATATCACAAAGAATCCAAATCGTTTTGACAGTTAGAAATCCACCAATAATATCATCCTTCTCTTCATCCGTTCAAACTGCCAAACCAGGAGGTAAATTAAGTTTGACATATGGATTTGATAACAGGCAAAATACAAAAATCTTTGCATTTTACAAGATAAATAACGCTGAACCACAAAGTGTTATGTTCTGGACAAGTCAATACCCAACATCGTTCTCAACAGAAATTCAGCTTCCATTTATTAAGAGTGAAACATCTGTAACAATTACAGGTTGGTTACAGAACACTGACACTCCACAAGGAGAAAATCCAGAACCATATACTAAATCAGGAACAATTCCAATTAATATTTTCTTGACATATCCACCAAATGTAACACTCATATTCCCATCTTCTAACGTTTTTGGTAATGATGACAAGATTAAAATTAGTTATGACATCGTTGATGAGACAACAGGCACAATTAAGGCATACATCAATGGAATTTCAGCAGCATTCAAAGATTACACAAGTAATGGAAATCATGATGTCAATTCACTTTCCTTCAAGCTTCCAGAAGAAATCACTTATGCTACAATTGATCCAAAGATTATTGTTAAAGTAACAGATTCACATCAGGAAACAACAGATTACACACCATTCCCAATCGTTGTTGTCAACAAGCCAAAGATCACTGGTGTTACATTCTCACAAGAATCAGGTGTTTCTGACGGAAAAATTGAAGCTACAGTCGAATTCGATGATTTCGATGTTGACAAGAGATTATACGTCTTCGTAAAACATGATGATGAACTTCTTTATCCGGAAAATAACAAAATTGAAAGTTCAACAGGAACATCAGGCCAACGCAAGACAATCACATTATTTATTCCTGATACAGATAGCAGTTCGATTGAATTTAAATTCTTCATGACAACAGATCAAAGCCCATCAGCAAATGAGAAAGAAGACAATTACAAGTCAAAGGATTATTCAAAGACTTTACCAATAACATTCGAGCCAGCCATTCATATTTTCATGAATGAACTTAAAGAATTCTATCAGAAGGGATCATCAATTCTCATAAAAGGTATTGTTTATGCAGACCAAGAAGCAATAATTAAGTTCTATTCTGACTCCCAATGCACGAAACAAATTGGAGATCAATTTAATTATTATAGCGTTACATCAAGTGGCAAAGAGTTTGAAGCTTCAGTCCAAATACAACCAACAATGTTATATGGATACAATACAATTTATTGCAAAGCATTTTCAAGATACAACCAAGAGTCATCATATCCGATAGATATTAACTTCTTCATTAAGAACAAACCTATTGTTTCTAATCCAAAAGTTAACAAGGCTTTCTATAAAGTCGGTGAAGATATCACAGGCACATTCTATCTTACAGATTTGGATGCAGGTAAACCAATCTTTTTCTTTGGTCGCCTTGGAAGATGGTCGTGATACTGAATTAATAGTTGATGTCTATGAATCTAGTGGCGATGAAAATCAAGAAATTCCTTTCACTTTCAAAACATCATCAACGAAAACAGGTAACTTGCCACTCTTGATTTGGGCAACAGATGAATATGATTCCAATCCAAGCAAAGAAATATCTAAGTCTGATCCAACAAAAGTTGATGTCAAGATTACTATTCCACCATCAATGAAATTCAAATATGAAGGTCCTAATGTCTTCAGCTTCAAGGAAATCATGCAGATTCAAGTCGATATTGAGGAAGATGAGAATGTCACACTCTCATACTATGTGGATAAGAGAAACCTACAGAAAACTGAAAAGATCGAAATTAATGGAAAATATTCAGGATTGAGAGAATTTAAGATCTCATCTGGTCTCTCACAAGGATATCATGAACTCTCATTCACCATCTTTGATAATCACGGTTTGACAACAACAGTTCCAGGATCGATTCCATTTACAATTAAGAATCGTCCAAATATTACAGATTTGTCAATTACTAAGAACTTCATTACTCAGGATGAAGTTGTTGGTCTAGAAGGTCATTTCACAGATGTCGATGGCCTGAAGCCATTATATCTCTTCTATCAGATCGATAATTCTGAAATTATTGGATCTATCAAGGAGTTTAGTAGCCAAGGCATTCGTGGTCAAGTCCTTAAGGCAGGATTTTATGTTGACAAGGATGAACCAACAGGCGAAAAGACACTTAGAGTGTGGCTCAGCTCAGTGAATAACGTCGAAACAGTCAAGAATTCACTCACCGCTCCATCAAAGGATGTTTCTGATAAATTCGAACTTGTTTTCAATCTCACATACAATCCAACAGTTGAACTTGATGAACTAACGAAGCAAGTTTACAACGACGGTGAAGTCTTACAGTTACAGGTACAGTCCACGCATATTCAGATGTTGTCCTCACATACTTCATCAACTCTAACAAGATTGATCACGAAACAGTTGTCACTGTCACCGGCAAACTGACAAAGTTCAGCGACACAATTGTTATTCCAGAGAACTACAGGTATGGCAACCACAGTCTCAATGTTGTTGTCTCAGACCACCATGACCACAACACACGTAGTTTATCCACACTCAAGTTCACCATCAGGAATCCACCACGCATCATCAGCGCTAAGGCTACAGGCGACAACTACCTTCCAGGTTCATCAGTTACCATTTTCGGAAAAGTCAGAGATCCAGACTATGGAAACGAGCTTAGTATCCGCTCACAGGTTGATTCAGGCGTCGAAGTCCCACAGGTTACACTTACTTCAACAGCAGAAGAAATGAATTATGAATTCAGTGTCAAGCTGGAAGAAACACTTATCCCAGGCAAGCACACAATCAATGTTATTGTTGTTGATAATGATAATGAGAAGTCTTCACCATTCCCAGTCGCAATTAATGTCATTCCACTCCCAACAAGTACTCCACTCCCAACAAATGCACCAGAAAATAACGACAACAACAACAATGCTAACCAAGGTGGCTCTAGTGCAAGCGGAAACTCCAAGAGAACAGGATTAATTGTTGGTATTGTCATTGCTTTATTAGTATTAATTGCTCTCCTTGCTGTCCTTGCATTCATACTCTTAAGGAAGAAGAGTGCAAATGCTCAGGCACAAGACTCAGAAAGCACCGAAAATAACGACGACATTGAACAACAGGAAACACAGATCTCACAGACAATTACATCAGAAGAGTTCGCAACACGTGATAACCCATTGTTCGAATCCCAACAAATCGCTCGCGATCAAGACCTCTTCGATAACGAGTTTGAAGAGGCTTCTCTTTAAATTTCGAATTTTTATTTGAAATATTGCGATAAAGTTTGATCTTAAATTTAATTCATTTTTTTCCACATATTTTTATAATTAAGGGTGCACATACCACTTTTTGACATTCTCTCAATTTTTTTTGACACACAAGCTTTCTATCCCAATAATCTAAGGTCAATAGTTAATATTGTTGGTCAAGAGAAAGTAGATATAAATCACTATACTTTTCCGCTATTAAAATAAAGATATATTGATTTTTTCATAGCATGTCAGAAAGTGGTATTGCAACCTTAAGATTTCAAGACTAAAATTATTATTAAAATAATTTCATGAATAATGTGTATGATAATTATAAAGGTTTTTATAAAACCAAAAATTCAATTGAAATCAGGAAAATAAACTGGCCAATATGACATGAATTATCTGTAAACTGTTAGATTAGGAATATTGATTATATCAGTTGATGGAAATGAAATTTATTTTCCGATTTTGAATTTTTGGTTTTATTTGTAAAATCCTTCCTCATATCCAGAAAAAAACAATTTTGAAATATCGGACTTTCTCAACAGTGACTTCTCATGTTATAAAATTTGGTGGAATTCGATTAATTATTTCACTAGAAGAAATAGAACCGTATGTAAAGAGTTTTTGTTTTGATTAAGCTCAACTTAACATACATAGCACAAGAAAATAAAGAGTTTAGATCAACGAAAATAGGAATTACAAATTATAAGAATAACCCAAGAAATTAAAGAGATTTTTAATTTTATATTACAATCAAACGCCAAAATGCTATTCCAATAATCAAATTCCACAAATCATCGGAAAAGTGTATATAAATTGTTTATGTATATGCTAATCTTTGATATAGCCTCTTTTTTGAGTTTTTGCTAAAAGTTTTCGCATTAAAAAGCCATCGTGTGTGTAACCCGCAAACTATACTACTTAAGTCAAATTATTTTGATCAATGAGAAATAGAAACTTGAGTGTTGGCAAAATAAAAATTTGACTAAAAAACTGAGGAAAAAAAAATCCAGAGAACCTTAATTTTCGTTTATTAATTTGAAAATATTTTGAAGATCATATTTGGAATCATATTTTGATTTTATATTCCAAATATTATTGAACAAAATTTTTAATAAGTTGGCGCCAATTTTGATTACATCTCCTCTCAAATAAATTGTGGGTAGATAGTTACTTCATTTTTCTTAATGCAAATCTTCGTTAAGACACTTACAGGCAAGCACATCACACTCGAAGTCGAGCCAACAGACCGTATCGAGGACGTCAAGGCCAAGATCCAAGACAAGGAAGGTATTCCACCAGATCAACAGCGTTTGATCTTCGCAGGCAAGCAGCTTGAAGATGGCAACACACTCCAAGACTACTCCATCCAAAAGGACTCAACACTCCACCTCGTTCTTCGTCTTCGTGGTGGTATGCAGATTTTCGTCAAGACCCTTACAGGCAAGCACATCACACTCGAAGTCGAGCCAACAGACCGTATCGAGGACGTCAAGGCCAAGATCCAAGACAAGGAAGGTATTCCACCAGATCAACAGCGTTTGATCTTCGCAGGCAAGCAGCTTGAAGATGGCAACACACTCCAAGACTACTCCATCCAAAAGGACTCAACACTCCACCTCGTTCTTCGTCTTCGTGGTGGCTTCTAAATTCTTCGACGAATTTACCATCAACTAAACTTTAGCTAATTTTGCTATATACAATCTATTTTTCAATAACTCTAATTATTAGGCTAATCAATGTTTATATAAACTTTTAAGAATTTGGAAATTTTCATTGAATAAAGAACTTTTTCTCTAAATTTGAGACTAAAAACGTGCATTTTAATAGTCTATTAGATGCTCATTTGGATCGCTTTGGACCTCCTTGAATATTTCTTCAATGAATCATGAAATTCAACTATTTTACCTTATAGTTATTGCCCAATTTTTATATCCCTCTTAGAAGTAGCATCGACTTGAACAGTGCAATCATGAATCCAGCATAGATAATTTTGATAAATTTTAAAAAATTAATGTAAATATGGCTTTACATTTTCGTAAAGGTTTTGTTGGCTATATTTCTAATAAGATATTCACAAAACAATTAAGATCATATTCATTTTTTTTTAGGAAATGCTTATCAAGGAGTTAAAAGATGATGATCGAAGTTTTGATTCAATTACATCTTCCACTCTACGTAGCTCCACACAATATAGTATTACAATAAAGGAAAAGCAGGAACAAATTTTAAAAATAGTCGAACGCGTAAATTTTCTTATTAATGCAGCGTCAAACACATTAGATTGTTCTGGCGTGCAAAATTTAGTTCGAAATTTGGAGAATAACCCATTTGAACTCATAGATTGCAAAGATTCTTTTGCGAATCTTGTTACTTTTACGACTAATTGCTTAAATATGGATCAAAATCCAGAAATTTTGCAAAATTGTTTAGATATTTTTCTATATTTACTTGGAAATTTAGATTTATTCGGAGAAATCTGGTATTTATTAGAAATACCAGATAAATTACAACAGTACGCATCATATCCAGATGCCAATCTCCAATTCATTACATCAAGCATTTTTCTCGACTTATCATCTGATCCAAAACTAACTGAAGAAGAATGCAACTCTTTGACGCAAAATTTTATACAGATTTCTATCCAGTGGGCATTGAACCATAGTATTTTCAAATGCCGTGAAAACTGTTTGCAATTTTTAGGAAATATCTTCCAAAGTGAATATTCATTGCCAGAAGAACTGATAAACCAAATTATACAAGTATCTCTTTCCATTATATCCCAAAATAATACGGAATTACTCGAATCAGGCTGTTATTCTTTATTATATTGTTTGAAAAGCCTTGATTTCGAAGATACCAGTTATCTACATGATATTTGTAACCAATACTGGCGAGTCATATCAGAATACGCTCGAGAAGGCGAAAAATTCGTTCTAGAAAAAGATTCTGCTTCATTAGCTTCATTTTTCGTTGAAAAGATAGAAATAACATCAGAATTTGTATCAATAATCAACTACAACTTGTTGTTCAATACAATTACCAACAAATCCGATGAATTTGTTGCATCAATTTGCGGATTAATTATTATGAACACAATTTGTGAAAAATATGAAGATGTTCAATCTCTTATCAATGATCTACTGATAGATGGGCTAATGAACATACTTTCGGTACTTTACACCGGCCAAGTTCGTTCAAAATTGATCGCAATGGGAATTTTCAAAAATTTGATTTTTCTTGCCGATGTAAACTGTCAAATTGTCGCTGCCACTGACATATTTATGGAGTCTGTCATTGATTTTATACATGATTTCGATGGAGAGATGGCAAAAACGATGCTGACAATGATATTGAAGTTCTTTATAAATATACAAGGTCATGAATTATTCGGATCTATTGTAGATCACTATTCTGAACATGGCTGGATAGATAAATTTGTCGAATTCGTGGAAGAAGATACTGAAGAACTAGCTGAAACTGCGGAAGAGATACTGAGTGCAATAGGTTATGAATAATTAAGTTTGAAACTGTTTTTAACAGTTTTTAATATTTTAATTAAAACTTGAAATCATTATTCTTCAAAATTTGAGGTAATTGAAAGAATATGATTCAATTTTGTTCTGGAATAAAAGTGATATTAGAGATAGTAATAATAAAGATCTTTATTTCTGATATTCTTTTGATTTTTTTCACCGGGATCCTTATCTTTATGATCAAATTTCGAGGGTGAAGTGTTAATATTTTTTTTGTTAGGTTAAACGATATAATATGGTTGTTATACTATTTTCCTATTAATACAAGCCATGTCGTGATGTCATAAAGTGGTTAGTGCACATTTAAAGACACACTCACTTCAATTTGACACCATTTCAAATTCTATTTTATATTGTATTTCCAGTAAGTTGTCAGAATTTTGAAATAAACTCAGATGATTGTAGGTGCACCATTAAAGACATGCTTAGCTTATTTATTTTATTTAGCATATGAATCCTATATTTTTTTTTTCAGATTTGATATAATATGGAATATAGTTCGAAAGTCAAAAATTTGGTTCATTTTCCGAGATCTTTACTTGATTAACTAGTTCTGGGGTGTCAACAGATTGAATGGATGCCAAATTGGTGTAAGCTCTCCTTTAAAGAATCACAGGATTTATATATTTGAATAATGCATTCAAGAATGTTTTTGTCGGCCTGAAGCGCCGATATATTTCATAAAGACTAAAGAAAACTCGCATCGTTTTTATTGAAACCTACACACTTTTACCATCTTAATATATGTCAAAAGAGATGATGAAAAATAGAATCTTTTCTGAGAGAGCCGCCGCACTTCACGCCCATAGGAAGCGAAAAATAAAAATGAACACCTTGCTTTTCAGAATAAGGAAATAAAGAAGTATCAAAATTTGAAGTTAAATTTTCGAATTAAACATTTTTGAGTAAAGTTATATTTTTTTGAAAAATGAAATTGCTTTTAAATCAATTAACCCTACTCTATGTCATACAATATACATAAATTAACAACAATCTCACAAATAAATGGATAAAACAATGTGGCATAATTTAACAAATATTTTTTTGTGAAGAAAAAACATCCATGCTATGTTTTTTGATATAGTTGATATATAGACAATATAGCCGAAATATAAACAGTTGATTTTTTGAGAACCTCATTTCAAATTTGAGATGATTTACAATTTTTAGAATTCAAAATCACCAAAATTTTTTCAGTTATCATTTAAGATCCAAATTCATACATATTTCTATTTGGATCCAAATTCGAAGTTTAGTTTAAAATTATATCATCCATTATTTCTTCAGAAATTTCAGAGTGATTTTGAAATATTAATTGAATTTGCTTTCAAATATTTGTGCCATTATTTTTATTTGCAAACTATGCTTTTGTTCTTCCTTCAACAGCATATTTTGTCTAAAGTTAGTTTAGTATTACCTGACGAATCTTATGATATACAACAAAATGTAGTTTATAGTTATTTTAATATAAAGCATGATTTAGATGGTAGAGATACATTGGTTACTTTCCAAAATCAGGGAACTTTTGTCAAGTTCATTGTAGGTGAAAAAACATGTTATCCAACAAAATTACAACAAACTTTATGCGACGATTTAGTTTTGGAAATGGGAACAAGAGAAGTTACAGATGATGACGCGTATATATTATACAAGATCACGAATACAGGACAAGATCCCAAAACATTTTCTCTTGGAACTTACACAGATTTCACATTTAATACTGAAACAGGGCAAAGAAACGTTTTTGAACCCCTTGCAGGCCAGAAAATATACACTATTAGATGTGAAGAACAAGGAGTTGAATCATGGCAAAAGATGGGCATTGATCATAGCAACAAAGAAACTGACTACATTCCACCCACAAACTATTGGTATGGGCAACTTCCAATGTTATTTGATGAAGAAAGATTTTTCAAAAAATTTACTGAAAGTCCAAAAACACTTGGCCCATCATCCTATAACGACGATGACCCAGTAACATCATATTCGTGGGAAAACCAAGCAGTTCTACCAGGAAAAACTGTCGTTTGTGCAGTCAGAGTATTTTTCATTATGCAAAATCCATTAGAAATTTTCACTGATGGAACAGTTTTCGCAGGTGGTACAACAGGACCAATCGCAGTTCCAACATGGATGCGAATCGTTGAGCAAGGTGTAACTTACAATGCATTTTACAAATTAAGTGGCCATGATTGGGAGTGGCTTGACACGTTTGAAGGTAATAATGCATTTGATAGATATACATACAATCTTGAACCACCAAATGAACCAGAAACAAAATACTTGTTGAAACTTCAATACTTGAAAGAAGGGAAAGAATTTTATTCAAATGAAATAGCTTTTACCGTTACACGTTCTAATGAACCCATACTTGAAGTTCAAATAACAACTAAGGGTACTCCATACTCACAAAATGATACAATCCCAATTAAAGTTATAGTTACTTCTGAATACAAAGGAATTGTATCCTGTGAAATATATAAGAATGGATTCTTTGTCACAGAAACACATAAGGAATATGAAATAGTAGAGAAAGGTACTCCTGATCAATCTCCATTAGTTTCAATAGATTTGCAATTGGGAACATTAAGATCTGGTGAGTACGTAATAGCTATTAGAGCTATAAATAGGCTTGGGAGATCTTCAAATTGGCAACTTAATGATTTTAATCGTACAATTACAATGAACTATCAAACAGAAATTTTCGACGTTCATTTTGAGAAGAAAGCATATCAATCAAATGCGTTAATCAAATTGCTCGGCAAATTCATTGAAACAGATAACAATGAAAAGCTCCGTTTTGCTCTCATTTTACCTGGTGGTTCAGTTTTCAGATCAGAACTCTACACACCAACAGGCATTGCACAAGATTTTGTCATCCAAGCATATGTATATGATGATACCGAAAGACTTTTGAATTGCACATTCCAATTGTTAAATGAGCATGATACAGTTATTAACACATCTTATGTAGAGTTACGCATCACAAAAGCTCCTGTTTTCACACTTCAGCCACAATTCGATGGAAAAGAATTCAATAATTCAGAAAAAATAACTTATAAAGTAATAGATGCATCTGATGAAGACAGAAGGAATTTGAAATGTCTTTATAAAATTGATCAGGAAGAATATAAAGAAATTTCATGGAGTGGATTTGAAATAAAAATCCCATTAACAGGACTTTCCTGGTCAAATGGTTTTGATCACCATCTTTCAGTCATTGCTCAGGATAAATATGAATCCCAATCCAAAGAAACTACATTAGATTTTAGAATCCTTAATGAACCAGAAGTGATACTAATTGATTTTCAAAATAATAATATCCATGATCCAAATTCAGATGTCCAGTTTACTGTAACATATAATGATTATGATATTGGTAAGTCACTTTATCTTTATGCTAAGATCGGAACAAATATTCAAAAGTTCGAATTCACAACAGCAAGTGAACAAAATAACCGCTTCATTAGAAGGAATTTAAGATATCCGAGGCCAGGTAAACAAAATTTTGTATTCTTCATCTCGAGTTTGTCAGAATACACATATCCAAAGACAGCTCATTCAAATTCAAAGGAAGTTTCAGCGGAAATTATTAGTACATATCGCCCAGAAGTCACATCATTGACAGTTACTAGAAGCAGTTATTACACTTCTTCCGATAGAATTCCATTCACACTCAAGATCAAGGATGATCTCTCAGGAACAATTAAATACAAGATTGATGGTGTAGATGTTACAAATCTACAGGACACATTAACAACATATCAAACACCAGACGGCGAGTCATATGCGACAGTATCAACATCTATTGTAATTCCTTCAACATGCACTTATTCTAACAACAAAGCACACACACTCACTGCAAAAGTTGTCGACAACTACGACTTGGAATCATCAAATTATAAATCATACACATTTTACATCAGAAATGTTCCAACAATCTCAGTCGATAATCTTAAGAAGACGTTAGCCATCTCTAATACGCCAAAAGAGAGCGACAGAACAATTCTAATCTCAGGCACCTTCCGTGATGTTGATAACAAACCACTTAAAGTCTTCGTTCAAGAAGAAGGCGGTTCTCCATATGAATGCAAGTCCGGCTCATCAAATAATGCTGATGTTGGCTTCTCATGCAATTATATTGTTCAGGCCGAGTCCAAGGCTGATTTTCCAATTTCTATTTGGGTCGAATCAGTTGAATCTAAGAATGACGAACAAGGAAAAGTCAAATCAGAAGTTGTTGTCAAGAAGATCACTGTCACCGATCCACCTGCTATCAGTTCAAACTGTGTTTCTGGTTCATTTGGATATGAAGATCCAATCACAATCAAATTCTCAGTTACCGATGATTCCAAGGGCAATATCAAGTTCTACTTGAATGAAACATATTTGACTAATCAAGACTACAGATACGAGAACTTTGTTGGTGGAGAGTCATCTGCAACAGTCAAAATCCCACAAGATTTACCAAGAGGTATGTACTATCTTAACTATTATCTAGTTGATGACTATAATGTTGAAGCACTTGACAAATCTCGCTACAGGTGCCTTATCGAATACAAGAACAAACCAAAGATCGGTGAAGTTAAATTGAGCAAGACATCGGGCGATGATGACGATAAAGTTTCAGCCACAATCAAATACACCGATTATGATAATGAAAAGAAATTATATATCTACCAGAAAGTTGGTGATCATTCATATCAGGTCACTGGCGAAACTCAATCTAACGGCGGATCGAATGAAGTCAATGTTCCAGTTCAAGGATTACCAGGAAATCCATCTGGACAAGTCAACATCTATTTCATTCTTGCAGACACAAACAATGCTGATCTTATAACATTACAAGGCAATCAGAAATCCAACGAAGCTAGTGCACCATTCACTCTTAATAACATCCCAACACTCGAAGTCACTTATGATCAAGTTAAATCAGGCGGTGAGAGTTTCAAGATCAACTTAAAGATAACCACTGAGAAGTCATACACAAATTATAGAAGACAGGATAATTATAATAATAATGCAGAAATTTACGTTGAAAAATTCGACGGTAATGCGGAATATACTGATTCAATTCCTGCAGATGAATCAGTCGATTCAATTGCAGCATATTATTATCTCAAAGATAATAGTCAAAATATAATATCACAAAAAATCAAAATCGTTTTGACAGTTAGAAATCCACCAATAATATCATCCTTCTCTTCATCCGTTCAAACTGCCAAACCAGGAGGTAAATTAAGTTTGACATATGGATTTGATAACAGGCAAAATACAAAAATCTTTGCATTTTACAAGATAAATAACGCTGAACCACAAAGTGTTATGTTCTGGACAAGTCAATACCCAACATCGTTCTCAACAGAAATTCAGCTTCCATTTATTAAGAGTGAAACATCTGTAACAATTACAGGTTGGTTACAGAACACTGACACTCCACAAGGAGAAAATCCAGAACCATATACTAAATCAGGAACAATTCCAATTAATATTTTCTTGACATATCCACCAAATGTAACACTCACATTCCCATCTTCAAAAATTTTTGGTAAAGATGATACAATTCATATCAAATATGATATTGTCGATGAGACAACAGGCACAATCAAGGCATACATCAATGGAATTCCTGCAGCATTTAGTGATTACCAAAGTTATGGAAATCATGATATCAATTCACTTTCATTCCAACTTCCCAAGAAAATCAATTATGCTACAATTGATCCAAAGATTATTGTTAAAGTAACAGATTCACATCAGGAAACAACAGATTACACACCATTCCCAATCGTTGTTATCAACAAGCCAAAGATCACTGATGTTATATTCTCACAAGAAGCAGGTGTTTCTGACGGAAAAATTGAAGCTACAGTCGAATTCGATGATTTCGATGTTGACAAGAGATTATACGTCTTCGTAAAACATGATAATGAACTTATTTATCCGGAAAATAACAAAATTGAAAGTTCAACAGGAACATCAGGCCAACGCAAGACAATCACATTATTTATTCCTAATACAGATAGCAGTTCGATTGAATTTAAATTCTTCATGACAACAGATCAAAGCCCATCAGCAAATGAGAAAGAAGACAATTACAAGTCAAAGGATTATTCAAAGACTTTACCAATAACATTCGAGCCAGCCATTCATATTTTCATGAATGAACTTAAAGAATTCTATCAGAAGGGATCATCAATTCTCATAAAAGGTATTGTTTATGGAGACCAAGAAGCAATAATTAAGTTCTATTCTGACTCCCAATGCACGAAACAAATTGGAGATCAATTTAATTATTATAGCGTTACATCAAGTGGCAAAGAGTTTGAAGCTTCAGTCCAAATACAACCAACAATGTTATATGGATACAATACAATTTATTGCAAAGCATTTTCAAGATACAACCAAGAGTCATTACATCAAGATATTAACTTCTTCATTAAGAACAAACCTATTGTTTCTAATCCAAAAGTTAACAAGGCTTTCTATAAAGTCGGTGAAGTTATCACAGGCACATTCTATCTTACAGATTTGGATGCAGGTAAACCAATCTTTTTCTTTGGTCGCCTTGGAGATGGTCGTGATACTGAATTAATAGTTGATGTCTATGAATCTAGTGGCGATGAAAATCAAGAAATTCCTTTCACTTTCAAAACATCATCAACGAAAACAGGTAACTTGCCACTCTTGATTTGGGCAACAGATGAATATGATTCCAATCCAAGCAAAGAAATATCTAAGTCTGATCCAACAAAAGTTGATGTCAAGATTACTATTCCACCATCAATGAAATTCAAATATGAAGGTCCTAATGTCTTCAGCTTCAAGGAAATCATGCAGATTCAAGTCGATATTGAGGAAGATGAGAATGTCACACTCTCATACTATGTGGATAAGAGAAACCTACAGAAAACTGAAAAGATCGAAATTAATGGAAAATATTCAGGATTGAGAGAATTTAAGATCTCATCTGGTCTCTCACAAGGATATCATGAACTCTCATTCACCATCTTTGATAATCACGGTTTGACAACAACAGTTCCAGGATCGATTCCATTTACAATTAAGAATCGTCCAAATATTACAGATTTGTCAATTACTAAGAACTTCATTACTCAGGATGAAGTTGTTGGTCTAGAAGGTCATTTCACAGATGTCGATGGCCTGAAGCCATTATATCTCTTCTATCAGATCGATAATTCTGAAATTATTGGATCTATCAAGGAGTTTAGTAGCCAAGGCATTCGTGGTCAAGTCCTTAAGGCAGGATTTTATGTTGACAAGGATGAACCAACAGGCGAAAAGACACTTAGAGTGTGGCTCAGCTCAGTGAATAACGTCGAAACAGTCAAGAATTCACTCACCGCTCCATCAAAGGATGTTTCTGATAAATTCGAACTTGTTTTCAATCTCACATACAATCCAACAGTTGAACTTGATGAACTAACGAAGCAAGTTTACAACGACGGTGAGAGTCTTACAGTTACAGGTACAGTCCACGCATATTCAGATGTTGTCCTCACATACTTCATCAACTCTAACAAGATTGATCACGAAACAGTTGTCACTGTCACCGGCAAACTGACAAAGTTCAGCGACACAATTGTTATTCCAGAGAACTACAGGTATGGCAACCACAGTCTCAATGTTGTTGTCTCAGACCACCATGACCACAACACACGTAGTTTATCCACACTCAAGTTCACCATCAGGAATCCACCACGCATCATCAGCGCTAAGGCTACAGGCAACAACTACCTTCCAGGTTCATCAGTTACCATTTTCGGAAAAGTCAGAGATCCAGACTATGGAAACGAGCTTAGTATCCGCTCACAGGTTGATTCAGGCGTCGAAGTCCCACAGGTTACACTTACTTCAACAGCAGAAGAAATGAATTATGAATTCAGTGTCAAGCTGGAAGAAACACTTATCCCAGGCAAGCACACAATCATTAATTGCTCTCCTTGCTGTCCTTGCATTTGTACTTTTAAGGAAGAAACGTGCAAATGCTCAGGCACAAGATTCGGAAAGCACTGATAACATGGACATTGAACAACAGGAAACACAAATTACACAAACAGTAACATCAGATGAAATGGCCACACGTGACAATCCATTGTTCGAATCCCAGCAAATCGCAGATGATCATGACCTCTTCGATAACCCTAACGATTTTGAAGAGGCATCTCTTTAAATTTCTGATTTTTATTTGAAATAGTGCGAAATAAAGTTTAATTTAAACAATCAATCTGATTTTTATTTATAACATTTATTTTACAACCATTATTTGTGTTAGATACAATATAAGTTTTTGATAGGAATTACACTCAGTTTAATTTATTCATTTCCCAAATCTCATGTAATTGAATAATAAAAAACAAATTGAAACAATGAAAAGCAATGATCTTGCTCCTATGTAAGCAAAGAATACCATTGAAACATAATATTGGTTTATAAATAATCAACAATTTTAAAATTTATGGATAAATTAGTTTGAAAACTGTAATTTGTATTGCATTAATAGCCTAACAAGACTATCATACATGTCCTGAACGTTTTGGCTCAGTTTCCTTGGTTCTGGTGAATAATCGCGTTTTTCTTCATGTCGAGAGTATGATTTTTTATCTAAATACTTATCATTTGAGTAGTTTGATTCTCTCCTCTCGTTTTTATTGATTCCATATGGAGTTCTGTAATTGAAGTTTTTCTGAAATTTCTGAAAATCGTGTTTATCCGGACGACTGTTAAACCTCTTGGGCGCCTTACTCTCAGGATAGTATATGTCTGCATCATCGTCTTCTTCTTTGTCCTGGTTGTCAGTTTGACGATATTTTCTGTTCCCTCCTTCAAATGTGATAGAAACGATATCACCATTGATATCTTGGCCATTCATCTTTTCGACGGCTATTTCTGCATCTCCATCATTTTCAAAGGTTACGTAAAAAACGCAATTGTTATCAGCATCTTTGACTCTGTCGACATCTTTAACATCACCAATGTCTTCAAAAGCATTTTTGATGGTCAATTGCGTTGTTGAAAAGCTGCAGCCTTCGACTTTGATCCTTCGGTCGTGCATCTTTTCACTTTTATGAAATCAGAATTTGAAATAGATATTTTATTATGCCAACAATTCATTCCATATATTATTTTTAATTCCGAATTATATATTCAATTGAATGTGTAAATCTGAAAATTCACAAAATGGAAGAAGATAATTTACAGCCTTACAAAATTGTTTTTGTTGGTGGTGCTTCGGTTGGAAAGACATCTATTATCAATAGATTCTATAAACAGCAATTTATTATGAATCCAGCAGCAACAGTTCATGCGAATTGCGTTCAGAAACAGATACTTGTTAAAGATCAGCCTGTAATCTTAGACATATGGGATACAGCTGGACAGGAAAGATTTCGTTGCATTAGTCCATTGTTTTTCCGAAATGCAAAATTATGTATTTCTGTTTTTGATGCATCAATAGCAGAAACAATAAATGACGCAATGAGCTATGTTAATGATTTTTTAGATACTGTTCCAGATGGAATTGTTATAGTTGCTGCAAATAAAATCGATTTACTTCCGGATTCTGCATCAAATGATTTCATAAATGAAGCGCAAACAAGGATAGAAAAAGAAAAATATCATTTTTACTACTGTTCTGCTAAAACAGGTGAAGGTGTCGAAGAATTATTCCAAGGTGCTGCCTCTTTGATGCTTGATGTAGTCCAAGAAAAGCAAATGATGATAACAGATAACAAACCTTCAGAAAAACGCAATTGTTGCTAATAATTTTTGAATTTTAATGCTTATTATGCTATTCTTCATTTAATTCTCCTAGAAACTTGCAGAACTATTATGTTTGCTCGATTTTTTTTATTTATTTCTCTCATGTTTGATATAATACACTATATTTTCTTAATTTAGAGTTTCAAATACTTGTTGTTTAAACGCTTTAGTGCGTATTGCTTGTTTCATGAATAAATATTGATAGAATTTTAGTTACCCAACATTATTTTTTTCAATTTTTATAAAAAATTCAATGTTTTCTTCAAAAGTATTAAGAATGATGTGAATTCGAGAAATTAAGTAAAATTAATTGACATTTTTAACAAGATACAGGTAATAAACTATTTCCCTATATTAATTTAAGAGAATGCCATCAGATATTAAGAAATAGCTGCCATCTGTTAGGCAAATTCATAAACAATCTAATCGGCATAGACTCGCGCAATTCATTTAAAACATTTTTATTGTCTCTTTTTTTCACTGTTTTGATATATTTGCTATTGTGTATAGGTTATCGTAACTTTATATTTGAGGATTTCTAGATATTTGAGTTCAAAATCTCTTTCTTCTCAAAAAGTTTTTTTGAAAAATCATTGAAATTTTTACAATGTCGGAATCTCCCAAACAAACTGCCAATAACATATTTGCTGAAGCAATCTCAAAGCTTATGGCTGAAGATACAAATAAATCTTGCATTGGAAATCTCGCACAAATCTCACAGCTTTTAGTAAAAATCGATTCTCAAGTTCCAGGCGCTGCAGAAGCACTTCTGTCTGCAATCCTTACTAATTTCAGACAAGCTTATAATTAGTTTTGTTAAATCCGGGATTTACTTATCGATTCGAAACTTCTATCGCGAAATTTGTAAACTCATCGACTAATCACAATTATATGTTTATTTCAGAAAACATATGCGACATTTCATATATTCACAAACAATTTTATTGTTAATAATTACGATAATATTATATTTCTTTCTTTAAACTTGTTAGGAATCAATTCTCATTAGAGAATTTTGTAATAAATGTTTTTGTTTATATTTTAAATCTATGTTTTTTAGTATTTCTACACAAATATATAACTTTTTTTTTAGTTTTGTCATCATATGTAACTTCAAAGCTGTTTAGCAAGTTTTCATCAAATCTAAGTACTTAAGTTTTGGTATAAAAAATAAATATTATTGTTATATCGCAATTGCAATTATTCTATTTAATAAATATGTTGTTAAGAAACACTAGAAGTGAAATTCTGGTTCTTACTTGAGAAAATAAAAAAATATTATTATTTTTTCCTAAAAAAACATAAGTTAATAATATCTTTATTAAATAGTTAATCAACAGAAATATTCCATCTGTTTTCCAAAACCTGTTTGAGGGATGAAACGAAGTTCTTTGACAAATCTTGGTCTTGGTGTTGGGAAAGCTCTTGAACGATGTTTGCTGCTTTATCGTTCTGTCCCATAAAAGCCTGGAAAACAGCTGTAGCTCCTAAATCGAACCATTGAACAGAATTTTGTTCGGAGACAAGAGATTCGATTTCTTCAATGGATAAATCGGAAGCATCTGTGCTAACAGCTCCTCCTCTCCATTCCCCGAAGTCCTTATCGTATATCCAGTGTCTTCCTTTTGCATGAGCTGTAATTACGTTATTTTCAAGGAGACTGAAGCCAGTAAAGTTGGTGGGAGCAGAGCATCTCAATATTTCAGTCATATCCGATAATTTAATAAGGTAACAGAGATTTCCGACCGCTAAAATTACTCCATCTTTATGGGAAAGGTGTCTGCAGAAATCTCCTATGTAGAAAGGTGTAGACAGACGACGTCCTGTCGATGCATCAAGCTTCATGAGATATCCGCTGTAAGTAATTAAATGGAAATCTCCGATATCCAAAGTTTTGTTAACAATTCCTTGAATTGAAGCTGGTTTCTGCCATGGCTTAACTGGAATGTTATATTCTGATGACGTAGCTGGTATAGCTGTTGACTCAACTTCCATTTTGAATGAAATCATCTGGCGTTCGACGGCTGTAAGCAAAACAGGGGTGATATGTTTGATACCATCCTTTACAATGACAACTTGACGTGCTAAAACTTCTTCCGGAGTCAATTGGAGGACTTCCAAATTTACATCTTTTTCTTCTGTCTCGAGAGAGTGCAAAAGCTGGGTTGCCTTGGTGCTCTGGTTCATTCTGACTCTGAACGAGTTCTCGCCAAGCAAGTGCGATTTGATTTCTTCCATGGATTCGTTATCTACTCTTTCCAAATTATGGACATTTGATAAATCGAAGGCAACAATGCCTCCTTGTCTATTTACTGGGTTCAAATCGAGAGCGACAAGAAGCCAATGACCATCATTTGTCCATGCCATATCATTGATCGTAGAAGTTGAAACTCCATCAAGAACAACGAGTGGTTTTGTATCATCACCAATCATCCAGATTGAAATGACACCTCCTTTATCACCGCAGGCCATCAAAGAGGAATAAGATCCGTTTTTATTTCTAAATAGGTAAGGAGGGCACGAAATGCAGCATGTAGCAGCTACGTGACCTTCCAACATGAATCCAAATGCAAATGTCTCTCTCCTGAAGAAAGGTGATACGAAACCACCGGAATTTGCGGATGTAACACCAACAAATGAGCCATCTGGGGTCCAGCAAATACGGGAAACCATAGCTTGATCTGGTTGTCTGAATTGTTCGCCGAAAAAGCTATGGAAACCTGTAGAATGATCGTAAATATCTAATGTACCATCTAAAAGCTGTGCGGCAATGAATTTACCAAGCGGATCGATTGATATTGAGCTTACACCCATTTTTGTTGTTGTATTATACTGGAATAGTTTTGAAGCTGATTTAATATCCCAAACGTAAATTATTCCATCAATTGAACATGAAGCGATTTTGGTAGAATCTGGATACCATGAGACTCCTGTGATATCTCCTGTATGGCCTGTAAATGATTTAGACTGCCATCTTTGAACTGGGTGGTTTGGTTGAAGTGCGCTATCAGGAATACCGAATGTAGATGGTTGACCGAAGCATCTAACCTTCTGCCATAGGAAAACCATGCCATCATCACCACCTGTTGCAAGATATTTTCCATCGGGGCTAAATCTTACGCAGTTGATTGGTTTAGTATGGTCACGAAGTACGGCAAGTAATTTTGTTTTTGTTTCATGTTTAGTTTCGGAAATTGCTTTTAGCGCCCAAATTTTGCAAAAATTATCCCATCCGCCAGTGGCGAAAAACTCTCCTGATGGGTGAATATCAATTGATGAGACTGGTTTACTGCTATGACCAAGCCATTTTGGAAAAACAAAGCGCAGAGAAGCGTCGGTTTCTATTTCATTCTTCTCCTCCTCCATTTTTTATGTTGCAAAAAAATCCTTTAGGAATGCAAACTCATTTGAATATTTCAATCATAGCTCCTTTGATATGAGTATGAGCTAATGAATTGCTTTATACCTAAAAATACTCATTTTATCACAATATATTTTCGTTATTTTATTATTATACTCATTTATCCCAACAATGCCTCAATATTTTATTGGCATATTAGCATAATATCTCATATGTGATATATTTTGTTCATATTCAGCATATAACTGAAATATTAAATCGTTATTTCTTTTTCAAACAGAGTTGATGCAAGTGATGTTATCGCATTTTATAAAATAGTGAATTTTAATAAGGAGAAGTGCTCACATATTATGTGAATATGATATGTATTAGAATTTTGATCTCGAGCGATCAATTGCAGGCAAATAGTATTGCATTGCAAACAAAAATCTGAATATTCACATCAGATTTTATTGAAAAATGAAGATATTTTAAAAAACAAGTAAACTTTCAAAAAAATGATGCATAATCAGTTACATGCAATATAAAAACTTAATTTATTACGTAATATGATATTATCGTTTATCAAATATTTTACTTTATAAAAATTTCGTTATATATTATTTTCACTCAGCTTTTTCCGATGGCTTTGGTTCTTTCTCTTGTATTTTACCTTCCTTTAATAATTTTTCTATTGTTTCGTTAGCTAATTTTTCTGGGAGGCAGCATTGTTTTTTAACACGATCTGTGAAGCTCTTTGATGGGATCTTGCGAGATTTCTTAGCAATACGAATAATTTCTTCTTCGATCTGTTCTTGAGTCATTTCAACTTTCTCTTCCTTTTGGACTTGATAAACTGTATTATCTGGTAATTTGATTGGATTTTTAAGAAGATCTTTTGTAGCAAGCTCTAATTCATAAAAACATGTGTTAGCTGTTGAAAGAAAGTCTTTCATAGCTGAAGTTAAAGCTGTCGTTTCCATTCCTCGGAAAATTATTTACCCTTTTCAAAGAGGGTAAGTTTTTCATTGTGTTATTATAGTCCAATTCATGAAAAATGCAATATGCTTTCGTGTAAAGATCAATTGTTAATGCTTTATTTGTATTTTTATCCATAATTTTGTTGAAATTATATTCCAAATTCATCGAATTGATGTTTTAACAAGTAAATTTGTCATTTTACCATGAGCTTTGGGTATTTAAATAAGTCTTGACCTCTTGAATCTTTAATGTTAGTTATGTGCATTTGGTATGGATACAATAGTCAATGAGTATAAGAAACTGTAGAGTATCTAAGCAAATTCATCCATTTTGCTAAATAATTTAAGAAAAACAAAGAATTTTTTAAAAAATATAGTTCTATAATCTTTATTTAATTTACAAATTATCACGCAAAGCTCTCAAACTCCTTGCACGTTGAGCAACGTCGTACGACAAATTATTTGAATATATTGCAATTCTGAGATAATTTCCGACCACGTGGAATGTAGCTGCTTTCTTTGCTGTAGGACTTACTTCTCCTGCTTTGATCATTATTTCAATAGCAAATAATATTGTTTTCATCACATCTTCATATTTCGTTTTCTTTGTGCTATGAATATCCAATAAATTGAGTTCTACGAGTGTCTGCTTGATCATTTCTACATAATATTCAACTTCTTCCTGGTTTTGATTTAATATTTCGATCATTTCTCTCAAAACCTGCATCAAACTGAGGAACAATTCAACAATAAACTGTTGCTTATTCTCATTAATCATTAGTGGGATTGTTTGTATATAATTATTAATGACTTCTTTAATATTTGCAAGATGTTCGTCATTTTCATTCATTTGTGGATATCTCTTCAATACATCTGATAGGGTTGAGAATAATGCAACTGTTTCATCTTCATTTTGGTAAATTCGAAGCTTAGAAATAATAATTTCAACACATTCTATCAAAGTTTGGTCAGAAATCCTTTCATCTGTACGTCCACTGAATCTAAATAACGATCCGAGACATAATATTGCTCTAATATTCGACTGTTCTGTGATATATGGAATGAGAATTTGATATGAAGCTTCAAAGTAGTTCAAAGTATCGTGCGTCATGTTCATGAACAGATAATCTAAACATCCAATAATATTATCACATTCAGAAGCATCTTGTGTCATGTTTTGAAGTAATAATTGGGCAAGAGCATCTCCAAAGCCATTTATCATGAAACTCTTTGGAATAAACTCTTTTATGACCATTACAATAATGTTTTTAGCCGCAGAATCTCCATTATTAAATGAATCTACGATTTCATTAAATAATTGAGAGAGAGAGTCCGGTGTAATGGTGATTGGAAGGGATTTAATCACTAATGCAAGGGTACCGAATATCTCCGTAAGCATTAATTCATTTGTAAAAGCAGGATTCTTAATTGTTCCGACCAAAGCTCCAAAAATGGCTTCAATATTGTTTCCAACCAGATTTTCTGTCTGGAACTCAGTGCATTGTTTGAATATTGATCGGCAAATTGCTAATTGGCCTTTCAATATTTCAGGATTTGAAGTAGAAAGTTGTTCTAAAGAAAATGCAAGGACATCTGTAATATTTTCTTCTAAAATAACATTTCTCTTAATGAATTTCTTTATATTTTTGACCGCAAGTACTCGAACTAAGTCATTTTCTTGAACTGTCAATTGAAGAATGGTTTCGAGGTAATTATTAATGTATTCCCTAGATTCATCAATATTAACAGCGGCCATTGCTGGAAAAGTGTAAAGTCCTGAAATAATTTTTTCTGCTGCATCTTCATCGGAAATAGCAGCAAATTTGCTGGAAATATACTCATCAAGCTTCTCAAAGAATGGTTCTTGTATCATTTCTGCCAAAATAATCAAAAAAGATTGACAATAAAATTGTAATGAATTTTTTTCGTCTTCGAGATCAATTTCGCTGGCCATATCCATGACATTGAACATTGTTGGATATACTAGTTCTGCAATACGTGTAAATTCATTCTCAATTACTGTATTTACATTAATAAAAATTTCGAAAATTTTTTTCCATGCGTGAAGAAAAGGTTTTTGGTATTCTTCTATCTCAAACTTGTCTTTCATTACTTCGTACATTTTTATTAAGTACGTGTAGTCACTAGACAAGCTATTTTTGCTATTTTTACAAAATTGAATGAGCAACTTCACCAAAGCAGAATAAACAGCAGGATTATTGCAATTTGAGAACAATTGGAGCATAATTTCAAGTATCTTATCACTATCACTTCTCCTTTGATTTTTAGATGCTATTGTAAGGAATTCTAAGCCAGATATTTTGAATTCTTCTGGAAAATCACCGGATATAAACTCTTTTGCTTCTGATGCTACTTCTCTCATTCTAATAATGAATGATTCAAGAATTTTTGTATTTTTAATTGAAAAAATTTCCAAAAATACTTTTAGAATTGACGATTTTATCTCGTATTCTTGGGTGGATCTGAAGACTGTTTGTAGCTTTTCGTAAAGGTCATTTCGATCATTTTGATTTAATAAATAGAAAATGTTCAAAAGGTGCTTAGATACGATATTGCTGAGCTCTGTGTTCTTGAAATTGAAACAACTTATTAATAAATCTATCTTTTGAAATTTATCATCCATGGAATTAAAGATTTCGCTCAGATATTCAAGTGGATTAGATATATTTGGTGTAATAATGTGAGCTGTATATGTTAAGACGTTGTTGATTATTGAAAAATCTTCGGTTTGAGAAATAATTTGAAAACCAACATTATAAAGCTGTATTTTGCTTGTTGGATCCATAAGTATGCCATTAAGGAAGTCTAATGCGGCTTGATCACCCTTAGTAGATTCAATAATTGCATTAAAAATTTCGTCTGTATTCATAATTATCAGGAAAAATAAAAATTTATTTTAAAAATTGTGGAAATTCGATCATATTTTAAAAGAATGCATTATTTGCAATAAAAATTTTATTAAAATTTGTTCGGCCAATTCGGGGCTGCAAAAAAAATCTTAGAGATTTTGAAAAGATTAGATCATAATATAATGGATTTAATACTTGTATCAAACACTATAATAACAATCCTCAAAAAATATAAGATCTGAGTAATTGGATATTATGAAAATTTATTGTGAGAAATAGTTAGATATTTTTCTTGGAAATGCAACTCATGCATATCCAAGTGCTTTCTTGTACTTAACTTCTTCATCAGGAGTAACACTATCTGTTGCCCAGTAGCCACTATCACCACGAACTTTAAATGTTTTCTTCTTCTTTTCAAACATTGTGTTCAAGTCACAAGACTTTTGGAATCCGACAAATATCATATCAGGATCAACTTTCTTTTGCTTTTCCAGCTCTTGAAGTAAGTTTTGTGCTCTTGCCCATGATGGAACTTCTTTGCCTCGTATTTCCTCAGCATCATCAACATAAAACTCCTCAGAATCGTCATCATCCTCATCATCACTACTTAATGGATCAGATATTCTATATTGAGATGCTTCTTTGGGAGATGACTCCTCAGAAAGAGGAGAAGAGTCAACTTCTTGGTCATTTTCGCAAGATAATTCGAAATGGACCTTAGTTGGTGATGTAAATTGAGGTGCTGCCTGAGTTGCTTCGATTGAAGACAGCAAATCATCGATTTGTGAATGATATTTGTCTGTTGAGCGTGGCTGACTACTCATTGGTGCAGATAAATTGAGTAATGATTGCATCCAGTTAATCTGTGCATCGACTTCGGCTTCAACACTTGATTTCATAATGATATTTACGTTTAATTTTTTAATTTTTCAATCAAATCAATTTCTCTTTCAATTTTTGAATTGAACGCATCATTTAAAATTATTGATATTCATCTCATAGAGAATTAAAAAAATATTGAAGTTTCGAATTCAATTGAATCTCAAATTTTTGAGAATTACTGTATGAAAAACAAAATATTCTGTAAAAATGACATACATTACTAGAGTATTCCTATGCATATCTTAAATCTTTCCGTTACAATTTTTTCGTTAAATTTTTAATACACATCATGAAATTTCCTGAAATCAATGCACCATTAGCTAGAACTGGATTATTCTAATCAATTCAGCATAGTAAAACAAATTTATATTAACCAATATTATCCACAAAATATCCACAAGGCCATTTTGATTCGACACTTATGCAAAAGGTTTGCAATAATCATGTGAATGAAATTATAATGAGGATTTCCTATGAATTTTATTAGAATTGTCTGTCAGTAACTCTGACAATAAAAAAAGAGTGAAAATAAAAATGTCGAATGAAACTGATCCTGAACATGAAATATTCATTTGTAACGTCGCATTGCCAGGAATAGGTTGTCATGTTCCTGAATTTGCTGTTCTTGCAGTTTTGTTCTGGCTAGCTGGCATAGTTTCATGTTTTTTCTTATTTTTGCATTTTAAATCTTCAAAAAACTTTTTAAAGTCAATGGATCAAACATTTTATTTTTGGATTACGATGATCATTTATCAAATTTATCGTGGTACAATCCAAATGTTTAAATTTAATTGGAACCACAGAACTTTTTTAATTTACAATACATCTCTCAACAGAATCTTATTGTTTATACCTATGTGCCTCGTCGAGTTAATTCTTTTCAATTTACTTTTCTCTTATCGCAATCCAGGATTAAATGCAATCATATTTTTCAGATATCTCTTTCTAACATTTTTAATTACATTCGTTGTAATCGGTCTTATCATTCTAAATGTCTCAAGTGGAACTTCAGCTGATCCAGATCGACCTGTCAGTCTTTGGGCTGCTTGTACTGATATCATTCTTTTAATATTCTTCATATTACCTGCGAGAGCACTACTCAAAGCTGTAACATATCCAATGGTTCAGCCTGATGACGTTCATTGTGTAAATTTATGCAAAGTTGGACTTTATACATACGCAACAATATATGTTGCAAGAATGCTTTGGAACATCACTCACTTTTTCAATATCAATATATTACAAGATTACTTTTATGATTTTCCTCCAGGAACAAAAGCACCACCAAAAATGCGAGCATGGAGCTGGATTTACTTCTTTATTTTTGACTTTGTAGCCTCAGTTATTGCCATTATTTCTGTTTACCTGTTCAAGAAACATGATTTAATGTTTAAAGAAAATCCATATTATACACGCCACAACGTCTAACTTTGTTTTTTATATCTTTCCTATCCAATTTTGTACTTAAAAATCTAATATTTTTCTGCGATTTTTTAAAACTTACGAATTTTTTGATGAAAAGGCGTGAGAAAGTATTAAAAATCTTTAAATTGTTTAACTCATAGATACAAACAAAGTTATAAAATCCGCATTAAAAGTTATTCCAAGAAATCGTATAAATTGAAATTGGCATGTTCATAGAACAAGTTGAGGGATTCCTGAGCTTTCCTCTTAAACAACTGAACAAGGGCGGTAGCAGGAGACATTGACTTAGGAGGAACTCGTGGAGGTCTTGCTTGTGGTTGTACTACTTGAACTGGTGCTGGTTGTTGTGGAGGAGGTGGTGGAGGTGGGGGTGGTTGAAATTGAATTTCTTCAAAAATTGGTTGGTTAACTGGAGGTGGTAACTGGGGAGATGGAATTTCAATGTTGGCAGACTTAGATCGATCAAGCTGTTGCTTTGTATGTATATCATGTACTAAAGCTCGAATTTGATTTTTGGTTAAATGGGAATCATATTCGAATTTGCGCTTCAGAAAAGAATGCCATCTGTTTTTAATGTGGTTCTCTGATCGTCCTTGAAGCAAAGTAGCAATTTTTGCCCATTTTGTTCCGAAATTTTGATAATTGAAGATAATAACGAAATCTTCTTCCTCAGACCATTCATTTTTCTTGATGTTGGGAGCTAGGTAGTTCACCCATCTATCACGGCATTGCCTTGCATTTCTTCCACCACCCAATAATAAAGCAACCTGTGACCATTTTGTAGTATCAACTGTTTTTACTATTTGTGCAAGACGTCTATCTTCATCCTCTGTAAATGGTTGTCTTGTTGCTCTAGATTTTGTTGCATTTTTTTTGGATCCATTTTGTGTTAATAAATTTTTATTAACAAAAGAAAATTGAAAGATCAGAAATAGAATTTTAATGCGATGGATTGAATATCAAATGAGTATGAATAATCCATAAAAGAAAATAAACTGCTATACAAAAAGTGTCAATTCAATTTCAAATTGAGGTAATGGAAAAATATTAATAAATGTATGTATAACATTAAATCAATAATTCTGAATTTTCATATGTTTATTTCAATTCATTAATTATTGTAACACAGAATTATATGATTGATTACTATATTGTCACGATCTTTTACTATAAGAAGTGAAATGTCTCTTTCAATTTGATAATTATATTAAAAATGTTCTTCGATTATTTCAACCTCACTGAGTATTAAAGGTGCACCCGTATGTACGTTTATTTGAGAGGAGGAGGATTACCCTCTCAATTTTGAGGGATTTGTTAGTTTATTTTCCATCATGTAAACCTCGATGTCACTTTTGCGGCCGAGCGGAGCGAGGCCGCAAAAGTGACATCGAGGTTTACATGGATGGGTTCTATATATATACAGCTTGACCGGTAGAAAAGCGGATCGATTTTTATCAATAATTGGACATTCTATTTTTAATAAAATAAACATATATTTATATGGGAAATTAGGGAGATCTGAAACTCAAAAATTATTTTTGAATTTTAATATGATGAATGTAATTGTGATAATATGTACATTACAAATAAAATATTAATTCGGAACAACGATGAGATGTGATAAATTTGATTCTCTCAAAAATCGATTTTGGGGTTTTAATATTAATTTGTATCTTATATGCATATAGGATATATAATAATTTTAAAACATCAAAAAGTGACAATTTGCGGTTAGAAAAAGTCATCAAAACACTTTTTAATGATTTGATTTAACATATGCATAGACCATCACTTTGATATTTAACTTCAATTTCCCGAAATGAAAAGGATTTGAACAAAAACGATTATTTTACGATCATTTTTTGTAAATTTTTTTAAATTGAGAATGACGTCTCTAAAATCTTCTAAAAAATCCAAATATCAAATAAAATAATATTATTAAAATTCCTCTCAATTTAAAAAAATTTTATAAATTGAGACTTCAATCTCTAAAATCTTCTAAAAAATCCATATATCACAAAAACTCACAATATTATTTTTATTCTCAATTTCAAAATTTTTTTTGTACTGACTTTCTTTTTGCCTAACAGCAAGGCAGAAATTTGAAACGAAGTTTCAAAATTCTCAATCTTGCATTCTGGGCACGTAAGTGCCCAGAATGCTAAAAGGCGCGTAGCGCCGTCTCTGAATATCAAATTTATTATAATTATTAATTTATGAAATTTCAAATAAAATCGATCGGTTATAACACACTGGTGCATGACAGCCTTGTCTCGATGAATATGCAATAAAATTTGATTTTTACCTTATCAATATACTTCATATAATGTACACATGTTCATGTAAAAACTTTTTTCCAAAATCCTCAGGAATTAAGGGATTTTTGAATTTTAAGAATTTTTTTCGAATTTTTTCGAAAAAAAAATATTTTCAGAACAGCCTTAACGGCTAAGATTTAGGAACAATGTTAAGTATCAAAAAGAAAGGAGGTCTGATATAGACAACATATATCGTTGAAGGTTGAAAAAATCTCTAATATTTGAGCCCAAAATTTCAAATTTTAATTTTTTGAAAAAAGAGGCCACCCGTATGTACGTTTATTTGAGAGGAGGAGGATTATATTTTGAAAGGGTGAAACATTATGAATATGTTAATTATATAATAATATGTATTATTATAAAAAAGAAAAAATAAAGCACGTTAAAATTTTTCTTTCTTGATTTTTTACAAAATCTACTTAGAATTATGCAAAATATGACTAAATAATTATAAATTTCAAGTTAAATTTTAATTTTGATAAATAATTTAAATTTCAAAATATCAAGTTCAGTTCGACTATGTATGTAGTAATTCCTCAATAAAGTGCCAAAACCCTATTAAAATATATGAACATTTTCAACATTTTAATGTTTTTATTTAAAAATTTGATGGAATATGAGCTTCAAACAATTATTATGTAAATAAAAATAATTAAATATATGTATTTATTCGTATTACAACCGTAGTAAGTCGATTCTTCCTTTCTTCTACTGAGTTTTGAATTTGATTTCGAATTGTAAAGAGATTCAAAGGGAAAATACTAGCGGATAAAAACTACCTCCATGAAAGGGTCATAATGGAGTCAAGTTGTATTTTTTGATATTTTTTGCTTTTCGAGCCTAAATAGGTAGCCAAGATAATGCCTAAAAATAAGGCTCTAAATTCTGAAGTTTACATGATCCTCTCGTGTGCACCCTTAATATTATATATTTATAATATCCGAATAATAAACAACTCTTACAAATTGCACAGTGTATTCAAAATTTGAATTAATTCTCAAAACTTTTCACTAAAGTTTTTAATTTTCGAAAATTTTGAAAAGATTATCAATTTTTGCATCTCTAAAAGTTAACTGTCTATGTTTATGGTTTAATAATCAGATTGTTTTCTATGATCTATCGACCTCATTTGATTACTTTCACAATAACATTTCGTATCGGAAATCTCATATTGGAAAACTTGTGATTTATTCTGTATTGAGCATTTTTAGTACTAAATATAACCGGATATAAAAATAATTGTCATGGTACAGAATGTGTTTGAAATTTTTATTAAATTTTCTGAGGAGCTAACAATATTTTCAATTTTGCCTTCAATAAAAAATAATTTGACTCATAACAATAGAATTTAGTAGCCTATATCTCCCTTGTATTTATTTAATATATCAAATATTTCGTTCTGTAACATTTTCAAAGTTTTCTATAATTCTGACTATTATTTTTTAATCCAAAATTAACTTTTTTGTATATGGTATTACTTCGAGTATTTTTATCATTTCCTTTCATTTTAACAATTTTCCAGTTGAAAATCCATGATGACCTTGATTTTAGTATAATGTCATATAGGCCACAATGTTGTCTGGCATGATTCTAATGTATTATACATAGATATTTAATATAAAACTAAATTTGATATGAAAAAGTATATTAGTCTTTCTTTTGTATTTTTCTGTCTACCAATCTCATTGTGATATATCATAATTCGTAATGAATGTCTCATTATAAGTTGGCTATTAAAAAGATTATTTCATCACATATCGCAAATCAATCATGAGTAGGGGTAATTTTAGCTAAAAGTGACATACTTGTAAAAAGTGACACACCCGTGAAGGGTGTGATTACCGATCGGTAATTTCGACAGTTTAGAATTTAAAATTTTTTATGGAACTGTTGCGAGTTTCATAAAGAATTTAAGGAATATAAGCAAAGATTTGAATCAAAATCTTAGACCTAAGCCGCTCGATTCGCTCGCGGCTTCCGCGAATTACAGATCAGCAAAGATTTGAATCAAAATCTTCGAACTAAGCCGATCGCTTCGCTCGCAGCTTTCTTTATTATTTTAAATTTGCATATTTCCATCAAAAGTTCATAAGGTAAAAAATTTCGTTTATTTTTACTAAGAAAAAAAAGGTTTTTGATAATAAATTTATTTTATTTCGAAAAAGTAGCAATAATCGTAAAAGGGTATTGATAGGCTTGCTAAAGTAACCAATTTTAGCTGTCAAATACTTTTGTATTTTGAAGTAAATTAGTATAAATTTGTTTTTACTTTTATTTCGAAAAAGTAACAATAATCGTAAAAGGGTATTGATAGGCTTGCTAAAGTAACTAATTTTAGCTGTCAAATACTTTTGTATTTTGAAGTAAATTAGTATAAATTTGATATTATTTTAACTCCCTTTGAAAACCTCAATTTTCCATACAGAGGAAACGGGAATAGCATCCAATATTCCCTGAGAATGGTTGCGCATTCTCAGTTCCCTCTATATTTCGAACGAAGCTCTCATCGGTCTTTTTTTTTAATACTAAACGTTTTTTTTTCCTGTCACTTTTAGCTAAAATTTGGGTTTGCCAATCAATCATTAGCTAAGGTAATTGTTGCAAAAAGTTTTTGATTCAATAAAACAATGGCGCATGACCTTAATCCAAAAAAGGATCTTGTCCCCAAAAAAACCTTCTGAATGAAATCGTTGAACCCTTGTTCTCATCAAGCGCCCGAGAGCGAATTTAGCCAAGGCCGATTCCTATCATTCGTCATCAGATTCATTCGTCTTAGAATAGATTATGAATCAGTGGTTGAAGTGTCTTAAGAAATGATCCCAGAACCACAACCGAAAGTTTTCTTTGACTTTGGTATTTAATGAAATCGATAAATTATGACCATCCTAAGTTCTTCATACTAAATGAACAGGAGCGATTTCTAACACATGGAAACATTTTTGTATTCATATGATATTATGTATTACAGTAATAAAATAATCAAAAATAATTTCTTATATAAATTGATCTGAAATGGAAAATACTTCATACTGGTATAAAATCAAATTCAAACAAATGATAAAGATCTTTATATAAATATAAAAAAATACAAACAAACAAAAAATTCATCGTTTTCTGTGGAAAAGTATTCTCCATGCATAGCAGGAACAACAGCAACAGCCAGTTTCTGCCTGATCTGTCATTAAAATCGGAGTTTGGTTATTAATATCGTTAATTGTATCATTTACGTCATCTGCGTTAAGTAACTCTCGTTCAATTCCTCTAACAGGAGGTTTTGGTGGCGGTTTTGATGGAGAATTTTCCACATCAACTTCTTCAGGAGATTTTCCCTCCAAAGTATCACTTAGTAGCCTTTTAAGTGGTGCTCCGATTATAGAAGCTGTAATTGCAGGATTTTGTTCCCAATCGAGAAGTTTTGAGTTAGATTCATTAAGATTTTTAATTGCTTCTAAAATTTGGGAATGGATAAATGTATAATCGACTACATCATCATACTGTAATGTTTCGAGGTATTTGTAGATATTAATCATTTCCTGTGGTAGATCACTACATAATTCCTCAACTGGAGTTCTTATTTTCATTGCTAGTATTAACTCTTTGTCTGTAATTGATGACCATGGCAACTGGCCTACATATTGTTCAACAATCATGTAAAACCAGGAAATAAGATCATCGCAAACGCTAACATCGTTATCCTTCAATGCATTTATTGATGCATATCTAGAAGTACCAACAAATCGTACTTTATCTGATTTTGGGTGCGGTTTGCCAGTGTTAGGATCGATATATCTTTTGCTGAGACCGAAATCTATTAAACATAGCTCGGAAACATTTTTCTGTTTCACTAGGAAGTTTGATGGTTTGACATCTCGGTGCACAAATCCTTTGTTATGAAAAATTTCAAGAATATTTATGGTTTGTGAAGCGACGACTAAAGATGTGTATAAAGAAAACTTCTTTCCATCAAGTAATTTTCTTATTGATGCTAAATTCATACCTAAGAGCTCCATGATAATGTACATATTTTTTCTATAATATCCTGATTTAACTAAAACAGGAAAACACGAATTACCCGTTATTTCTTCCATCACATCTCTTTCTAAATCTATGACTTGATTGTGCATAGGATCCTTTGATATCTTCATTGCATACGCTCTATTTGTTGATTCATCTCTAACAAAAAAGACATATGCAAATCCGCCATCACCTATGGGCTTGATGATGCGGTAATTGTCGATTAGGTCAAATACGTTGATGTCGCATTTATAATTCATCAATCGTATTTTTTATTTCTGTTATTTCAAAAAATTGAATGACAAATTTGGATAATTAAGATTATCATTTAATGAGAATGAATATGGATGTGTTGTCTAGCATATATCTTAAATATAAAAGAATTTTAAGATCTTCCTTCATATTTTAAGGATTTCGGGCGTACTTCAAAATTAGCTTTTCTTCTACATATGCAAGCTATATTTTAAATATGGGGCAAATCGGATCGGCGAAAGGAGTTTAGTTACCTTTGGATGAATTCCAAAAGGTTAATTGAAGGATACATGATAACATAATATATACTTCTGCATCATTATTTGATCACCCCTTGATTAAGCTAAGGTTAATATTGTTAAATTTATTACAATATCAAAGCATCCAGCCTTAGATAGTTTACTTGCAAATGTTTTATACACACATAAATAGTACAGTAATTTTAATGCCTATTCCATGCTTGATGCAAGTTCAATTAAGATTAATTCCAAATGAATTACCTATTATCTAAAAATGGCTATTTATTCATGTATAGATGTTTTCTATGTTCATATAATCCATTTGCATAGTCCTTCTTGAGTGATTATATTGTGATTAATTCGAATCAAAAAATTAAGAAGATTCAAGTTTGCGATGATACACATACCGTTTAGAATATGTGTTTAAACATGTAAATATATGAATGCTATGAATGTAAATGATATTATCAGGTAATATTTGGATACGTCTAAAATATCGAAAAAAATACGTTTTTATCTTAGGCTATTTGGCTGTGTACAGATGCTAATGCTATCTGTCAGTATCTCTTCTAATGAAATATTGGAATCATCCATTTTGAAAATGTTTGTTCGGAAATATCTAAAAAATAAATGCCGATCAGCATCAGACGTGTAAAGGTGGAAGATATGATTCAGATGCAGCAAACTAACAACCACTGCCTTCCTGAAAACTACCAGCTTTGGTTCTGGCTTTATCACTATCTTCTTACACCACAAGCATCTCATGTTGCTATAAACTGCAAGGGCCAGCTCGTTGGCTACGTCCTTTGCAAGACCGATGATGAAAAGAAGGGAATTGTCGGACAAGTTACATCCGTTTCTGTTTATAATGGATATCGTAAACTTGGTTTAGCATCTACACTCCTCGGAGATACACACGTTCAATTACAGAAGTGCTTTAATGCAAAATCCGTTACATTAAATGTTAGAGAAACAAATAGAGCTGGACATATATTGTATATGAACAGAATGGGCTATAAATTCGAAAAATCTGAAAAGGACTATTACGCTGATGGCGAAGCTGGATGGCTTTTAAGATATACATACCCAGTAGATCCTGAAGAAGAAAAAGCTAAAGCTGCAAAGCCTATCAAATGGAATAAGAACCAAGGAAGGCGATAAACAATTTAAATCTATCTTAGTTTTTACCTGATTGCTAATGTAATAAATTTTAAAAAATAAAACTTAATATCAGTACAATTAATCATTTATCGTACATTTTACCATCAATATATTAAAAATCATATACAAATGATCGCTCATATAACTGATATCAAAGAATATTTGATATTATGTTTTTTTTAGATATAATATTTAGAATTCAAAGTGGCTGACACATAAGATATGCGTTTGTAATTTGAATTTAGAAAAAATTGAGATTTCAAATTTGATTTTGAGAAAATAATTGTAAAATTAAGAGCAGAGTTAAGCTTTTAATGCTTTAGCTGCGCGGCTTTTCCTTCTTTCCGAGCCAGAGGGCAAGGAGAGAGAAGCCAGCAACCTTGATGACTTTGAAACGGCATCCTGGAAGATCACCGACGGAACGACCAGAACGGCCCATACCAGCGATAAGAACACGATCGTTATCATCGATGAGACGAAGAGAGCCATCGCGTGGAACGAAAGCTGTAACGACCTTGGAGTTCTTCTTAAGCTGAACACGGACAGCCTTACGAATAGCTGAGTTTGGCTGCTTAGCTTCGACAGCAACCTTGCCGACGACAATGCCGGAAGCCATTGATGTACCCTCAAGTGGTGTCTTGTAGATAGATGTGCCGAGAGAGCGGCGGTAAGCATTAGAAGCCCAAAGGTTGGACTTGTGAGCAAGACGGAGCTTGCGAGCGGCGAGACGACCGCAGGCCTTGGATTTACCCATTCGAAAAGGCCATGGACGATAAAAATGAATTCAATTCTTGGGACAAAATTTAGAGAGTTTTTGTATGATGAATAGACTCGACACTATCTAAATATGAGAAATTTTTAATAGAATATTGTAACTAAATGATTTTAATATCGACCAAGATGATATCCTGCTTTATTTGCCAAAGAACTAGTTATTATTCGCATACACTCCTGATGAAAAGTTAAGTTTTCTGTTGTCATGGTAATTTTCTAGCAAATATTATTCATGAAAAATATATCACCTTTTATAATAGTTAATAATGAATAACTAATATAAGATAATGCAGAAAAATAATATCTATTTGTAATTCAGCTTCATTTCTGTTTTTTAATATGCGATGAATTATATTCACCCTTCAGATAAAAATTCGAAAGCAATAACAATAAATGTATGCATAGAGATTACAAGATAGTGTTGAGTAACGGACCAACATTCCGAAAACTCGGATATTTTTTCTTACACAACGGCGCTTTTTTAATTTTTCGTCACTTTTTGTAATATGGAAAAAGGAAAAGCTAGGAACTTCCGCTATTCATTCCCACTTTCTGCAATTCACAGAGCGAAGAAATGGTGGGATGCTGGTGATCCAATACCAGAAACCCACAGAAAAAGCATGTGGGAAATTATTGCTTTAGATTTATTTGGACTTGTTGCAATTATGTTACCAATTTTATCTTACCTCGAAATCATTAACCCACTTCCATTCAAGAATGTACTCTCTCTTATCGGTGTTTGCTTATTAACATGGATTCCAGGACTTTATATGACAATTTGCACAATTGGATGCTGGAGAAGAATTCCTGGCTTCTCATGGGGAATGATCCCATATTTCGATTAAATTAATGTATTTTTTTGCTTTACCAAAAAAAATTATGAAATTTTTTATTTATTTATTTATTTTTAAATATTAACTCTATCTCCAAACTACTAAAATCAGGCAATAACATACTACTAATATGATAAATTTTCGAGTTGTTCTTTAAAAATAAATTCTTTAAGTTTATGATAGAAATTAAATAATTTAGCAGCAGCCGGATTTTTCTGTTGTTGAGCCGGTTGCAGTGATACTCTTAGGATTAACAGAAGGATCCTTGGCAGAGCTACGGTAGACCTCGGTAGCGAGTTTAGTGAAAACCGCTTTAACATTATCGCCAGCGCGAGCTGATGTCTCTATATAAGCAAGTTTGCGATGGTTAGCGTAAGCTTCTGCCTCCGAAACTGGTATTACTCTAGAATCGGCGAGATCTGTCTTATTGCCAACAAGGATAACGCGAGCTGATGGGTCGCAAAGTGAGTGAACATCGTTGAGCCACATATTGACATCATCGAATGTTCTTCTCTCTGTAACATCGAAAACTAAAACAACACCGACAGCATTTCTGAAATAAGCCTTTGCAATAGAACGGAATCTTTCCTGGCCGGCGGTATCCCAAATTTGAAGCTTAACGACTTGGTCATCGACCTCGATAGATGTTGAATCGAATTCGACACCGATTGTTGATTGTTGGTCATGGACGAATTTATTTTCTACAAGGCGGCGAAGAAGAGCTGTTTTTCCGACGCCTGAAGATCCGATGATGATAAACTTGAATGTGCTGGATGATTCCATATAAAAATTAGCGCTATCGTCATTTTTGTAAAATTTGTGGAGTTCACAGTTTTTATCTCATTATAAAGATAAACCATTTGATAAAAAGTACATTTAACATATCAATTCCGAAATTGGACTTTACACAATTTCATAAAAAAAGTTTATTTCTCCAGCCCAAAAAGAATCGGATTTTCATCGCATCTGATCGGTTTGTGCAATTGAAGTAATGGGATATTGATTTATCCAATCATATTTACCGCATATGCTATTCGCTCATTATGTAAACTCTTGATTATAGAAAGAAAATTTTCAATTTATTCAATGAATAAAATCGCCACCTTTATTTGTTCGCATTGTCCTATAGCTCATACCAATTCCAATAAACTACTTAAAAACTCTAATGAGTTTAGTTAACTGAATTAATTTGGACTGTCCTTATTTTTCCAGAGAAACAAAGTTTCAATGTCAATTAAATAGTTTTATATGGGAATTAATTATCAATAATAACAATTCTGTGCTTCAATTTATGTTATTAAAGGATAATGAAAACATATCTAAGGACAAATATTGAAAAAAGCTGAACCTGACTTGTTCTTTGCTAGTTTAAATTATTTTTTATCCAAAATAACTAAATGTGATGCTTTGATTAGAGATAGTGCATTTTTTTGCGAGATCAAATGATTTACAATGTTATTTTATGGCATATGAAGCATGTGTTTTGGGTTTTGCTATCTCACTCAATGATATTGAATATAGTTTAACTTTTATCCTATTATTGGCCATTTTTCTTTACAAACAAAAAAATATATGGGGCATTATAAGTGCACTTTGAGTAAGTTTATGTGAAGCTTTTTCAGGAGTGCCGATAGCAATTTGATAAATTTAGCAACACAACGGTGTTTCTGGAAATAACGTAGGATTATTACTAACTATTTGTTGTACTATTGTTTTTAATACCTAATATAAACTAAATTGGTAGTTTTACGATTTGAAATTTGAAAATTGTCTAAAAATGCTTCGTTAACGATGAAATAAGATTGTTGTCATACCAAAACATATAAAAATGCGGAAATGAAAATCGAAATGACAATTTGTTTTACAATCAATTTTTGTAAGCTTTACATCATTGAATTCAATTTTTTAAGATGGAAATTGCAGCATTTTTAACAGTTATAGCATGTATAATCTGTGTCATATTCATATGTGTTGCATTCTGGTTACCTCTTCTATGCTTAAGACCTTTCATGCTATGGTTCAATAAAAAGTATAAAAATCGCGAGCTTATTAACACCGTATAGATCTGAAAAGATCTATTCCATCGTATTCTATTTCGATCGACATCAATTTTCAAATCATTACACGAATGTTAGCTTCAAAATTTCAAAATCAAATTTTATTTTACGTTAAACGATATTTGCAGTAAATTCCAAGTTCAATCCGTGTATATTGGCATATCATTATCTTATTCATCTATTAGATTCAATAGTTGCCCGAAAAATTCTCCGACAAAACATATGATTGCTTTTTCACAGACGAGTTCATATTTACGGTTCATGCGTTTAACCTATATGAGCAACAAGCGTTTTAACGTTGCTCTTGAAATAAGCTAACTTATTTCCACACTTATTGCAAAACTACGAGTTCATGTCGACCCAACATAGAAGTTATATAGTTCGAATTGTTATTATAATTATATTTTACATATTTAAATTATGTTTGTTGTCTTAAATAAAAAAAATTAACATGTTATTACTTTTTTCCGTAATTTTAATGGATTTATATAGTCATTAATGGAATATGTGAAAGTAAATAGGATGGATTACATATCTGAGTTGCTCAAAAATACTAAAACATGATTCAATAAATCCAATAAACTTTTAAAATTATATGATCCATAGTGAAATAGTTAGTATATTAAAATTGATATATTTTTACACATTTTAATTTTTCTAAATTCTCCAAATTTTTTTCCAAATCCTAAAAATGAGGAAAACTTCATAGAAAATTATTTTCAAAATTTTAAATTCACATCATATTTGATTATTTTTTCCCTTTAAAATTCAATTATCCGCAACATGTTTATCAAAGATTATTATTAAAATATGATTAAAAATTCTGAACGAAAACTATCAAAATTAAGTCATAAAAAATATAAATATAGGGTAATAATTTGCTGTAGATTCATAATATAAAAGGTGTGGGTGTTGTCATCAATACTGTTTTAATTCTATCGGCGTGAAGTGTCGACAGAATTGTCTAAAATTTTCTTTTGTAACGTGTTTCTCAAAAATCAAAATCATGACTGAAGAGGATATCTCTGCAGATAATATTTTCTTAACCAGGCAAAATAGAGTCCCAACAACATTTGAAATCAAGTACCTTGAGAAGTTTGGGCAAAAAGGCGATACAAGAATCGGATTACCCGGCCTTAGTCCAGAATTAGTCGATAAGAATGCTGAAATGGAACAGATTGATAAAGAACTTGAAGAAGCAAGGTTAAAATTCGAAACTTGGAAAACAAATCTTCAAGTTAAAAAGAAAGAGATCGAAGTCAAGAAGGAAAAGCTTGCTGATCAAAAAAGACAACTTGATATGTTTACAGTAGTTCATACAGCCGAACTTAAGAAATGCAAGGAGCGTGAAAAATCAGAGAACCAACAAATTGCAAAGATGGAATCTGAGTTAGAGCAATTAACAATTAAAGAAAAAGAACTTAAACTTCAAAACGAAAAACTTGTTGCCGAACTTCAAAAATTACAACCTTGTGCAGATTATTTGCAAAATGTAGTTACAAAAAGTATTTTTACATTTGATAATATCGAAGCCATTCTTAACAGATATTCAGTTCTTTCAGTTACTCGTGCAGAATACTTAGAAACTTATCAACAATTGCTTGCACAGATGGGTATAAAAGAAAGAGAAGCTGAGAAACAATTACTTCATGAAAAGAATCTTCTTATTGATGCCACAATGAAATACAATGATGGAATTATGAATATTGAACAAGTTAAGAAAAATAATGAATATGAAAAGGCAAAAGCAATTAAACAAGTTCAAAGAGTTGAAGAAAAGAATGTAGAGTTAGCAATGATTAAGACATCAATCAATGCTATCTATCAACGCGCTGTAGAAAAAGCTATCGGCCATAATGAAACTGTTAAGCCGAAAGAAGGCGTTTCAATGGAAGATCTGAAGTTGCAGTATATTCAAAATAGGTTTACAGACCTTCAAATCGTAATTGATGAATGGAAGAAAGAAGGTCATTAAATTTTATCTTTTTTTATTGTTGTTCTGTTACTTATAAATAATGTTGTGTATATAAGCTTTGATATATTCTATGTTTTAGCTTCTCCTACCAATAAGATATCTTTTTTGAAATATCTATTCATTAATATAATGATGAGAACTTTTGTATCAACATTTCATACAGAACAGTATGCAAACGAACACATATTTAACTCTCAAAGACTCAATTCGTATTGAATTGAAATTGTATTATGACAAATGGCATCACGCTTCACTATGAAAAATAATTTAAATAAGCTATATATCATTATTAACAAATAAAAACAGCGATTTTCTAAAGTAGCAAGAAGAAAAAGTGACGGTTGGGACTTCAGTTTATCAATTCTTTCGAAAAATGGCTCAATTAGAAGTCTCATTAGAAGATCAACAGAGAATCAATAAATTCGGAAATTTAAACTCCCAAGTAGCTGCTTATAAGATCGAGCTTGAAGCTTTGAACGACAAAAAGACAAAATACGAAACAGCCAAAGAAGATCTTGAATTAGAGATGCCAGATGATGTTCCTTACAAGATTGGAACAGCCTTCATTACACTCTCTTGCGACGATGCAACAGAACAGCTTGACGCTGATCTTGCCGAACTTCAACAAAGGATTGATTACGTTCAGAATGAAATCGATGTTCGCGATAAGGAAATGAAAGAACTTCGTACTGTTCTTTACAGCAAATTCGGTAAGGAAAATATCGGTCTTGAAGAATAAATATATTAATATTATATACATTGATATAATACATTGATATCATACTAATCATATTATATATCAAGATTACTAAATGTTACTCCCAAACATCAACAAATTTAAACCATTTTTTTCTTTTTTTACCAAAATATCTTTTGAAATTGTGGGTAATTCTTTGGTCTAAGGCATGACATAGGATAAATCGTTTAAATTGCTGAGAATTTTTATGTGGTCAGGTAAATATGATCTGATATTTTTCGATATCTTCTATAAAAAATCAAATTCACTGGACAAATATCCATAAACTTTGCAATTTTACTTATAAACAACTATTTTATGAAATGAGAATCAAATAATTCCAAATAATATGATATCACATTCCAAAATCAGTCAAAAAATTAAAAAAATTAGTTAATTATTAAGCTATCATCCAAATTATATTTCGAATTTTAGTTCGAAAAGTATGAAATAAAGCTTATGGGTCTTTCTATGGCCCATTATTTAGCTTTTAACGCCAGCGGCGGAGTTTGAAGACGTTGCGAACCTTCCAGTCAGCATAGCGTGATGGGCGGAGATGGCGGAAGCCATGGCCGACACCTTTGAGACCACGGTGCTTGCGGCCAGCAGCTGTGAGGCCACGAGCTTCACGGCGTGTGTGGACGGAGTCACAGATCCAGTTAAGCTTAGCATCGTGCTGGATAGCTGGGTGGACTGGATCGACAAAGATGCACTCGAAGTACTTGAATGCGCCATCTTGGTTAACCCAGTAGGAGTTAAGGAGGCGGAGTGATGGAAGTTGCTTACCAGCCTTCTGTTCAGCGATAGCCTGAAGGTTAAGGGATGGAGTTAATTTGTAGATATGGTGTGTACGTGGCTTACCATACTGGCGGTTCTTAGAAGCAACACGCCTGCGGGAGCCCTTGCGTACACGGATACGGTAGACAACCATACCCTGCTTGGCCTTGTATCCCATGCGGCGGGCCTTATCTGGGCGGGATGGATGTGTAAGGCGGACAAGCGCTGGGAGTTGGCGGTATTCCCAGCAGCGAAGGCGGAGAATGAAGCGCATAACTTCGGATTGCTTCTTGGTGTAGAGCTCACGGAGGTATGTGAAAGCACCCATTAATAAATATTGGCTCGACCAAGACGATAAGTTTTTCTTCAAAAAGTGGAAAAGTGGCAAATCAAAAGGCATTATTGGTTTATTATTGTACAAATAAAATATACATAACTAACTATATTTATTTTCAGTTTTATTTTGTCCAGAAATAAAGAAGTTGATCCTTGAGCATTAACATTTTTCTTTTTTCCATACTTGTAGAGAGCAAAGTTACAAATATTTGCTTAAAATACGATAGTAATGAATCCTGTCCTACTAATTTTGCTGCAATTGAACACGAAGTTCAATTAAAAATTGCATTCAGCGATACAACAGGCAAATTCAATATATTTGTAGCGCCTGGAAATAAGTTACCATACAGAATAAACATGTCCTCACTTAAAGGTATCAGATACGTTTTCTTTGGAAATTCAAATTCAGAAATTTTCATTGAAGACATCGACAGTAATTTTGAGATAAAATCAAGAGTTACAATTAAGAATATCAAGTTAATATTCAATCAAAACATCTCTTATCAAACATTTAATTTTGATTATCTTATGATACAAAACACTATCATTTTGAATCGATATAATATACATATCAACATAAATGTTAATCATTTAATGACAGATTATGAATCACCGCAAAACATTTCAACAATTTTTTGTCGAAATTTAACATTATACGGCTCTCCATTTATCAACAACACATGTAACATCAAACCATTACAAATTAACAACTTTACAATTTCATTTTATAATCCATTGAATCAAACAAAAATCAAGTTCGACAAACATTCCACAGAAGTCAAATACAGATCATCAATTTATATAATTGATCATCATCTCGACGATGTTCCTTATTATTTTCGATCTAATGTTATTTGTAGCATCCAACATTCTAACATTAAACTTTATATTGATCCCACATCATTTATCACTATGAATTTATTTGGTGGCAGCAACACAAACATACACATTCGATCATTGATCAATTTTCATTCTAACTTTTCAAGATTATATTTTGGTGTCATCAAAGATGATATTTGTAATTTTTATTTATACTCTAATTGTTTAATCCCAAATATATACTGTCATCGAAACTCAAAACTTAGTTTATTCATGAAGAAAGAATATGAGTATCATTTTAATACGATCTTCATCGAAAACTCATCAGAAATTCATTTCAACAGTTCAATATCTTGTATAGTTGATATCAGACGAGTTAAATTCAATTCAGGAATAAATAATATCATTTCATCAACAGTTCGAACAAAGATCCACTTTTTAGAAGTCTTTCATTGTATTTGTTATCTTCAAGGTCCAGAAATATATGAAATCACACATATTTGCAACCAAGGTCAATTATTTATATCTAAATTTGATTTTATTACATTGAAATCTATCTCTATTCCATATATTCGTTTTTGTAATTCATCAGAATTCATCAGTATTGATGAATATTATCATTCATCAGAATGTCAAATCAACTTGTATTTTCTTGAAGGCAAAATCACTGAAGAGCGCATTGTTCATAAGAATTATACAATCTTCAAAGGCATCTCACTTAATTCCACATTTTTTGTTCCTAATTTTAAATTCGAATGCAAAAATGTTTTTATTATTTCACATATTAATATCGTAAACGATATTGACACTATTCTTATTGTTGAACGTATCTGTTCACCAGACGGGTGGTCAGTTTTCTACAATATTACACGCGATTTTGAAGAAGTCGAACTTTCTAATTCAGGAACAATTTGTATTTCATCAACTAATATTGTTCGTAATTTGACCATTTTTATGAAAAACAATTGTACATTTCTTTATTTCCATAACATCAATGCAAACATTGTTCCATATGACAAAATCTATCCGATTTATTTTGATCACATTTCTCTTTCTAATTCCAATGTTAACATCAATGGTAATGAAGGTCTATGTTCTACAGTGAACAGCGACATTTTTTCATCATTGAATCACATTCGAGTTTTTCAAGGTAATATCTTTCTTGATGAATATCATGACATTGAATATAATAATGATTCTGTTTTTAACTCAGGTCAATTGACAATCATTCCATCAGTCTCAGATTTTCAATTTTTTAAAATGATCAAATTAATTCAACAACGAAAATTCAAACTGAAATTGCGATCAATTGAAACATTCATCATTATCAACATAAAAGAATTTAAATCTTCGAATCTTGTTGATATTTGTGGTTTTGACCGATACCAGAAACTCACTATTCAAACCGATTCATACTTTGTTCCATTCAGTATACAACCCAACTTTGACAATATTTTTATTATTGGTAGTGAAACAAATTCAGACATTTGCATTTATAATTTTATTGTTGATCGAAAACTTCGCATTCGCATTGATGAAACAATTTCAATTTTTAATTTCAGTTGTAGTTCTGTTTCTGATTCTTCCATTTTAATTTTAGATCCTGATCATTCAATCGAAATCAATCAAATCCAAAACAACAATAATGTAAATGTTATTTATCGTTTTTGATACTTTTTGACACTTTCTGACATATCTCATTAGAAAAAGAAATAACGTCTTATATATAAGAAATTCTATATATTGTCATTTCAATAGAATACAAAACATTTATTTTCTTTTTGTTTTAAATATGATTTTATGACTTCTATCGTATATTAATATATTAATTGTTTTAAATATGCGATGAAATATTAAATAGAAAGATTTTCAATTAATGTTATATCAATATTCTGATATAAGCAGTTGAAAGATATAATAATCTCTTATTGATAAACTGATCAATAATATATTATCATGATGCTTGCACTTTTTCTATCACATTAAGCATTTTTATTGGATACCATTCAAAAATTGTATAGTTAATTAATTATAGATTCAAAATACCATTTTAGTCATTTTTATCAAACAATTGCCATATGTTTGTCCAATTGATGAAGGAAATTTGAATACTTAACAATATAGAATAGGATCAAGAAAAAAAAGATTATTTTTTTAAAAAAAGTGACATTTTTATGGAAAGATTCACATTTAATTTTGAAGTTTTAAAAGTTAAGATTCCATCATGATGGTAGCTGGGAAGAAATATTCATCGATTCTAATTACGATATACAATATCCAAACCATCACGACTTTATTAATACCAGTGACGACAAGAGTTACTTTGTATTTTTATCCAAATTCAAAGACCTAAGCAGCTATGGTGCTGTTCGATTTATTACATCTACCGATTCAACTAAAAGCTTAGTCGAAAGATCACTATTTGAAAATTGTAGTTCCGGCTCCCAAACTGGAGGATCTCTATATTACAACGATAAAGGACAGTTTGTTCAGAAACAAAATTCATTTATTAAATCGAAAAATACATATGATTGTCCTTCTTTTTATGTAATAGTTTCAAATTTTGAAAATTATAAAAATGAAATTAACGAATCTACAATTTTTGATTGTGGTTCATTAGATCAAGGATGTCGACTTCTCATGCAAATGATTTATGGTAAACAAATATTTAACTTATGCAATATCACATCAAACAGAGTTGCAGAAGATATTGCAGGTTATGGCATGGAATGGGTAACATCAGATTCCTTCATTCAATTCACTACAATTAGATCAAATAATCAGTCAGAAAGTAACGGTTTTGCACTAAATTATCACTTTTCATTATCTAATGAACAAATCTCAGTATTATCATGCAATTATATTGAAAACGGAGATTCCAGTGGTGAAGGAAATTTAATCTGTGCATGGCCAAAACTTTATATGTTTGGATGCTGCATTGTGAGGAATGAAGTTAAATATGTCATTTACAATGGAGGAGGTTCAGTTGTTGTTAATAATTCATACACAGATAACAATCAAACATTAGGACAATCAGTTGAATTTACAAACACAATTTCGAACTCAGAATGCAAATATTATACAGTAAATATCATCAATAATGCGAACAAAGAAGATAATGACGATGATGATTCATTTTTTATCAAAAAAGTCAAACAGAACGTTCGATATCTTGATAACCGACCAAAAATCATATATTTCGTTCTAAAATGATTTTCAAAATCATATTGATACAAATTCTATTTCAAAACTCGCTTTCCAGTTCAAATATTTATATATATGAATTTCATAAAATTACTATATTGATGTTATAAGGTCGATGACAAATTGTGCGTTTTTAAAAAACCGCCGTTTGAGAAGAAAATTGAGATCTCTGTCGACTTCTCATGTACATGTGTAATGGCAAGCAAATTATTAATTTATGCAATATCACATCAAACAGAGTTCCAAAAGATATTGCTGGATTTGCTATGAGTTATGCAGCCTCAGATTCCTTCATCCAAATTTGATTGAATAATCAATCAGTAAGTAGCATCTTTGCACTAAATTATCACTATGCTTTACCTAATAAACAAATCTCAGTATTATCATGCAATCATATTGAAAACAAAGATTCCAATGAAGGAAATTTAATAGTTGCATATAAAAATACAGATCTTTATATGTTTGGATGTTGCATTGCAAGAAATGAAGTTAAATATGTCATCTATAATAATGGACGTTCAGTTGTTGTTAATAATTCATACACAGATAGCTATCAAACATTAAACCCAGTTGAATTTACAAACACTATTTCAAGTTCAGAATGCAAATATTATACATTTGAATTCATCAATAATGCAAACAAAGAAGATAATGACGATGATGATTCATTTTTTATCAAAAAAGTCAAACAGAACGTTCGATATCTTGATAACCGACCAAAAATCATATATTTCGTTCTAAAATAATTTCCAACACAGCATTGATATAAATTCTATTTTTAATTTCATAGAATTCAAAATAGATCAAAACATTTTGAAAATTCGCTTTATTCGATACTTGATTCTTGACCATCCTACTCCATTTCCAGTTTCCTTATTATTCTGTATGGTAATTTGTTTCCAGCTACTACAAATATATTGAAATTTTCATTGATGATATCGACAGTAATTTTGAGATAAAATCAGGAGTCACAATTAAGAATATCAAGATCAATATATTTTGGTGTCATCAAAGATGATATTTGTAGTTTTTATTTATACTCTAATTGTTTAATCCCAAATATATACTGTCATCGAAACTCAAAACTTAATTTATTCATGAAGAAAGAATATGAGTATCATTTTAATACGATCTTCATCGAAAACTCATCAGAAATTCATTTCAACAGTTCAATATCTTGTATAGTTGATATCAGACGAGTTAAATTCAATTCAGGAATAAATAATATCATTTCATCAACAGTTCGAACAAAGATCCACTTTTTAGAAGTCTTTCATTGTATTTGTTATCTTCAAGGTCCAGAAATATATGAAATCACACATATTTGCAACCAAGGTCAATTATTTATATCTAAATTTGATTTTATTACATTGAAATCTATCTCTATTCCATATATTCGTTTTTGTAATTCATCAGAATTCATCAGTATTGATGAATATTATCATTCATCAGAATGCCAAATCAATTTATATTTTCTTGAAGGCAAAATCACTGAAGAGCGCATTGTTCATAAGAATTATACAATCTTCAAAGGCATCTCACTTAATTCCACATTTTTTGTTCCTAATTTTAAATTCGAATGCAAAAATGTTTTTATTATTTCACATATTAATATCGTAAACGATATTGACACTATTCTTATTGTTGAACGTATCTGTTCACCAGACGGGTGGTCAGTTTTCTACAATATTACACGCGATTTTGAAGAAGTCGAACTTTCTAATTCAGGAACAATTTGTATTTCATCAACTAATATTGTTCGTAATCTGACCATTTGTATTCATGGGGAATGCGTGAATTTTATGATTATGACTTACATGATATAGCAGATGTAAAACAAAATATATGATTTGGTATTATATTTTGTGCAATGTTTTAGTTGATGATGTTACAAAAGAAAAATTTATCAACGGACTTATTAATAAATAACCATTTTTATGAAAAACAATATAAATGTTAATAATTCATACCTAGATAGCTATCAAACATTAAACCCAGTTGAATTTACAAACACTATTTTAAGTTCAGAATGCAAATATTATACAGTAAATATCATCAATAATGCGAACAAAGAAGATAATGACGATGATGATTCATTTTTTATCAAAAAAGTCAAACAGAACGTTCGATATCTTGATAACCGACCAAAAATCATATATTTCGTTCTAAAATAATTTCCAAGATCGCATTGATTTAAATTATATTTCGAAATTCCTAAAATTCAAAAGAATATCCAAACATGTTGAAAATTCGCTTTGTTTTGTACTTTATGCTTGACCATCTCACTCCCTTGCCAGTTGCCTTATTTAATCTGTCTAACAGCACTTTATTTTGCTGGTGAATTTTTAATTGTAAAATTAAAAATCAAGCATTCAAATTTTTCGTTAATTTTCTATTATTTCAACTGATTAATTTTTACTCTCTAGTTTGAATTCATCATTATTTGCTTAAAATTTTGCTGCCATTGAACAGGAAGTTCAATTAAAGTATGCGTTCAGCGAAACAACAGGCAAATTCAATATATTTGTATCACCTGGAAATACGATACCATACAGAAGTTTTCTTCTGAAATTCAAATTCAGAAGTTTTTATTGATGACACTGACAGTAATTTTGAGATAAAGTCAAGAGTTACAATTAAGAATTTTTGCGGCTTTGATCGATACTTAAAACTCACAATTCAAACCTCAATCTTTGTTCCTTTCATTCTCATTAGATTAATTTTTACTACTCATTCAAAAATGAAATACTCTATTTGTAATTAATGATTATATTTGTGTAAATCTTTCAATTCCCTCGAATTTTGAGAAACAGACGCGAAAAATATGATTACAAGTTTATAAGAACATGCAGTTGTTTTAATACCCTCTATTTCCAGGAATTACCGTCACTTTTTTTCCACCTTCTAAAAAAGCTTCTATATCTCGACATATATAGACATTTTCAAAGCTTTTTAAAAGAGGATATGATGGAAAAGATGTTGAATTTTATGATTTTGTACTTTGTATGGAAATATGAGATATGAGATTTAATATGATTTGATTGCAAGTTGAAATTTTTGATTTTTATAATATAGCATTTTTATGATATAAAGAGTGTTTTTATGATAAATTTTTTGCTCAAAAACAAAAATTTTGGTAAAACGGTAATTCCTGGCTGACGTTAAAATATGCTTTGTTCTCCACTAAAAATAGTATTTAATGATATAAAAATCAATTATTTTGAGTATTCATAGACTTTTTTGTTGAAACTTCGAACGCACGAAAACTACTATTAGAATAGATTAGATTGAAAATAAATAGCGGAAACAAATTCAGCACATTTTATATGATTTGGTGCTGTGACAAAAGTATATCATTCACACTCAAAGGAAAATCTGATTATCCCAATAAAATAGAAATAAATCAATAAAAAGTATAATAGATGCATTCTATTTGGATGATGATACTATATCATTTATCAAATTTTGAAAATATTCATTTTTCACGAATTCTAACAGAAACAAGACCTCGAACTCGTCAAAATTTTAAAAAATGAATATTTATCAAAATAAATGCAGGATTTGTTGATTATATCATTAATACTCCATTCTTTTAGTAAATGCATGTGCATTTGCCTTTTCCTTGCAAAAGATTGAAATAGATTTTTCAATTTATTCTGATTAAAATATATTTTTCGTTTATCCATATCTATGTAAATACATTAAACATCATAAGACTTTGAAATACTATTGTTTTAGTAATCAATTTCTTATCCTTATCATTTCTACAATTGAGATTATTCACTTCATAATATTAAAGTTCTCAAATGTCAAAAAGTATTCATTTTAGGAATAAAAGACTTAATTTAAATTTAATATAATTATTTTTATATCTATACAAACAAATTGTGAGAACATTCAGGTGGCCCCATAAGTAATAACATATCAGTATTTTGATATGATACCTCATATATAAGGTATGATTAGAAAGCTGAAATCAGCTTTTTCAATTTTTCATCAGTGAAAATGTTTGATACCTCATACCTATTAAAATACCCTAATTTCAGTCCCATCCCTCTTGTATTCGTTGAGATAAGGAGATTTGAAATTATGCAATTTCGACGCCGTTACCCTCTCCATTTGCCACAAAAATGTAAGGGATATATAACACTGTTGTATAAATTAATATTTTATTGTTATTTTTTAAAAATAATACTTCAATCATGCTAAAATTGAATTTTTTTGATGCAAAAATAACCTTAAACGGTAATTCCTGGAAATAGAGGGTAATTTCAATTTTACATGAAAAGTAATCATTTAAGGGCTAGAATTTATAATTCAAATAGTTCTATAATTTTATATTATAAAATTGCTATATATGTTATACCGATTTATAGATAGACAAGCTTGCTATTAAAATTCTGTATAACGATTCACGCCGATAAATTTAATTTGAATAGTAATCTGACAATGAGATTATCAGACTCAAAAGTCAAGAAATAATGATAATTATCATTGAAACCATATTAATTACTGCATAAAAATAAAGAATATAATATTATTTTAAAAAATGAAAATTCTTCTAATTATTTGATATCCAATAATTATTTGAAAATATTTTGTTTGGATGATCATTCGAACTGCCTATAAAATGTGCATATTTATTCTATCATTTTCCTTGACTTTTTTCAATTTTTAAACTCCTTTTTTGAGTAGGTGCCAAAAGTGCTTACTCTTAAACAACCGTCGGATTTCCGGGTGAAATCGTGACACACTTTCGTCTTTCGTAGGCAGTGGTGGTTGTTACAAAAGGTAACTTCGAATGTAGCGTGAAATCTGCAAAAAAATTCTGAAATTTGAATGGAGAACACAAAAATTGAATAGTTTACGTCAATAAAAAAGAGAAAAATGAAGCCAATGTGTCTCGAACCTAGGACTTAGAGCAGCAATCCCACTGTTTATAACATTACACTACATGCATCTCTCACCTCAGTGAATGAGATCAACTATATGATAACTTTTTCCCCATTATATTCTTGTGGAAAAGTGACAAATAGCAACTTTGACCCTCTCTCCTCCTTTTTTTTATTTAGGTACCCTATTCAATTTCTATCGTCACCATATGGAGAGGTCAGGCCCATATCATAAAACATTAAGTTTGGACTTACTAAGACATGTAAGAATTACCTTGCTTGTATAGGGGCATTAAATACTTTTAGATGCTAAAATCTTCAAAATTAATTTAATTTGATATTCAAAATATGCACGAAAACGTAAATAAATACGGATCTAGCTCTCACATATCTCTATTTTAAGCATTGATAAGTATTTCTACATTCTATTTTAAAAAATATTCAAATTTCACAATATTCTTTTCATTGATAATCTACATATTAACGAGAATGATATAACTTTTCATGTGTTTAGAAGTTCTTAGCTTTAGTACTGTATTGTTGAAAAAATTATTGAAGACTTTTTTCTTTTTGAGAAATTAATGCAATAACCAAAGAGGAATTGCATATGCTGCGCACTAAAATTATAGAAATGTCTCTAATTAGACACAAATAGAGATATTCGGAAATAAAAATTTGAAATTTTGATCAAAAACGCTATTTTCTAATCATTTTTATTTTAACTATATATAAAGTATCTTTTTCTATAATTTATACTTGATGGTTTAAAAGACGTTTAGACTCAAAATTTTACGTCTAAAGTTGCATATAAAAATACAAATCTTTATATGTTTGGATGCTGCATTGCAAGAAATGAAGTTAAATATGTCATTTACAATCGAGGAAATTCAGTTGTTGTTAATAATTCATACACAGATAACTATCAAACAACATATAACTTGGTTGAATTTACAAATATTATTTCATATGCAGACTGCAAGCATTTTATAGTTGAATTCGTTAATAATGCTAAAAAAGAAGATAAAGACAATGATGATTCATTTTTTATCAAAAAAATCAAACAGAACGTTCGATATCTTGATAACCGACCAAAAATCATATATTTCGTTCTCCCATAATTTCCAACAATAAATTTATAAAGGAATATATGGATTTAAAAATCGCATCCTCTAAGATTAGACTCCACTCTTTCGTAATCAGTCGCCTTATAAAATTTGATCAACAGTGCTTTAAATTTGCAATCAGAATTCTAATTATAAAAATAAATTGCACAATCAAAGCTTTCGATATTTTTTACACATTTTGATTGTCTTTGAACATGAAGATTTGATCTTATTCTAGCAAGATTAAATTTAAATGATCTTAACAAGAGATGGATTCCTTAACTCTTATTGTTTGCATTTCTTCTTATTTCTTATATCACAACGAGTGCTGTCATATCAATTAAATCAAATCAAACACATCCAACTATTATACATAATGTTCTTTTATTCTTTCCTACTATTTGATTAGTTTTCCTTGTTTGAAACCATTATTTTATGATGTATTATCTACTTGTCATTTTGAAGATCATAATAATCTTCAGTGGAAGGATTATTTGATGTTTTTTAGGATGCGGTATTTTGTTCTTCTTATGGAGTGAATGATATTTTCAAAGACTTTATTGAGCAAATTTTGATAAAAAGTACAAAATTGTGAATTTAAATGAGTTTTATGAGTCATTTCAAATCAGGTTCGGACATCTGTTTCAAATCTAATGAATAATTCAGTCAAATATATAGTTTTTCGTGTTTGAAAGAAAATACTACATATTTATATTCAAATGAAATGTTTCAAGCTTAAACTTAAAGCTTGTTGAAGTATCTGATTTTAGGCATGAATATCGAGTAATCTAATGTGTTATGTGTTTTATTATTATAAAACAAAAAGAATAATTTTGTATTCGGAATCTTATTCTTCAGAAATTACATTTTATTATTAAATGTGAGTATTCGTGAATATTGTGATATTCCATTTGCCAAGTTTTGCTTTGTTAATGTAAGATGAATATTTAATTTGAACGATATTTAATAAAAAGGGAAAATAATGTAAAATAGCAAATCTCCATAAAGTTTAGAAACGTGCTTTCCATCTTATAAATGACAGTTCACAAATTTGAAATTTGATGGCTGTATTTATGAATAAATTGAATGATTACGATAAAATCGGATTCAAATTGGAATTATATGAATCTCTCAGGCAACACTCATATTTGATATTTTTTGATTAGAAAAATCAATGACGTTTGATCATATTTTATTTGACAGTTATTTTGAAATGAAGAATTGCCCAACTTTAAAACGATATATGACGATCTTACCAGAGCCAAATCCTGAAAAACAAAAAGAATCTATCGATAGACTGAAAAATTCCATCAAAATTCATAAAAACAACCAAAAGAAATTAAAATTGAAGTTCCAAAAAAAGAAATACCGAGAAGCCAATCCTATCTTTTCAAAAAATTATCCCGTTCTCTCATACCTCTGCTCTTATTATAAAAAAATATCCAAAGTTAAGAATGATTATGAAATAGAAAAACTACAGAACTCGATTGACATCGAAAACTTCTTAATCAAAGTTATCGAAAAGAATAAATGCATATCATTCGATTCAAATCGCTATATTGAAGAAACGAACAAAGCAAATTCAGCAAAAGAAGAATATAAACAATTAATAATGCACAAAAATCTGATTTCCAAGCAGATTTCATTATTAGATCTCAAAACAGACGCCGAAGTACTCGCTGGCAGAATTAAACACGACTTAATTAACTGCGCAAAAGATTTTGTTGAAGAAACATCATACAGTCCTCCATCAATATTGGACCACTTGATAACAATGTTTATACGGCTTTATCGCACAAAAACTATAGTTACTCCCCTTGCAAATTTCATTTCTTTCGGATCTTCGAAAAATGCAATCATTTCAATTGGCGAATTTTCCAAAGAAATTTACAAAGGACTAGGTGTCACAAACCCGGTTCACCAAGTTATGGTTTATACTTCGATCATCAGATTTTTATTTGATGAATCTTACGTAATCCATTCAGATTTGAATGAAAACAAAGAAGAGAATATTAAATTCCTCGAAAGATGCAACCAATTCTCGAAACAATCCGCAAAAGGCTTAAAATTATCAGATGATATCAAATCATACTACACCCCAGGACTTCCTGTTATAAGTCTCTTTAAGTCTAAGCAGTGTACTCAACTTAAGCAAATGGAATACATGACAAATCCCATTGATCTTATGGTTCACGTAAATACTGTCATGAAAACATTGGCTACCTATTTCGGATCCGAAAATGGAGTTCTTTCTTTCGATGACATGATTACGTTGTTTTTGGGCTTGACTTCTCTTTCCCCTCCTGTAAATGCAGTTTCGATTGCAAAATTCTGCGAGAAATGGCATGGATTGCAGGTTTCTAATATTGTCAAAGAGGCAGAAAACTTTTATCTTGCCGCTGTTGACAGTATTATGAATCATCATGAAGAATTGATTTCTGATGAAGGTCATGTTTCACCTTCAATTATCTAAGCTAAATATGTATGTTTTCCGTTTTTATTTTTAATGAATTTAATTGGATTTTTTATGGAATATTTTTAAAATGAAATCTATATTAAAAAAGAGCTCGTTAAATATTTAAATGGAAGAACAAATAGTTTATGAATGATTTAACATATTAAACATGTTTGATGAATTGTTTTATTTTTTAAATAACACATTTGAGTGCCACTGATGAAGTTGAAATACCAATTCACAAGTCACAAGAAGTTGTTGAGAACAACCACGCGTGCAATGAGGATGAAATGTTCAAAATTTTGATTCATAAGTTGAAAATCAATTCATTAACCATGTATTTGTAGTATATATAAAAAGCTTGTTGCAGAAAACGAATAATTAAGCATTTACTTTTGGAGATTCCAAAATTATACTCTTCACGCCAATAAAAGATGAATGCGAATTCTAAGCCTCTTATACTAATCTCAAATGATGATGGATATTCTGCCAAAGGCATTACTGCTCTTATTGAGGCAGTACAGCCGTTGGGTGAATTGATTGTAATGGCTCCTGATGGACCAAGATCAGGATATGCAGGTTCAATAACAACTTCTTCTATATTAACCGCACAACTTGTACGTAAAGAAGATGATTTGACAGTTTATAAATGCAGTGGAACACCTGTTGATTGCATTAAATTAGCATTAAATTCATATGTCCCTAGAAAGCCTGATTTAATACTCGGAGGAATCAACCATGGTGATAATTCATCAGTTAATGTTCATTACTCAGGAACAATGGGAATTCCAATTGAAGGTTGTATGAAAGGCGTCCCATCAATTGGATTTTCGCTCTGCAATCTTTCATGGGATGCAGATTTCTCAGCTACAATCCCAATAGTTAGAAAATTGTCCGAAAAGGTACTTAAAGAAGGATTACCTGAAGGCGTTTGCTTAAACGTTAATATTCCTGACTTAAAGGAATTTAAAGGGGTAAAGGTGTGCAGGCAATCCAAATCTATATGGGATAAAGAATACGTTGAAAAAATTCACCCTAGAGGTTCAAAATATTACTGGCTTCACTTTGATTTTCTTAACTTAGAGCCAGATGCCGAAGATACAGACCGATGGGCTTTAAAGAATGGTTACGTCAGCATTACACCAACCAAAGTCGACGTAACAGCATACGAAGCGATGAAAAACCTCGAATCTTTCAATACTGATTTCTAACATTTATTGTTTGATATGTTTACATCTATAAAATTTCTCAATATATTTCAATTTCTTAAAAAATACATCAAATTCAGCTTAATACCTAGAATATAAACAAGTTATATCTAATCCATTATGATTCAAGCTCAATTCCATCTATTTCTAGGAATTCCAAATATTGATCGATATCTTCTTTGAGAAGATTGACTTGCTCAATGACTTGATCTTGTTCTTGAAATGCATCAATCAATTCATCCATTTTTTCTCCAATTTCTGATGATAAAATCGATTTTATTTTTGATAAATCCCTTTCATAATCACAGCTTGCCAAAATTTTCCTTATTGCTCTCAACACTGAAACTGCAAGATCTGTATTTTCATTACTAATTACATCTAGCATAAGATCAAATAATTCATTACAATGTTGAACTGCGATCATTACCGCTTGGTGATTGTATCTTAACAACTCGCACATGTATTCTGTTGCAGATACTCTTATTGTATATTTTGCCGTTTGAACGTCAGAAATTGTATCATTTAGAGTATTTGAACAAACATCAATTATCTTTTGATTAATTGATTCTAAATCATCTTTGTTTGCAAATCTGATATTAGAAAATGCAGAAATTGCTGTTTTCAACACTTGAAATATCAAAATATTTAAATCATCCGACCATTCTTTGATAAATTGGCATGATGAGAAAAATTTAGAAAGAATGATTTGTATTGAAAGCTTTGGATCAAGTTTCACAATTGAAGTTGTGAATTTACACTCATAAATCATTGTTTTCTCATCATGAACATCAATATCAAGCAAAGAAGAGATGAATTCTTTATCTTCTATTACAATTTTTGATTCTTCAGGGTAAATATCGCAAAAATTGGATAAAAAATGCAAAATCTCAGAAATGAATTGAGGACACATAATGTATCTATGACATATTGCAAATATCTCCTCAAAAATCTCAAATTGGCAAATTGATGATTTCAATAATTCACTCAATATTGAAAACGAATGAACAACCATATCATATTTTAACTCACTATTTTCAAATTTCCCTGTGAAATAGTTGAGACATTGAAGCAGAAGTGAAAATACATTTTGGACGTCAGTTTCGAGGTAATCAAGATAATATAACTTAGTTTCATGTTGTGTATCCAAGCATTGAAGAGCAGCATTGACAGCAAAATCATATGGACAGTCCTGTAAAATTGTTAGAATGGCATTCAAAAAATATGAGTCAAAAATTAAGCTTACTTCGTTTGGTTGCAATCGAAACAGGTAGTTGAGTATTTTTAAAGATAAGATTATGATGTTCGTATGATCTATATATACTAAATCTGAAATCATAATGAAAATCTCTTTATCAACATTGACAATGGGGTAATTTGATTCTAATCTATCTAATAAAGAACTTAAGAACTGTATTTTCTGGTCATCATCATATGATATAAATTTGCTGATATCAAAATGTTCTAAATCCTGATTATTATTAGAGGTAGTTTGCTCTGATTGACTTACTTTTTCGTTCCGACATGTTATTTGCTCTCCTATACCTTGATCTTTGTAGTCATCCATCTAATATTAACACTTCAAAAAAAATTCTGATCTATTCTTCTCAACGATATAATCACATATATGGATTTAAGCATATCGCATAATACAAACATATCCGAAACGAGAATGTGAGATGTAATTTGAGGAATTTCTCCCAATTCAGAATAAACGAATTATTTAGATTAATTGATCCTAATTATTCCGATTTTTCCGATTTTTATGCGTAGAAGGACGATATGTAAAGTTAACTTATGATATGAAAACCGTCGGTTCGACAAACCGCCGAAATTCAAATAAATTATTTTTGGTCATGGCTTCCCGCGGACGTCAGATGCTTAAACTCCTTCTTCTTGGAGATGCAAGTGTTGGCAAAACATCTCTTCTTAACCAATTCGTTAATCGCGAATTTACTAGTTCTTACAAGGCAACAATCGGCTCAGATTTCTCATCTAAACAATTAGACGTTGACGGTCATTACGTTACCCTCCAAATTTGGGATACAGCCGGACAGGAGCGTTTCCAGTCCCTTGGCCCAACATTCTACCGTGGTACCGATTGCTGCATTCTCGTTTACGATGTTACAAAACCAGCCTCATTCGAAAATATTAAGAAGTGGCGTAATGAGTTCTCTCTCCAGCTCGGTCTCTCCAATGCTTCAGACTTCCCATTCCTTCTTCTCGGCAATAAATCAGATCTCCCAGATAAGGCTGTTCAGCCATCTGCCGCTCGTGAATTTGCTCAGATGAATGGTGATATGATTTTCGAGGAAGTTTCTGCTAAGACAGCAGAAGGCGTTCAGACAGCTTTCGAAGCTATTGTCAGAAAGGCTCTCGAAAAGGCCCCAGCCCAAGATTTTGTTCTTCCACAATCAGTTGTCAATATTGAAAATAAGCCAGCTGAGAAGCAAGGCGGCTGCTGCTAAGTTTTTTTTAAAAGTTTTTAATCACTCTTTTTCATTTAAATCTGCTGTGGTACTACCCGGAGCTTCTTTTCAAAATATCAATTAAACTTTCAAAGTATATTTATGAATAATCGATTTTTTGACAATTTGAATTAAATTTGACAGAATTAAATCTCGTAATTTTGCTCAATTTTATACATATTATTGTTAAGGACCTTGTGTATGTAATAAAATAATAATCGAATTTAGATTTTCCAAAACAAATTTGAAAATATTTTTTAAAAAATGACTAGGAAAATTGTTTAATTTAGTTAAATTTGAATTAATTCAATTAAAAATATAGATCCAAGGTGATGTGATTTTTGCATCCCTGGGATGGACGATACACCCAAAGTGTCACCTTTTTTGGGATAACATGAATTTTAAATATCATGAGAGTTCTGCAAACCATATGCACAATATCTATTCAGCCTGACTTCTTGTATATATGAGTTAGACTTCTTAAATATTGTGCTTGGGGCGATATAAGTATTTCCGAGATTACCATCGTGCTCTATAGTATGCTACTTCTCCCTGGTTCTAGCTCAGTTCCAAGGATATTGGCGTTCAAGGATTTGGCAAGGTCCTTCCGAAGTCTCTCATTCGATGAGAGATTTCGGAAGAATCTTGCCTTAAAGTACTCCAACTCTTGTTCTTTTGTTCCTAAATAGTGAGAAAAGTTATTTGACTACTTAAGGTAGAGATTATCCGAGGTCCCTCATTTGATGAGAGGCCTCGGATAATCTCTGCCTTAAAATTGTACACTTGTAGTCCATGAGAGTGTAAGTATACATTGATAGGACAGCTTTCTTCTGAAGTCTTAGATTTGATGAGAACCTCAGAAGAAAACTGTCATATTTTATAGTAAAAGGAGTTTCAGGAGCTCCAAAGCTCCCTTTCGTAAGGATTAGGAGCTTTGGAGCTCCTGGTTCGTAGATGTGTTTCGCATCTTTCATCAGCAAAGGACATTTACCATCTGGGACTCTGTTGATGGAGACTCAGGAGCTCCAAAGCTCCCTTTAGTAAGGATTAGAAGCTTTGAAGCTCCTGGTTCGTAGACGTGTTTCGCATCTTTCATCAGAAGAGGCCCAAATGGTAAATAGCCTCTGCTGATGAGCTTCAGGAGCTCCAAGACTCCCTCTCGTAACGATTAGGAGCTTTGTAGCTCCTGAAGGTAAGGTAGGATTGCTCTGATCTCTAATCAGTAGATGCCATGCCTCATTATGAACTCTACTGACAAGAGATCAAGAGCTCCAAGGACTCCTTTTTTAGTTAGTGGCGTTCTCACCATTTAGTAGGATTGCTGATCCTACTAATGAAGTGATCACTTAGTATACGTTTTGAATAAATTGAATTTTTTTTAGAATTTAGTATTTTTTATAGACATCACATGTATATTATAAATACATAAATATATTCTTTAATTCAAAAAATTCAATTCGGTTTTGGGATGGGCATCCCAGCCCCAAGTATTCAATTTTATTCAATTTTTAAAGAATTTTGGGTTGGGATGCCCAGACCAAAACAAGCTTTATATTTTGATGTGTAGATACGTATGTGTGCATCATTGTTGTGTTATATATTATGTTTTTAATGAAAAAAAATCTGATTCAAAAAAAATTATCACTAATTAGTTGATAATATAAAGAAAAAATAGATAAATTGTATGTTTTGAGAGTATTTATCCACATTCACTCATATGAATTTCATTAAATAGTGTCTTTTTACTCCCAAATTTATTTTGAATTATTGAAATCAAAGAAAAAAAATCAGAAAAATTTCTCGAAATTTTTATTTTCAAAAAAAATTTGGATTTTATATTGAAAACTGACACTGGGAGGACGATAGGGCTGGGATTGGAGATACCCCGCTCACTTGGGAAAAATACGGATCTATAATTAAAAACAATTCGACAAATAATTCATATTTTAGATGCTTAATAAAATTGATCATTAAAGTAGTAGATGAGTGCGGGTTGTGTGACTTTTTTTGTTACATCTATATATAGACGATGCATTAAAATATATTTATTTATAAATCATTAAAAAATTAACATTAATTTTAAAATAATTTATTTTTTTATCTTTTATAAAAGAAGCTATATATAGATGATGTCAGATATTCCGCGATTAATTAAACATTGTTTAAATCCTGAATGGGTTAAACTTCAATTTAAAAATGAAGATTGTGAATTATTAAATGAATATGAAAGCCAAAATAAGCTAATGAGGTATAAATATAATGATAAAGAATATTTAATTTCATGGAATCAATGGAGTCATAATCAAAGACCTCATAAACGAGAAGAAGAAATTGAAAATAATGAAATGGAAATCATTGATGACATTAAAGAGGATGGAATTCCTAAATTTTGTAGAAAAACCTTTAGAACTAAGTTAGGAGCATTAAACGTAGAGTATTAAATCCTGAATATCTTAAACATTTATTTAAAAAGGAAGACTGTGAATTATTAAACGTTAATGATTATGAAAATGCAAAATCAAAACTGAGATATAAATATATTGGAAGTGATGAAAGATGCAAAGATAAAGATAAAGTTTATACAGTTTCATATAATAACTGGCACACGTTAGGGATTAGAAAAACATTTAGGAGATTATGGTAAAAGTTCTGAATTCTTTAAATCTAGTATATACGAGAGAGTAAAAGAAATTAGATATAATTATCATTCATGAATTGAAAAAATAAACTTTAAAAATTCATGTCTTACATTATGAATAATTTATTTTTATTTTGTATGAAACCAATATTAAAAATTCATGTCTTACATTTTTGAATAATTTATTTTTTTAATTCGTATGAAAATGAGTGTCAAGACTAACGACGTTAAAAAATTGGGATTCACAAACGAGGAAATAAAGGATATATTAGAGGAGGCGAGTTATGAAGTTAATAAATATTATTTAAGAAATTGTCAAAAATTCGCGGAGTTATTAAATGATTTAGATTATGATGGAAAAATGAATAAAGATGATGTTATAAATTTCTTATATCCCACATCTGAAGAAGAAAAACCTAAAGAACCTGATGTTTTCCCTGAATATTATGAAGAACGGATTAAAGATGATGAATATGATGAAATTGAAAGACTGGAAAAATAAGAGATGAAATAGATGAAAAAATTAAGGAATTAAGAGAAGTTGAAAAATATAATGAGAATGAAGTAGAGGGTTTAATGAATATCCCAGCTTCAGAATCAGAAGTTCAAAAATCTCATGAAGAAAGATATAAAAATTACTTTTTGGAATCTACTAAAAATTTATTAGATGGTGAAATAGATGAAACACTTTCAGAAGAAGGCACAAATTTATTCATAAACATAAGTTACAATTTATTGACGATGGAGATTATCCATGTATTATTACTTTCACCTCCTCTGATTCTGAAAAATTCAAAAAAGCACTGAAAAATGTAACATATGCAACAAATACGATTAAGAAAGAAGACCATGATATTTACACAAATTATTATTTAAATAAATGTGCAGGTGTTGATAAAGTTTTTGATTTGTTTGTTAGATAAAATATCAAAAGAAACAATTGGTACATATAAAATTTTATGCGATTGTGGTTTCATTATTGAAGATACTAATAATGTTTCATATGAAAGAACAGCACCGAAGGAAGACGAAGTTGAAAGGTCTATACCATTCGTTATTAAGAATATAAAAGATATGAAAACTTTAAACATTATATTTATTCATTTATTTCAGAAAAAATGGAAGCAACCCATAAAACATCATCTCATCATTTTATAGCTATTCATACATTCCTTTTCAAAGTTGTGAAATTAAATAAGACAGGAATTAGATTTAATGTATCAGGGTACGCATTCTTGAGTAAATTAAAATGTATTCGTCACGTCGCAGATGATAAAAATTTATGTGTTCTTAATTCATTTTATGGACTTTAAAAAAAATAAACTTTATTTTTATTTATTTTTTAATTTTTTATTCTTACATAAATGAACAAAAACGGAACAGCTAAAATGAATGATAATCAAATTAGAGCAGAAGGTAGAAGGTTATTTAAACGCTTCTATAACATTCCTGATGGTGTTAATCCTAAAACTCGTAGAAGTTATTTAAATGAAGCCATAGATGCATATGAAGGATTTGACATTTCATCAGAAAGTGAGAGATTAGCGAGAATGTTAAATGTTAATATTGATTTCTATTATTGTGATCCTCAACCAGAAGACGTAGACATAAATAAGGTAGACTTTCCATTAGTGGAATCAATAATGATAGATCCAGAATTTGAAACAGTAAATATTTTATTAACACAGAGTCCATGTGGAAAACTTCACGCTGACAGAATTACAGACGTTGAAGCACTCACAGGATATAAAGTTTGCCCCTTTTGCAAAGAAGAAGTATATTCTATCCGTGATGACCCAGAAAGGAAAAACCAAAGAAGATTTTTAAAACATTGTGAGAAATGTAAAGAAAATAATGGAAGATTAATTCAAGACGTTCAATTGCAAAACACACAACAACCATATGCACCACATATCACGAAACAGAAGATATATCAATGGCTATTAGCTCACAATTTGCAGGAATATTATAAACCAACAAGATATTATATTACTTTTGACTTCGAAACATTAGAGACTAAAGAAGAACTTCAACTTTCTGAATGTGCAACTTTGAACGCTTACTTAAAACCATTTATGGTATCATCAACTGTCAAAATAAAGCCGCAAACGGACTCTTTGAGTCCTGAAGGTCTTTCAGACCGAAGCGGCGAGGTCGTAGACCGTGATAAAACATTTACGAGGAATTTTTGCTTAACATCAAGTGATTCGTTCATCTCTGATTGGATTGAATTTTTATTTTCAACCTGTTCATTAGTTGCTAAATCAAATATTGAACAATATGAAGAATTAATGAAGCCGCAAACGGACCAAACGGCGGGGACTTTGTCCCATACATTAAATGAAAAACAGAAGGAAGCATTTAAAGAACTTCTAGATGAGGAATTCAATAAAGTGAATATCATAGGTTTTAATTCGGGAAAGTTTGATTTAAATTTAATTCTTCGTGATTTAAACACTGCAAAATGGAAAATAAAATCAATGCTGGGTTCTTCTTCTCAATTTAAGCAAATCATTGTAAAGAAAACAAACTGTCCATATGAATTAAGATTTATTGACATCAGAAATTATATAGCGGGTGGAACATTAGACCAATTCACTCAAGATTTCGGAAACAATAAATCACGTGTTAAATCCTTTTTCCCTTATCAATTCATCACATGGGAGAATTACGAAGATGAATTATATAAAGTGGAACCATTCACGAAAGATTCATTTTATTCAGCATTAACTCAAGAAACAATATCCGATTCAGATTATCAAATATATCTCAATGATGCTAAAAATTTTGAGAATAGATTAGAATATTTTATTCATTATTGCAATAAAGACGTTGAAATTATGATTGACCCAATTGATAAAATTATTGAAGAAACATTTGTTTATAAAATTGACATGCTTCATAATCTTTCTTTATCATCGAATGCATCAATGATTCGTTACGCGTTAGCATATAAGAACTTCAATCCTAACGAAACATATCCAGAAGAAGAAAATGTGGAATCAAGTTTTGAATTAACAAAAAAGTATTGGAAATATAAAATTGATTCATATAAGAAACAAGATGAAAAAGCAGAAAGGGATACTAAAAACAATGTTTCAATGGATGACTATCAATACTATCACGATTTAATCCTTTCATCTAAATGCAAAATGTGTGGTAAAGCGTTTACATATGCTAATAAACCAACATTAGATAGAATCGATAATGAAAAACCACATACCAAAGAAAATTGTCAGTTAATGTGTTGTTATTGCAATGTCGTAAAATCAAATAAAGATGAAGATGTTCAACGTTTAAGAATCAATTTAAGAAATTATACATTAAAAAATAATTTACCAATGACTCTAGATTCAGTTGAAGCTTATCACATCCTCCGTAATGGAATTACTGGTGGTTTATCAAATGTTCAACATAGAGTAAATCTTAAAGGAATCACGCACATTAATAAACTTTCATATAATCCAGAAACTAAAACTGTATCAAATGAGGACACTTCCAACATTATGACTCATTTCGTTGGTGTTGACTTTAATTCATTATATCCTTCATCATTTTCATCTAATCCTCATGATTTCATTCAATATACTGACCATAAAATGTATATGCCGGGAAGATTGAATGGTGTTATCATTTGTGATACAGCAACAAAGAAAGCAAAAGCACTGGGAATAATTAAGAAGAAAAATACTTTATTCGTGGCTGAAGTAAAGGGTCACATTGATGAAAAATACATTAATGATTACATAAACTTTTTACCAATAATAAGAAACTTTGATATTATCACAGATGAAAAAACAATTGGTGGTTTTATGTATAATTACATGAAATCAAACAATCTACCAGTTGACCAGAAACAGAGGAAATTAACTCAGTTAGCATCAACACACAACCAATATCAACCATTTTCTTCTTATTATCTTTGGTATCTAATAGACAGATTTCATTTTATCATTGATGACATTCAATCAATTTTAACATTTACGAAAAATACTTGTTTTTAATGAATTTGCGAATGAATTTATGAACGAAAGACAAAAGGCTGAATTAGAAGGAAATAAAGGAAAAAGTTTATTTTGCAAGATTTCACTTAATGGATCATATGGTTACGATGCAATGAATACACAAAATTACGCAAAGACTAAAATAATGAATGCACAGAAGGCACGCGTTGCATGTATGTCAAATAAGTTTAAAAACATAAGAGAAATAGGAGAGGATACGTATCAAGTGATGCTTAAAGATAGATTTTATAGATGTGATACATGTTTACAAGAGGCATTCTTCACTTTAGATAACGCAAAATACTGGTATTTGGTTTTCATTTATGATTTTATGTATAAATGCATGGATGTTAATCGTTTTCATTTCATTGAAGGTGATACTGATTCATCTTATTGGGCAATCGCTGGCGACCCAAATCTTCCTAACACTCAAGCATTTCAAGCAATTGTAACCGATAAAAAATTTTATGATAAAAACATTTACAAATTCGCACCTTTTGATTTCTTCTGTTTTTAATGAGAAATTTAAACCTAAATTAAAGAATAAAGCTGAAGAAAAAGCACATGAGAAGAAGTTATTGGGTTTAGCAATTGAGAACAAGGTGATAACATGGTTGCTTTATGTCCTAAGTGTTATACTTCATTCAACGGTTCAATTGATGGAAGTGATTTTAAAAAGATTGCACAAAAAATGAAAGGAGTTAGTTTACGACAAAATAAACAATTAACACCTAAAAATTATTTGGATATAATAAATGATAAAGTGATATTTGATGGTCAGAATATTAATTTACAACTTAAAAACGGGTCAATGACTCGCTTAACAATCGTAAGACTGCATTAACAGGAGCACACACTAAGGCTGTATGTTGTGAAAATGGATGTTGTATGCCATTTATTTAATAAAATGCCACAGAAGAGACAAAAGGAACCGTAAATAATGGTTTTGATACTATGATTCAAAGAGGCGGGCACCCTTAAAACACTTATTTTATTTTTATATAAATGAATAGCGTAGATTTAAAAAATTTAATTGATGATTTAGTACTTAATCAAAATTTTCTTAATTATTATGAATTAAAATCATATCTCCAAAAACATGATAACAATATAACGGGTGATGATATGGATTATTATTATTCGTATTATAAAAATGAAGTTTTGAAATATCATGATAAAATAATTCTAAAATTAAAGACAAAATTAAAAATAATGAATATTCAAAGGGAAAAAGTAAATCACAACTTAAACAATTGAAAGATTTCAAAAATAAAGTATTAACAGAAGAAGATATTGATGAATTATATAAATTATATAAATTATATAATCCTGAGCCGCAAAAACCAAAGGAACAAAAACAAAAGGTGCAAAACGCCCAGGTCCTTCAGACCATAAATGAAGCACAAGCTTTAATTTATGATTCATTAGTTAAACCATATTCAGCCCGACTTTTAAATGAAGATCAACTTTTGGAATTCATCCTTCAACATAAACTCGAAGCGGGAAAGTATATCAAACCTTTATATACAGCATATTTAAAACAAATGAATAGAATACATCCAGAATTAATGAAGGAAGGAATGAATTCCAAAATCAAAGCAGATAAAATTAAACCACCTGCAACACCAAACCCTCCAACGACAGTACCTCCTCCTCCTTCAGTTAATCCTTCATCATTCACTTTATTATATCCATTTCAAACATTAAAGAAGCAAAAAGATTTTAAAAAGGATTTCAAAATATTAAATAAACCAACTGACCCAAAAATTCAACCGTTAAAGGAAAAATTTAGTCGCCCTTCATTTGCACCATATCCATATTCATACGAAATCGATCATTTAGAATATTCAAGAGGAAACGTTACTTATTTATTTGCCATTAACATTAACACCAGATATTTATATTGCATTCGGTGAAAGGGAAAACAGAACAGGAAACAAGAAGAGCTATTCAATACTTACTAGATCATGAAAGAGTAGATAATATAAGGGGTGATGGTGATAAAGGATTTCAGGCAGCTATGGCTCATTATTTCCCACAAATTAATTTTTACTTTTCATCCTCTCCATATACGTTTCATAATAAAATAGTTGATGCGGTAATGAGAACTCTTAGAGATGCGTTAGGGGTTAATGGTCAGATATACTGGGATGGAAATCATGACTCCATCATACAGCAGTTAGTATATTATTACAATAATACATGGCATAGAACAATAAACATGAAACCGGTGGAAATGAAAAATGATATTTCAAAAGAATGGGAATATATTAGAAAGCAAATGGAAAGGTTGAATGATGTTAAACGTGAACAAATTAATTCGGGGCTCATGAATTTTAAACAAGGGGATAAAGTTTTGATTCATCTCGATTATGGAAAAACTGATAAATCAATGACAAAAAGAAGACGAAGATTTGACACAATAGCTGAATTTGTTAGATATATTAACGGCAATGCATTAGTTGAAGTTGACAATAAATTAATAGAAATTCCGATTTATTTTATTACTCCATTATATTTAAATAATATTTAATTTTTTTATTTCGTAAGAAATGAGTAACAACGAAGCAGTCAAGAGTCCAGACGATGAATATAAAAAGAAACTAAACAGAATTAAATCAAAAAATATGTTATTACAAAAAGAAGCCACAATGTGGTGGGGTTGAAAACGATAAAGAGAGGAAAGAAATAATCGAAAAATTAGAAACTTATCGTTCAATCCTTAAACTGAGTGAAGCAAAAATAAAAGAATTTAATAGAATAAATAAATTGATTGGAAGAGATGAATTTAATAAAGATGAATTTTTAAACTCTATCCAAATTTAATTTTTATTCCTCTTCGACAACATCTCTCTTTCCATCATTACCGCATAACCACATTTTCTCAATTTTAGTGGTTTGTTATTTTTAACATGTTCTTGCATCATTTTTTATCATTTCCTCCCTTGTTATGATTCGTGGTAAATCTTGAGCTTGTGGGGTATTCATTTATGATAAAAATAAAAATTTGTTATCACTTATTTTATCGTGAAGTGACTCAAAGAGTCCGGAGACAAAGTCTCATGTTTTTAGGTTATTCAATAATTAATTATTTTTGAAGAACTGAAGGTGCTACCATGCTACCATGTGCTACCAGGTCATTTAACTTCTCTGAAAAAGTGTGACAACATGACATTTTGACAACAGTTCAGGAGGAAGGTAGTTATGAATTATTTTTGAAGAACTGAAGGTGCTACCATGCTACCATGTGCTACCAGGTCATTTAACTTCTCTGAAAAGTTGCAACATGACATTTTGACAACAACACAGGAGGAAGGTAGTTATGAATTATTTTTGAAGAACTGAAGGTGCTACCATCGTTACCATGTGCTACCAGGTCATTTAACTTCTCTGAAAAGTGTGACAACATGACATTTTGACAACAGTTCAGGAGGAAAGGTAGTTATGAATTATTTTTGAAGAACTGAAGGTGCTACCATGCTACCATGTGCTACCAGGTCATTTAACTTCTCTGAAAAAGTGTGTTGACAACATGACATATTTGACAACAACACAGGAGGAAGGTAGTTATGAATTATTTTTGAAGAACTGAAGGTGTACCAATGTTACCATGTGCTACCAGGTCATTTAACTTCTCTGAAAAAGTGTGACAACATACATTTTGACAACAGTTCAGGAAATATGATGCAGCCCAAAAATAAAGTTAGTTTTAAAATTATTTTTATTTTTTATTCCTATATAAATGACAGCAACAAACAACAACAGCAACTATTATCGTTTCTGATGAAAAAGTTATTATTCATTAGCTGAGGAATTAGTTGTGGCAGAAACTAAAACCCTCAACGAAAGAATTGGTGAAAACAGGATTGATTTACATAACTACCTCAAACATGATGGAGGAAAGAGGAAGGAAAACTGGTATGGCTTATTAGTAAATAAAATATCAAATTTAACGATTATAGATGTTGATATCAATAAATCGTACAATGATGAACTCTTAAAGAAACAGTTAGAAAGACATTTATCAAAACTTTCGGATAAAGATGTTATCGTTAAAACCGCTTCAGGAGTCTTCACATTTATTGCAACACTAATTTCTTCTATGCAGTTTCGAACAGAATGATTAAATGTTATTCCTGCAATGATTATGATAATTGATATCATGACTTCTATGGATGATTCAAAGCGTTCTTTAGTGGTTATGTGCTGATTCAAGAGTTCGCAAGAATGCAACAGAACCAATCAATACATACTCATTCATTCGTGGAAGTTATGATTCAACATTAACTAGAACAGTGAATGATATATTAAATGATTTGAATATTAAGGTAAGAGTTGAACAGAAGAATGAAGAAATAAAGACTATCATGAATGAAAACAAAGATGTAAACATTGACGATAAACTAGCTCAGAGCATAGTTGATGGCATCTGTGATTTTGAAGTACATAATGACGGTGGAAACATGAATTTAGAAAAAGAAATAACATTATTCACACTGTTTCAAGCTATTAATTCGTTACCGGATCATTTAATTAATGAAGCATACGATAACGTTTATAACTTCTGCAGTTTAACAGAAAATGCAAAAAGTAATTTTGAAAAAGCACGTAGTAGATATGACACATTTAATGACTTCTCCATTTGTTTTAGTGAAGATTCTAAAACTATATCAAAAGGAATATTATGATGAATATGTTTTACCTTTATTACGTAAGCCAAAAATAACATTTGATATCAAACTTGATGACTCGTTTTTGATAACAGATATTAGACGCAAGGCTGAAAATCATCAGTATAAAAACAGTTCTGAAGTAATTGAGGATTTATCACGTGTAATCCGTTTTGTAGATTGTGGAAATAAATATTTCATTCAAAAGGACTATAATATCCACGACAAAATGAATCAAATAATCATTTGTTCTTCAGTCAAACATGAAAGAGTCACTCAAAATGATTAAATTATTTAAAGAAGAAGGTAAAACCATAACAGCATGGGATGTACTACTAAATCAATTGTCTTCATTAACCGTTAAGGGTGTTTGCTTTAAATCTGATTCCCCAGATGTTTTCTCAACGTTTCAAGGTTATAAATACAACGTTCTCGAAAAACCAGATACTCAAAAATTGAGATGTTTATGAATTTCATTAAAGAAGCCATTTGTGATAATAACGATGAAGTGTATAAATACCTTCTCGGCTGGATTGCATCAATGATTCAACATCCCGGAATCAAGAATGAAACAGCAATTATTTTGAAAGGACTTCAGGGAACAGGTAAAAACAGATTTACAGACATTATTTCTGAACTTCTCGCTGGTTATTCATGTAAAAACATTACCGAAATAAGTGAGCTAACGGGTAATTTCAATTCAGTAGTTGAAAATAAATGTTTCTTGTACTTAATGAACTCAAGAATGTGGGTGAAGACAACTCGCAAACTTCAACGCTTTGAAATCAATTATTACGGATAATGAGATAAGAATTAATGAAAAGAATCAACCCAGAAGAACAGCTCAGAACGTTGCAAACTTCATTTTCGTAACTAACAACGTCTACCCTGTCAAAATTGAAGTTGGAGACAGAAGATACGTAGTTTTAAGAGTTAATGGTAAATTCAAGGGTCAATTTGATTACTTCAAGAATTTAATGGATTCATGCACAAAGGAATTTTATGATAATTTACTGACGTATTTTATGCAATATGACCTTTCATCATTTAATGTACGAATCATACCGATGACTGAAGCCAAACAAGATTTAATTGAATTATCATCAAATCCTTTTGATGTATGGATAAATACACATTATGATGAATTGTGTGCAGGTATGACGTGTGAAAATGCTTTATTCTGCAAACCATCAGACATGAAAGACAAAAACTTTCAAATGAGTATTAAGGATAAATGTGATAGGAAACATAGAAGAATAGACGGTAAACAAACATGGTATTATGTTTTGAAAGAAGAAATGAAAGGATTATATAAACAGGTTGAACCAAACGATAATGAGGAATCATTTACTGATGATGAAATACCTGTAAATGAGCCGCTAAGCGGCGAGACCTGAAGGTCTAGCTTTATAAAGTATGATTTGAATTTATTTTTGCATTAATCCTGTGTTGTTGTCAAAATGTCATGTTGTCACACTTTTTCAGAGAAGTTAAATGACCTGGTAGCACATGGTAACATGGTAGCACCTTCAGTTCTTTAAAAATAATTCATAACTACCTTCCTCCTGTGTTGTTGTCAAAATGTCATGTTGTCAACATGGTAACATGGTAGCACCTTCAGTTCTTTAAAAATAAATGGTTCATTTACTCACAATATTTTTGTACAAAACGACCCCAAACTTTTAACTTCTTTTCTGCAGCTTCAAATGCTATCTTAGCGAGTTCATATTCTCTAAATTCTCTCTTTAAATCTTCTTGTTCCCATTGGTCTAGTTCGTATGGAGAATCTCTATAACCATAATATATCTCACGTTCATGTTCTAATTGTTTTTCACACATTTTTCCAACTTCTTCTTCGAACAAAGGTTTAGCATTCTCCACTGTATCTTCGAGTTCTTCTTCATCTAACTTCTCATGAACTTTCTTGTCTATGGAGTCCATAATATCTTTGACATAAAATGCATACTTTACAGAGCACCATTCAGCAACAAAATGAACGAGGTCAGCATGTATGTAAATACCTTTGAATTCATTCATAACGCCCTTAGTAAGCTCATAAAATGCTTGTTTTGAGGTTGAGCCACTTTTGGCTCGACCGTATTCTTTCAACCAAAACTCAAGAATTTCCTGCATTTTAGCACTATTGAGAAATCTGTTTAAATGGTTTAACCTTCCCGCTTCTCAAATTGCATAGGATAATGTTCATTATATGCTTTACGTTTAGGATAATCCGTCATTGTTAATTTATACCCATTTATGACTTTAATATTTCCTTGACCATCAGTAACGAAAACTTCATTTATTCCATCAGGTTTTCCATTTGGACCCGTAATGTCTGCTTCGTGTGCTTCCCAATTTGGTCCGTGACGTTTGGCATATGCTTGAGCTTCTGGTAATGTTAAAACGTTTCTCATTTGTTTAACATCCTTTTGAAGACCGGCAACAATGTGGACTAATTCTTTCATTCCGTCTGGACTTTCATAGTTCTATTATATGCACCCTTTTTGTTTGTTCCTTGTTTTAATGGAACCTGTAGAAGATTTGCAATTTCTGTCATGTTTAATTATAAATAAAAAATAAAATTATTATAAAAAGTTATTCGAATTTAATGGAACCTTTATTTAAATCAACTATTATTTTTCCATGTTCACCTAATTGCTGATATTGTGTGTAAAGTTATTAATGCTCATTGGTAAATTCACTTGATAAAGCATAACGTTCAACTGTTGACGACTAAACCCACTGAAAATGAAAAGGGTGGACAGGTTTGATTTAATGTTTGTGCTTAATGCTTTAAAGTATTGAACAGCCATGAAGAATGAACACTGAATGTGTCGACATTGAGTTAATAATTGATTAAAATATGATTTCTCATTAGTTATTAGTTTTGATTTCACCGCATCATCTAGAAAAATGAGTGAATGCAAAAATTCTCTATCAAAATTTGAAATAGAAAGTGTTTCAAATAATTCATCCCGTTGTTTATCAATAATTTTATCCTCTAATCCTTGCTTCTTGATTGTATTATATTTCTTTATACATTACAAAGTTTTTTAAATAATCTTCTGCTTCTTCTTGTGATAAATAAATAATTGGAATTTTGATTAAATGCTTTAAAGATTCAAATGTATCATCTGAAGGTGAACCTGAACGGTTGATATAAATTAACACATGTGAATAGGGTGAAGTGTTAGCAATAATGATAATTTGTTTTAATATCGTTAATGTTTTACCTTTATTTTGTTTACAATTGCTGCAGTGATTGAATTTAAGTAAATTCAGAATATGGAATTTTCATTAATTTTTCCTTAGATAGAGCATTTCTATTATCACTCAATGCTTCATTAATCATATCATCTACGTATGTATTATATACTCTGCTAATTCTTCATAAGGGGTGGATGAATTTAAATCCATTTAATCAAAAATAAATTTATAATTTTAAACATTTCTATTCATCAATATTTCATCATATGAACTTCTATACTGCGGTGGTGTACCTGTTGGATGATATTTCAAACCTTCATCCGGTGTCCATGTCCAATATGTAGTCCTAGTAAACCAAACCTGAGAGGATTTGTCACTTTTGAACAGTAAGTGTCATTTTCACCCTGAATGATTGGATAAGCTTTCACTTGTACTGTAACTTGTGAGTTGAAAGTTTCTAATCCATCAAAGAATATACCCGCTCCAACGTTGAACTGGAATAGTGCATAAGAATGAAGTTTGGTCTTTCCATGTTCTAGCTAATGGTGTGCCATCATCATCATTCAGTGGTCTAGTTAATGAGTCCTCGTATTCTTCTGTGCATTCATTCACTCCATCTAAATCAGAAGCTTGAAGCATACGTGTAAAGAATATGTCACCACTGTGGTCATCGCTTGATCGGGGAAGTTTCTGGAATCTATAGTGACCTGAAGACCTCGAAGCATTGGATTTTCTAAAACTGTTCTTTGCATTGCATTCTTCGGAAATGTTAACACAACATCTGTAACATTATGAAGAGCGTATGAGAAATCTGAGCTAATACCTTCAGGAGTGATGCAACCTCCATTTAGTGAACGAACGTCAATATGTTGAGCTGGAATCATGAATGGATCTTCTTCCTTACTAAATAAACGTGGTATTGCTTTAACTGATTCTTCAATTAAACCGTATCCTGGTGTAATGCATTTATCCTCTAAAACTTCCATCTTTGTGCATGAAATAATAACGTCTTCAACTGTTGCGTCAGCAGATGTAGTGGCTAAGCTTGTAATTAATTTGGCAGGAAGTCCGATTTGTTGGAATTTGCGATCATATTTATAAACATGATTCATAATCTTTTCATAATTTTCATCAGTTATTTTTCATAAACGTAATTTTGTAAATCAGCAACTCTTAACGGGTCAACCTGACAAAATACTAAAGTATCCCTGAAAACATAATATTTAAGAATGATTTCACCAAATGATTTAGGATAATCATCGAACGCCTGAAATGCTAACAAATCATTTACCGGAATAATCATATAAAAGTGACATCAACTTCTTCATTTGCTTTCTTGAAAACTTCTGAAGGGTCAATATATTTACCACATACTGAGTTATCATATTTTGAACATTATTATATAACGAATGAACAAACTTTTTAACTTTCCTTTCTGATTTTGGTTTATATGTTGCAAATGCGAAAGATTCACGGGCGCAATCCATCTGAAGATAACCAGCATCACCTCTTTCGGTTTCTACTTCTAATTGCTTAAAGCTTTGATTTGATGATTTATAACCAACGAATAAACGCATGCATTTAAAAGCGGCATCACATGTGAAAGCTTTATTTGAAACTAGAGTTGCTTTAACTTTGCGTTTAATATATGTGTCACCTAATTGGTTCACATCATGAGCCGGATTTGTAATTCTTAAATGAGTTTGTTTATCATCAAAATATGGAGCATCAGAGTCATAGCATGAACTTTCAAGTTCTCTATAATATCTTCTCCATCATTCTTTGCGAATATTTCATTTATCTTTTCGAATGAATGAAATACATTTCCATTAATCGGTTTAGTGTTTGGCACTAAATAGTTAGTCGTCATTTATTATTAAATAAAAAATCAAAATTAAAAGATGAAAATGAATTTTTAATTTTAATGAAATAATCAACTATGGCTGCAGGATTCTTTAAGAAACTGTGGGATAAAGTAAAAAGAGGAGCGCATAAAGTTTGGGAAGGGATTAAGAAAGGAGCAAATTGGATATTTAAGAATAAAGAAGCAATTAGTGACGTTGCTGAACAAATAGCACCTAATGTTCCGGTAAGGGAAGTATTAAATAAAGGAGATAAGGTTTATCGTCGACTACAACCGATACTAAGATAAAAATAATATTTATTTATTTTTCCACTATCTACCCCCTATTTTATTAAGTATTCCTTCAGCAATTCCACCAACTGCGTTACCTGCTTGTGCTCCCATCGCCGGATTACCTGCTTTAGCACCTAATACTCCTCCTATGATAGTTCCTGCCGTTTTCGCTACTGGTGCCAAAAAGTTTGCAACGGGTTTAATAATCTTTTGATGAACCCAACTTGCAGCTTTCTTAATTCCTTCCCATAATTTTTTAAAGAATCCTGCCGCCATCTCTGATTTAATATTAATTAAAAAATATATTTCATCACTTATATTCTAATTTTTATTTAATGATAAATGAAACCGATTTTAAAAATAAATGAAACAGAGAGGAAGAAATAAATGAAAGTGAAAATGTTCAACAAAAAATAAACGTTGTTAAACCAATTACTGAAATAAAAATTTTTTCATCTGTTGATGAATTTAATGACTATTATGCTAATAATAAAAATTATTTGAAGAATTGACAACATGTAAATTGAATAAAATGTTTAAAGTTGAGGACAGAGTCCAAGACCCGGAGGTCATGGATTCAAAATTTCAAAAATAAAAGGTGTTGTTAGTTTAAAATCTATTCCTCAATCAAGAATCACCTCATTAATGAAAATTGATGATTTAACAAAAAGAATAGAAATTATTGAAGAGCGAATAAATCAAATTATTGATTTCATAAATCATGACTCGTTGAGCCCGGGTCCTTAAAGTCCATCACTGAGTTCAAGGTTATATTCATCAAATATTTCATTATTAAATGCAACTTCTGCTAGTTTATTTATTTTTTCAATACGATCATTTGAAAGTCTATCGTTTAATTTTTCTGAAGTTTTTCATTTTCTAGTTCTGAAACTTTATTTGGATGATATTTAAACCCGTTAAATTCTTTTTCCTCAGTTTTGATCATTAATTTACAAAGAACTTTTGTGGTTGGAATTCGTTTAAACCATTTATCATTAATATTTGTTATAAATTCAATATCTGGAATTAATTCCCAAATTTTTGCATTTTCAATTAATTTATTATCAAATGCAAAAGCAATAGGTTTAATATTAAACTTACCTTTATAATATATACTTTCTACATAATCATCGAAATAAACATCTACTTGTTTAACATTTTCAAGAATTGGTGAAAGAACATCCATTAATTGATTGACGGTTACGAATCTTGATCACTCATTTTCATACGAATTAAAAAAATAAATTATTTCAAAAAATGTAAGACATGAATTTTTAATATTGGTTTCATACAAAATAAAAATAAATTATTCATAAATGTAAGACATGAATTTTTAAAGTTTATTTTTCATTCATGAATGATAATTATTTCTAATTTCTTTTACTCTCTCGTATATACTAGATTTAAAGAATTCAGAACTTTTACCATAATCTCCTAAATGTTTTCTAATCCCTAACGTGTGCCAGTTATTATATGAAACTGTATAAACTTTATCTTTATCTTTGCATCTTTCATCACTTCCAATATATTTATATCTCAGTTTTGATTTTGCATTTTCATAATCATTAACGTTTAATAATTCACAGTCTTCCTTTTTAAATAAATGTTTAAGATATTCAGGATTTAATACTCTACGTTTATATGCTCCTAACTTAGTTCTAAATTTTTCTACAAAATTTAGGAATTCCATCCTCTTTAATGTCATCAATGATTTCCATTTCATTATTTTCAATTTTTTCTTCTCGTTTATGAGGTCTTTGATTATGACTCCATTGATTCCATGAAATTAAATATTCTTTATCATTATATTTATACCTCATTAGCTTATTTTGGCTTTCATATTCATTTAATAATTCACAATCTTCATTTTTAAATTGAAGTTTAACCCATTCAGGATTTAAACAATGTTTAATTAATCGCGGAATATCTGACATCATCTATATATAGCTTCTTTTATAAAAGATAAAAAAATAAATTATTTTAAAATTAATGTTAATTTTTTAATGATTTATAAATAAATATATTTTAATGCATCGTCTATATATAGATGTAACAAAAAAAGTCACACAACCCGCACTCATCTACTACTCATTAAAAATGTTCTGAAAAGATTCTTTTTGTCAAAATATAGTTTCAAAAATATATTATTCTGAATTTGGACTGGATAAATAACAAAAATGATTTCATGACAATTTTGCAAATGTCAGAACACTAGTCAAATGACATTTTGCATTTTTTGTTGTTATTTTCAACGATAATGTCGAAATCTGAATTGATAAATTTGCCTCTCACATGATTCAAGACATCTAAACCGATTGAAGAACAACTGACTTGATTTTTCTCTTTTGAAATGATTTTTTTTTCTATCGTAAATTTTTTTCCTAGCATTTCCTATGTCTGAAACAGAAGGTATTTCTGATTCGTCATGGGAAATGTGGAATTCTAAGTCTGGAGAAGACGATTATCGTGTCACAGATAAAGTTATCTGGGACGAAAATCACGAAATCTCTGTCAAAATTTTAGCTCCTCTCGGACGTGGAATAAGTGGTTCAGTTTTTGCTGTTCAAGTCGTTGAATGCGAGAAACAACCAACAATCGTCAGCACAATGCTTTGCTTGAAAATTTTTAAGACAAATAGTGTTGCAATTTCACAAGCTGAAAACGAAATTTTGATATTACCATTAACTCATCGAAACTTTAATACTGGACGATTTTCTGTTTTCCCATCATATTTAACATCTTTCAAAATTGATGGACATTTAGGCTTCTTAATGGAGTTGGGTGGTCCGTCATTGTTCCATGGCTTAAGTATGAGGAAAAACAAAGGTTTTCCTCTTTCAGCAGTCAGAACAATCTTAATTCAGATTCTTAAAGGATTAGCAGAGATGGAAAACAAAGGTCTTGTTCACGGTGATATCAAGCCTGAAAATATAATCTTTTCTCTACGTAAAGCAGGTAACCTAACCTCATTCGAAGCATATAAAAATGCAATTTCGAATCTTTCGTTTTCAATCATGCGCGATGAGTTCGAAAATCAAGATGTTTTGAATATATCTTTGATAGATTGGAGCTCATCTTCAATGGGATACAACCAAAACGCACAATACATGCAATCCAGATATTATCGAGCGCCAGAGATACTAATGCGATCATCTTACGGGCCCGGAGTAGATATATGGTCCACGGCATGCGTTGCTGTCGAACTATTTATCGGAAAACCCCTTTTTCCGGGCGCAGATGAACTTGATATGATTAGAATCATCCAGCAACGGCTTGGAATCTTCCCCCATTCAGTAATACGCAAGATGGGCAGTGATTCAATCGCCGCATCAACAGATGAATGGATGATTGACCCAAAAAACTACTTACCAGGTAATTTCGAAGCATTTATATGCGAAGAGTCCCGTAGACAGGACAATGAAGTCCTTCTTTTCATTAATTTGATGAGATTGATGCTTCAATTAAACCCAGATGCAAGAGCATCGGCATCATCTGCTCTTTCTCATCCATTTATAACCGGAAACATGAAGCAAAACAAAAGAATAAGGAGAGATTCTGCTTTTGACAACAGAAAACTTCCTTTGATAGAAATCCAAAATGCAAGGAGATGCTCCATAAAAGGAAACTCTCTATTTAATTGATATATGCAAATAATATATGCGGATAAGTTTAATTTTCTTGCTTTTAACATGATTAAAATTATTTTTCTTTCTGTGTTGTTTTAAATCCAGAATCATAATACTTAATTTGCATGAATCATAATACTTAATTTGCATGAATCATAATACTATATTGTATGATCATTGACTTGTGTTGACATTAATTTCAATCAAAGAATAATATCTTTTTCAAAATATAATATATGATAAGCTGTTCATATTAGGCAATGAGTATAAAAGTGGAATTTTGGTGAAAGCATGAATAAAGCTGCTATTACTGAACTAATTCTTTTAATTTCATATTTAATACATCGTTTATGATGCATGTAATAAAATTCATAGCACAATTTCCATTTTATTCTCAATCTTTACTCACAAACTGAATAATTTACATAAATTGTTTATATCTCAAAATATTTTTTTGTACAAAGAGGATTTAATACGTTGATTGCTAAATATTGGGCTATAAACATGGAAAAATGTAAGTTAATATTAAAAAAGAAAACAGAAAATATTTACAAATCCGAGTTTTGATCATTTGGAAGGGGATCTTGTAGTGAAGGAGGTATAATAACAGGTGCAATATAAAGCTTTTCATGACTATCTTCCTCTTCTTCGTAAGAATATTCTTCTCCTAAAATTGAAGCAGGAGATCTAAGTGATTTAAGGCTAGCAAGGCTAATAGATTGATATCTTTGGGTTTCGGGAGTTGATGGCTCAAGACTAATTGCTTCTCTATTGAAATTAATAATCAAATTATTTCCTCCCAGAACAGACAAAGTAAATGATGAATCCGTTACAGAGAAATCATCATTAAAAGATATTGTGAGGTCAATAGATTGATCAGCAGTTAATATTCCGCTTGTTGGTGAAAGATTGAATTTTCCATTAACTTCTTTAACACTCCAGTTTGCCCATACATAAGAAGTGTTGATTAGTTTAACTTTTTTCTCTTTTTCACCATTATAACTTACGATACTTGGTTCTAAATTCAAACAAGGCTTACAAAGCTCAACAATCTCTTCATATTTATCACGGATGATCTGTTGAAGCTCATCAAACTTATCTTGGTTCTTTACAGGTACAATTAATTTGAAATTTCCAAGAACAGGTCTATGGTCTGAAAATTTCGATTTTAATGACCTGTAACAGACACATTCTATAGGGCAAGGATAGTTCGCTGCAGGAATTTTCAGATTAAAGTTACAATCTGTCAAAAATTTACAAGATCCTTTCTCTTTGAAGCATTTCCAAGCATCTGTTTCAAAATTGATCGTTTGGTCAACACCAAGTGCGCATTTAGGTGGGTTGTTCTTGTAAAGGATTCTGTCAGTATAAGAGGGAACTCTCTTTTTTTGAGAGGTGTCGTAAACATCAGAATTATTGTCAAATTTGTAAGTTGGGTTAAAACGAATTTCTGCTTCGTTTAACGTTGAAAGAATTGGATCTTTATGCTGGGCTTGTTTCAACTGATCGTTTTGCAATAACTGGTCAACTCTTGAGTTATTTGCGAAATTTACAGCGGTTTCATAGGGCAAAACCACTCTAAAATTAAGATCTCCTGCAATGAAAATGTAATCATATGATTCTCCGATAGTTTCGAAGATCTGATGCAACTGATCAATTCTTGCATCGAGATTTTGAGCATGTGCTTCCAAATGGGCTGTAGCAACCATGATTTTGGCCTCTCCTACAGTGATAGGAATGAGAACTGCTGCTTTATTAGCTATTAATCCAGCAACTCCTAATTTTAAGTTTGTTGTTGGGCCAACTTTATGGGGAATCGCTAAATCTTTGCGTACAAGTACTGCTATATAAACAGTTCCTACAGTTTCCATACAGGCTAGTTCGAAATACGAATTATCTCCAGCTTCTGGTGAAGATTTAATGATATCTGTCCATACGGCACGATGGTTTGTCGATCCAGTAACTAAGTACTTAACTGACATTTCTATCTCTTCTATAGCTATTACAACTATATCTGCTGAAGCAGCGGGTTGAGTAAATGTTTTCTCGAATTCTTCTTTTGTAACAGCATCAGGGGTGTTTCCTGCAACGTTCCATGTTAGAATGGAGATCCTAACTTTATTCGGTTCTAAAAAGAAATTTTTATTTTGTGAAATCATCATGCTTTCCCAGTAGGCATGAGCGGTTTTCGATAAAGAAATAGGTGTAGCAATAGATGATTCTGTTGAATCTAATGCATTTAGACTTAATGTCGATTGTTTCATTGCTATTGTTCTTAGAAATGCTGTATTCTCTACCATAAATTTATCTGATATGTCATTGCATAGAATAGAACATTTGCCTATATGAGAGTATATTAATTCTAATTGTAAAATGTCTGTAAATTGAAATTGAGTTGAAATTCCGTCATATATTGAAAATTCAAGTATTAAACTATCATTAGAGACTACTGCTGAAATCTCAGCAGATAGTGGAACAAAACAAGATGTCTTTGATCCTAAATCTTCAATAATAAGAAAAGATCTAGAAATTTTGTCTGATATATTAATACGAATTGAGTATTGTTTGCCATTGCTCATTGACTTTGCAGTTGAAGAAATCCATGGTTGCGATTTTTCAATCGCCGCTCGCATTTTCGAGCGATGTCAAATTTTATGAATTATATTCTACTTTATTTTTAATACCCTTTCTCTTATATTCATATTGAAATTTAAAACGGATTTCAGAGCAATTTTATGAATTTAAAATTATTTCCGATATCAATTCAAAAATTCAGAACAAAACCTGATGTATACGGAAAGAATATTATACAGATTTTATACAAATTTGATTTATATAAATGGAATCAAGCCTTGCAAAAGATATACAACAAATCAAAAATGCAATACAAGGATACAAAACCATATTAGATGATATGATATGCAATTCTTCTTCATCAGAATCGTCAATTCAATTAGGAAGTACGTTTACGCCTGTGAAAACAGGCTCAACGATGAGCAAATCACCTTTTAAACCAACAACAATACTAACGTATTATAGTTTACCAAACAATGAAGAAGAAGAAACAAAGCAAGAAGTGGATACAAAAGGTTCAATGCATTTTTCTGAAATTATGACAAGCGATGATGATGAGGTTTACGGAAATATTGAAGGTACTCCTATAAGTAGAAAAGAAATTCTTAAAAGACACAATAATTTTCTGAATTCAACGCCAAATCAAAAGACTGGCAATTCAACACCAAGAATCAATAATGACCTCCAAATAAATGATATAATTTCTCCATCAATTAGAAACACACATGAAAATGAAATTGATAATATTCTACTTTCTTCTGATGACATGAAAATGTCTCCAATTATTGATAGTACAAAGAAAAGAGTTCACACCCCTAATAATGCTCAAAAATTAACTCCAATTTTGAAGAATAGAAGATTGAAAGCTTCTCCAATGATTCAAATGGCTCTTAATTCATCAAGTGATGATTTCGAAGATGAAATTAAACTCGATGACGATGAAAAAATTGATATTCCAATAAATACAAGAAAAGTTAATATAATACATCCAAAATCTCCAACAATAGCAAGAGGAATGAACAAATCTCCTATAGTTTCACCTGCTACTAATGATAGCGATGATGAATATTTTAATATTTCACCAATTAGAACAAATCCTAAACAAACGCTAGATTCATCAAATATTAGTCCAATATTAGCTAGCAAAGCAGCATCGCCAATGGTCTTAAGCGATTCTGATAGTGATGATGAAATTCTTCCAAAATATCAACCACCAGAAGCAGATAAAGTAGAAAAATTATCAGAAGTCCAGATTTCACCACCTAAAAAGGAGAGTACATCAGTTTCTTCCTCAAAAATCCAATTTAGCAAACCAATTTCATCAATTAACTCACCAGATCCACCAACAATTGAATCAATATCATCTAGCCTTGCAGAAAATGCTGACTTTGACGAATTCCTTAAGAAGCATCCAATTGTTAGGAATGCAAATGATCCTTCTGAAATTAATCTTTCAGATTTCGAAGAATCCGAATCAGAGGTTCAAATAGATATAACTGAATCATTACCTGATGAAAATCATCCGAAGGAAGCAAATCATCAAATGATGAATGATTTAGATCATTTAACTTCAGATTTAGATTTAGATGAGATAGATAAAAAGCTTGCAAAACTAGCATTGGATGATGATTAGAAATATTTTGAATTTTTATTTTATTCTAAGTAAATGCAATGCTTTCTTAATGAATATTATGATAAACCTTTATGATTGTTTGATTGTCTTACAAAAAAATTGATTCCTGCTTGATATTTTGGATCACAAAAACAAAAGAAAATGATTCTTATAACAATGGGAATTTCCTTTAGAGTTTTTCGAGAAGCTGAATAACAGGATCCGATCTCACAAGTTTTTGAACATCAAATACATGCTTTGAAACTATTTCTCAAAGCCTTGCTGAAGGAATATATGTTCTGAAGAAATTATGATGTAAATAAGTAAATAAATTTCATCCATAATTTAGATTCTATTGATCAAAACAAATATCATTTGATTGAGAATTCACTCGGACCGAACAATACTAGTGACAATATTCCATCTCCAACCAGGGCTGGTGGTAGCGACTTGGATCTAAAACCAAATGTGATTGATATTGCAGATCGAACTATGCAAAGCTTATACAAAATCTTAACAATTGCAAGATTATTGAAACAAACTTTAATAAAAAATAATGATCTTATAATTATCTAAATATTTGGCTTTGGATATTTTACAATTTATTCAATTGGTATAAGTAAGTAAATGCTTCATTTAAACAAACAAAGTAGAAAAACTTTCAAATGACAAATGATCTCGAATGTCAAAAAACTGTGTGACGCTGTGTGGTTTGAACATTCATCATTCAAATAATCTGTTTCTCAGAAAAGAAATGGGATCAAATGTTGCACGTTAAATTTTTTCTCGCGATTCAAAAAATTTTTTAGATTTTAATTTTTTTATGAAATGTAAAGCGCATTTTCTCTGGTTTCTTTATATATTAAAGGATAGATGCGAAGACGAAGAAGCCGCTGATATATGCAACAATCTCAACGAAGATAGCTATGATAGAATATGTCAATTCGTTTCAAATTTAAATAATTACGTTAAATTGACATGGTATATATTTGAAGTCAAAACAGATTCACCATTAAAGATCCTACATGAAAATGGGTATTATAAATACGGAGATACGTCTTTATTTACTCAAACCGAATTTGACGAGATTTCATTCATCAACTTGATAGAGTGCTATATGTGGGCAAACTTAGATAGACGAATACCAACTGATTTACTAGTAAAAACGGTCGGCAAAGTGAAAATTTTCGCTTCAAAAGACCCAGAAACGATTCTTTGTATGGATCAACACTTGTTGTTATACATGCACAAAATTACGACAAATTCAATCAATATCACATGATTTCATCGGCTCAAACCATTTTCGAGCACTTTTATATTCATATATTAAAGATGAATCGCTTTTGAAGTTCGCAAATCCACAAACTAATGCATATTTCTCTTTGAATACATGTGCTTCATACGGATTCCATAAATACTTTGAGCCTGAAGAATATCGACAATCGCCACTTGTAATTATGTGTTATTTAGTTGATATGATTAAATTTTTAGATGAGCTCAAGCCACGCCCCGCTCCACGCCCTGTTTCTCAATTAGATGTCCAGAAAATTAACAAGAATATTGCTGAGACTAAAAAAGAAGTCGAATCTATTAAAGTTCGTTGTGGGGCTCTTGCAAATGACATCAGTGTTATTACTGCACGCATTTTAAAGATGAAAAGAGCTTCATCAACATTATGTACGGTTAGAAATCGTATGACACCAGGACACAATGAAGATTCGGCCATAAATGGTCTTCCAATACTTAACGTCAACTTAGATGCAGAACCAAGACCAAAATCTGCATTAAGAGTCAAATGGGACATTCCTGATGAAATAATGTCCAGTCATAGATCTTCTGTGGAAAGTGGACAACCACAAAAAAGTCCTCAATCCGCAGATTAAGAATTTTTATCACATTTTGTTATATTTTATTTTGTTTATAATTTTTTTTAATTTCTTATAAATGCATCAAATCTTTTCTAAATAATGGGCCTAAATAATAATCAAAATTACAAGAATAGAGTTCGAATAAAATTTATGAAAAATACGATTTTGGTTTTTTATCTGTTTAAATCATTGATATCATTATGATGATTCATATTGATGATATTCATGAATTTAACATAAATGAATTATATTGAGTTATATTTTCAATTTTGTAAATTGTGATTTTCTCAATATTAACCAAGAAAATCTCAATTGGGGCATTTGTTAGGTAGACTTGAACCATGAAAATGAATATAAGATCTTTAATTAACAATAGATTTTTATACAATACATAACAAACATTAATATAATCAATTATATTCCAGCATCTTTCAATATAATTGCGCCTTTTTCATTAATTGCTTGTGAGATTTGCAATGTTGTGTCAATTGCGACAAATTTATTATCTTTAATAGTATAAGGACTATACTTCTTTCCTAAGTTTGTTTCTATTATTGCCATTAAGTCTGAGACTACCAATTCTTTTTCTACTTTGATAAGGAAAGGATTTCCATAATATCTTAGTTTTTCATCGCATTTAGAGAAACATATTTTAACCAAGAAACCTCCTCTGTTTATCTTGATTTGATCAAATAAAATTGGCTGTGAAGTATCTGAAATTGATGTATTTTCATCAACAAAAGAAGATATTCTGTGCTTGTGAACTATTACAGGTATAATTTCCTTTGATTCTTCAAGAGCAATTATGTTAATAAGAAGATAAATAGGTATTCCATTTTTGACAAAAATTGTTTTGTTTTCAATCACCTTTCCGAGTTCAGCAATTTTATATTCAACTTGAGCTAAATGTCTGTAGTTTTCAGCACTAGATTTCTTGCAAACTGTGAAACTGATTTCATTTACAGAATCAAATGATAATTGTTCATTAAGAGTCTTTTCTAAATCTAATACAATCAAATTACTTGGATTAGAATAAGGGAACAAAATAATGACATCTTCGTCATCGTCATAATTTTGAATATCGAATGTAGAAATTAAGAAATCAAAGAAATTATCATTACTTATATTTGATGGAAAAGCAATTGTTTCATATTCTGTATTTCCTAATTCATCAAATTGCTTGCATTTGATTTCAACAATATTTCTTTCTTCTTCAACATATTTACTGACATCATCAGGAAAAACAGAGTTCTCCAAACGTGTTGAACAAATAACATAAGGATTTGTCTTATAAGGAGGTCTCTTTCTCTTGTAATCATTGAATAATTTAGCTGAAAGTGGTTTGACAGCATTTGCAACAATAAAAGCAGATTTTCCTTCAGCCAAAAATCCGATTTGTTCTTCAGGACTCGCTTTAGAAAAGTTCTTGTTATGAATTACATATTCAATTTCATATTTCCTAATAGAAGGAATGAAATCTTCGATGACTTCTCCAATTTTCTTTTTAATGGAAATAACTTGACTTCCTTGCAATCTCAAAGGATCATTCATTGATGGATCATAAGTATAAATGAATGCTAAAATATTATCAAGTTCTTTCGCTTCATCAGCTTCTTCCAATTCAAAATCGTTATCAACAAAAATACTATTAAAAGTTCCAAATTCTGACATCAATTTATTGCCATCGGTTTCGATGTCCAAGTATTTTTGCGGGAAACCATCTTTCACGGTCCACAACCTTGAGAAATCAACAGATTCCCCGATATTAGTTGAAATAGTTTCTGACAAACTTTTGAGGGTTGTTTTCTCAGGAACAAAATTAGGAATAAAAGATTTGCAACTTTCAAACCAAGCTCGACTTCTTCTTGCATCACTTTCCAATGAATCTTCTGTATAAATTTGCAAACTTCCAAGAGGCATTTGGTTCTGCTGAATAAACTTTCTCTGCTTGAAAGATTCGCTGTTTTGAATAAGACTCAAGAAAGTTGATTCTGATGAATATTGCGGCTTTTGCAAATTTGGAGGAATTACTTCATTTGGAACATCAATAAATATTTGGTCAAGTAAGTCCTTCCTAACATAAACCAAAATATAAGCAGAATAAATTTTCTCAATAGTACTTTGTGCATTTGGTAGTCCGCCGAAATTATCTTCAATTGCTTCTTGTGAGTTACATTTAGTAACTTCTGTATCATTGAATTTTATCCATTGGTCACTTTTTATATTTGGTCGGATGAAGTCATAGTAATGACCAAAATCAGGGTTTCCTGAATGAACAATAACTTGTGTCAAAACATATTCAGCAGTTTGCTTTTCATAGCAATATTCAGACAAATCTAATGTATCTTGGAATTCAAATTTTGAATAGATTTTATGGTTTCTTTGAGAATTCTGATCGTATTCAAATCTTTGTAAGTGAATGGACAAAATTTTTGGACATTGCATGATCTTCATTCCCATTTCTACATCTTGCATTCCGTTCTTTTCTGATTTATATTCATTCTTTAATATTTCTGTTTCAAAATACTTTTTCAAACTTTCTTGTATATTTGACACTCCATTTACCATGAGACTTAAATCCATAAAAGTCTCTATCTTCTCTGATTTTTCATCAACATTAATGCAATTAATAAAATGTACCATCTTTCCATCATAGAAATATTTCGCAATGTCTCCTAAACTCGTCATAACAACATCAGAAAATTCATGAATATCTTTTTGAATCAATAAATCATCAAATGACATTTCTAAAGCATCTGTTAAACAATAGGTTCCTTGACTAAGCTTGGACAACTGAAGACCTGCTAATATTTGTTGTAATGCACTATAAATCTTGTTCTCAGAATCTGATTTTTCAAAAACGGTTTTTCTCAAAAGTGGAATATGAAAAAGTGACTGAATTAAAGCATTCATATAACAAGTTGAACCTTGATTCACTAATCCTACATATTCGTCCTTTCCTTTTTCTACTTCTTTTGAATTTTCATTTTTTATTTCTTGAGTGTCACTTTTTTCAATAGATTTTTGCAAAATTTTTACGTTGAGAGAAATTAACATTTCATCATTATATATATAAACTTGATTGACGAGTTCTTCCTGAGTTAAATCGAACTCAATTTTAGTTTTGTTGTTTTCTAAAGTTACTTCCCAATTAATCTTTTTACTTAATGGTTCATCATTCTTTCCTAAACTTAATATTGAAGCTGTTATTTCACTATATACAGGCAATTGGCCATCAACAAATTCAACATTGATATTGAATTTTTCCTGATTATTTGGACAGATCTTAAACATGAAGAACCGACTGGATCTCATGCTGACCATCTCGGTTATTGTTTCTCTGTTCGAAAAATTTTCAATCGACCATACAGATTCAATAGATTCTATCTCTTTTTCCTCCATTTAAATGCTTAACGGTTTTGAAAAGTGACAAAATTTGATGTTTGCCAAATTTTGATTATTGCCATTACAGATGTTGTACATTAATGCAATACTTCATTTTTATTTTAATTTTCAAAATATGTCCTTTACTCTGATTTTTATATCGTTGACGATAGAAAAACATCTCACCTTTTATTGATTCTTCAAGTGGTTCGATATTTGATTAATGCTTAGCAATATATACAGATATCAGAGTAAAAAGAAATAATCTCCAAAATTGAAGTGTTATAAAATGTAAATTCTTGCCATTGTAAACTATTGAATATTTTGAATGATTTACATGGTAAACTTGGTTTTATTCCACGATAAAAATGAAATAATTTTAAACATATATCACATTGCAAAATATTTTTTATAAATTTACCTAAATTCAATACTTTGTCAGAAAAAGTGAAATTGACAAACTTTCAATTTTCATAATTGAAGCTTCCAAAAGTTTGAGTAAGATGAATTCGACTATGCTCTATGTGTAATCAGCTATCTTATATAATCTTCGATGATTTGAATAAAATTGAAGGGATGAACTTCCTCATACTATCAATATGTCATCATTTCTAAGATATATTGTGAATAAATTTGAACATTATCTTATCGAAACAATGATTAAATCTTGAATATTTTTCCTGATTATATTTTTGATGAAAGATCATATAAATAAAACAATGAATGGGTTGTACAAACATAAAACAAACAAAAATTTACAACATAGTAAAAATTATCATAAATAACAAAAAATATAAAATAAATTAACAAAATTAGCGAAAAATAATGTCGCAATCTAATAATATGATATCAACTCTAACATTGTTTTCCTAAATTAGAAAAATTCTGTAAAAGATGAAGCAATAATTATAGATTTTCCTTTATCAGAGACGAAATATCTCTGACTGAATGTATCTCCAGTTACTGATATCGTTGTTTCCTTTGCACGAGATGTTGCCGCTTGTCTACCAGTGAATTCAACTTTTTTGAAGAAATCTTGCAATCCAGGCTTTTCATCCTTAGTTATTGTGCATTCTCCGCACTCAAACAGCATCTGTGCCGCATCAGGACATCTCGGGAACTTCGTCAACAACGAATCTAAACAAGATACAACGAATGCCAAGTCTTCTATAGCTTCTACAGGCTCTACACACATAGTAGCCAAATCATTCATGGAAGGAGACTTAGTATTCCTATATCTCCTGTCAAAACTCAGAAAAGCTCTGTTAACTCTTTCAATTTTTTCAGAAATTTTTGGTAAAACTCCGAATTTCAAGTCAAAAAGAGCTTGTTCCATGCAGATAACAATTATCTGGGGTAGTATTTCACCAGGAGCAAGTGTTTCCAAGTAATCCAAAGCCAGTTCGATCTGTTCTAAAGAATCAAATAATCTTTGTTGTTTTCTGGCTTCGCAAGGCTTCGTACTATCCCAGACTTTCTTGTATTCGGGGTTGAATCCTTCCTTAACATCGTTAGTCTTAGGATCAAAGCTATGTGGAAAATACCAATGAACAAAATCCGAAAAAAGTGACATCGGATTCGATGCTTTGAAAGAAGCAATGTCCGATCTTAGTTGAGTTGCCTGCAAGAATATTCGGGAGTCATCATCTTCAGCGGATTGCTTGATCAATTTGTCGTCGGCGTCGAGCTGATCTTGAGTTCTCATTGGAATAACTTGTCTTTCGGGAGTAACGATGAATCCTGGGCCATTAACAAGAGGAATGGTTGTTTCACCATCAGATTTGATAAAACCTGATTCTGGATTTTTAATACAATAGTTAATCATCTGCAATTTTTGATAAATCACGCAATACTGATAATTTACGCCTTCTGTATCTACGCTTGGTATAAGAATCTTACGCTCAGCATTATGACGTACTTGTTTGACGAATTTATCCCATAAAAGAGACATTGTTTCGACAGTTGGGTTTTTACACATTTCTATTGAGAGTTTTGCTAATGAGCTACTTGGTGGTGCACCGTGGAGTGAACATTTGAAACTTCTAGGTGCTTCTTTCGATGAAAAAATGCTATTTATGATTTGATTTGCATCTACAGCGTAAGGAGGCGTAATTGCGTCTTGTATAGTTGGATATGTCCATACTGTATGTAATAAAGATATTAAATCACGTAATCTCGATTTCCTTGTGACTTTTTTTCTGAATTTTGATTGAATTGCGAGATGTGAAGGGTTTGTTACATCTGTTTTCATGCTGTCTATCTTTGTCTCATCGAATACCAGGAATAACTTCAAGAATTTCACAGGATCCTCTGTAATTTGGGTGTAAAATGTGTCTTTTTTGAATAAGGTTCCATTTCTGAAATCGTACTCATTCAAATTCGATATGTATCTGGCCGAAACAAGAATTTTCGATGGGTCAACTTTGAATTGATTGACAATTGAAGTTTTTATTTTCGTTTGTGAACGAAATTCGGCGGGCATTGACTCATAAAATGAAGATTGGAAATGCTCTATCTCTGATTTCGTTCTTTTGATACCTGCGAAGCATAGTTTTGTTTGATCATTTTGAATTATTATTGGAATTTCAAATGACGTAGCAATAGCAGCATTACTCAATGCAGAATTTAATGTATGAATATCACTCTCTGTTAATTGTCGATCTTTATTATATACATATACATAATCTGTTTTGATGCCAAATAATTCTGGAATTGCATAAACGTATTCTTCATTATATGCTAATATTTCAAATATTTCCTCTGGGATATAATAGTTTTTTGGTATGTAAATTAATTTATACGTTTCATTGAAGATATTGATTTTTTCTGACGTTTTTTGAATAGGATTTGGAATCCATTTCCTAAAAATATTTTCAATACCATTGATTCCTTCCTCAAGTGGGGTTGCTATTGAAAAATCACTCCAGAACTCCCCGTGGTCCAGGTGTTCAAGAGTTTTCATTGAAAAGTGACAATTTTATATTGGATTTTTTATTGAAATCAAAACTATCACTATCTGGTGTTGAAATTACGATCATTGATTGAAAACCGTTTATTATCTTTGACGAATTTTTATCAAAATTTATTGAAAATTTGAGACTTATCGGAAACATAAATAAAAACTAAAATGAAATTATGGATTGATGCTGATTATGATATGTTATAGTTCACATTCCAATATAAACATTCTAGAGGGTCATGCATTAAAGAAGAGAACCGAAATAAACTAGAAAATATATAAATATGAATATTGATTGAAAAGTATGTTTTTACTTATTAGTTCATTGCATGCTGAATCAACTTGAAAGCCAATGATTATGAAATGGATAAGGAAGTAAGGCTAAATCATATCCTTTCGTCCAGGATCGTTTGACAAAAATTTTATCATTTAAATGGAGAAAGATCAGGCGTCCGTTTATAAATCTGATGAAGAGCGGGAGCTAGATAACTTTTGCCAATTAGAAGAACAACTAATGGCAGAAGAAAAAGAATCAGGGGTTTCAAATTCAGACTCGAAATTAGCAATTGAATTTCCAGATACATTTATTCATACAGATGGCACAGTACACGACGGAAAAGTATCACAAGATACACTTAATAGATCCGAATTGAAAGATATACTTCCAGAATTACGTCAAAAATTAACATTAGTTAGAAAACGAGAAGCAGCATTACTTCGTTCCGAAAACTGGGTTCAAGCCGAAAAGGATCAACTTGCAAAAGATAAGCAAAAGTTAGAAGAAGAGAAAAAAGCAAATGAAGAACTCATTTCAAAATTAAAAACGGAAAATGAACAACTCAAGAAACAATTAGAAGACGAACGCCTCGGGTGGAAGGAAGAAAAGAAGACTTTGATTGACCAACTTGATAATTACGAAAAGAAAGGCAAACACAAAGTTACTTTTGTTACACCTGATCAAGATGAGCATCCAGAAGAAGAAGAAAAAGCTCAAGAAGAAACAAAAGAAGAAGAGAAAGCTGAAGAACCAGAAAAATCAGAGGAAGAAGAACATAACGAAATTGTTGAAGAAGAGAAACCAAAGAAAGAAGAGGAGGAAGTTCCAGAAAAGCCGGTATCAGAGCCAGAACAAGTTGTTCCACCAGCTCCTGAACCAAAACAAGCTCCAAAAGCAAAACGACCAAAAATTTATAAGATTACTGTTGGTGAAAACTATATACTTGATTTCGATTACAATCCTGGATCAGTATTTAAAGAAGAACTAAAGAAAGGAGGTCGAAAGGATGTTAAATACAAAGATGGATCAACAGGAACAGTTTTCAAAGATGGAACAAGAAAGGCTATCAGAGAAATTAACCGCCAAAAGAAAACATACATATTCTATGCAAATCAAGATATATCTATTGAATTTCCTGACAAAGCGATCGCATATAAATATAAACAGACAGGAGCTATTGAGCTAACTGTTCCAGATGGATGCATATACTATTTGTTCAAGAATGGGCAAAAGGAAAGACACTATCCAAATGGAAATAAAGAAGTTCAATTTCCAAATGGAATATTTAAGATCTTAAGGAATGATGGTGATACAGAAACCCACTATCCCGATGGAAAATGCGAAAAAGTTACCAAAGGAAAGTTTGAAATCACGTATGAATATATCTAATCTGTTATTTGTTTGTGAATTATAAACAGAATGTTAAAATTCTTAAGCTAAATCTTTATTCATGCTTTTACTGTATGTTTTCCATGGAAATACCCTACTTTTCCAACATTTAGAAAATATGAACTACATGACGAGATAAATCGATTTCTTATGTTCCTAAATTTTCTCATTTTTTTTTTATAGATCCAAGGTGAAGTCATTTTTCTATCCCCGGGATAGACGATACACCCAAAACGTCACCTTTTTTGGGATTCTGTTTTTTTTAAGGTTCTCGCTGGCGACCCCCCACGTTCGTCGAAAAAAATTGGTGATTGGGGGGTCGCCAGCAAAAATCAAATTTTTTTTCGACGAACGGGGGGTCGCCAGCGAGAACCTTAAAAATAAACCTCTGAAATTTTAAAAAAGAAAAAAGTGTGAAAATCCCCTTGATTCGAACCAATGGACTTTACGATTATACTATGACTCTTACCATTGAACTATGACTCTAAGGGTTCGAAAATTTATTTGGTGATAATATAAACTTTAATGAAAAATTAATCAGATCAATTTAGAAATATTTATTTCATAATATTAGGTCAGGTATGAGGGGCTTCCAGGGGCTGCGCCCCTTCTAGCCCTAAGAATTTTGCCCAAGACCCAAGAGGAGGACCGAACCCCAGCCGACCAGCCGGTGACAAAACCAAAACCGTTTTTTAAAAGTGACAGACAACTCCGTTTTTTAAAAGTGACAAAACCGTTTTTCACTATATAAGAGATATGCAAACAAAAAAGTGACAGCCGCATGTTTTAAACTACAAAAACCGTTTTTAACTTCACTTAAAATGCCACGTAAGCTACGTAAGAATATACGTAAGAGGAAGGAGCATTGAAACATCCAATAGTAAAACTGACACCACAACAACAGTTGCAACAACAAATGATGAATGACCCCACTATGTTGCAACAAATGTCAAGCAACCCTATGCTTTTAAACCGAGTTATTGGTGCACAGAGTGGAGGTTTAAGAGCGGCACTTTTAGCGAAAATGGCAGGCTATGGTGGAGCTGCAGACGGAACAGCTTATAACCCTCAAAGTCAAATGAATTGAGTTCACTCAAAAATCAAATAACAGATGTCAAAAGTCAAACATAGACATACAGAAACAAATAAGCGAAAACGAAAAGAAACTAGAATATGACAGACACACAAAGAAACTCAATGAGTTAAACGTAGAGAAAAGAAGAAAGAAGAACAACTGAAAGAACTAAGTACAGAGGAATATGCGAAAAAAAGTGTCAGAAAAGCAGCAGAAGTAGCAAAAATGGAACAAGATGTTATAAATTTGAAAAACCATACTACTCAATATAAAGTACTGAAAGATGAAGAAATAAAACAAAAAGCCCTGAAGACATATATGGATAGCGATGAGTATAAAAATGAAGTTGAAGCAATGTAAAGGCAGAAAAACTTTTACAGTTGCAAAACCAAACCGTACAGTATGAAAACTTAGCACAAGAAAGTAAAAATAACGACGAAGCCATGCAAAAGGCAATGAAAAGCTCAGATATATAAGCTAATATGACTGGTTAGATGCCCAAGCCAACGCCAAAGCAGCCCAACTTATAGGGTCAATAAGGACAAAAATACAAGCGGATGAAGACAGTTCAAATGAAGCTTTAATGAATGCTGACTTTAAGAACGCCTTCGAAGCTCTTCATAGTAAGGTGAAACTAGTGAACGACTTCTCATCTGGAAAGAAACTGAAGTCTGAAGGTTTCGACAAGAGTTAAAAGAAGTAGCACAAAATATGACGAAAATAACAGATGCAGCAACGAGACAGGCAGTTCAAAGTGCCTATGACGCCGTTAGAGCAACTGTTGTGGAAAGTCAAGAAAAAGAGTTACAACAGACCAAAAAGACCTAGTAAATGCTTTCTTAAAAACGAAAAGTCAGGTAGGACATTATGCTGCAGATGGAACATATGTGCCAGCTGGTGGAACTTATATACCAGCTGGTGGAACTTATATACCAGCTGGTGGAACTTATATACTAGCTAGTGGAACTTATATACCACCAAACTCTCCAAGAGAAGCACCTGCACCAGGACTACCTAAAACATTTACATCGTCACATGGACACAGACACAGGCATGCACCAAAACCAACACAACAACCAACAGTTCAAAATCCAGCACCACAACCAACAGTTCAAAATCCAGCACCACAACCAAAACCAGCACAACAACCAACAGTTCAAAATCCAGCACCACAACCAAAACCAGCACAACAACCACCTCCACAACCAGCACCACAACCAAAACCAGCACAACAACCACCTCCACAACCAGCACAACAACCACCTCCACAACCAGCACAACAACCACCTCCACAACCAGCACCACAACAACCACAAACAGAGCAAGGACATAAAAGAAGTAGAGAAAAAGGAAACCAAGAATTCTTAAAAATGCTTAAGGAAAATTATAGTTACCCAGATACTCTTGACTTTAGTGACAGATATAAAGAAGCTATTAGAAAGTTCAAGGAAGGAAATACTGACCCGAACCTATTTAGCTTTATGGTTCAGCACCAAATGGGATATAATTTCAAACCTGGAAAATACAAGCTCGCTAAGGGATATGATTTAATAGCATATCATCCAAATGACATGGATGAATTTACTCCAAGATATTTGGTGTCAGAGCTAAACGATAATTCAACTCTCTTCATGAAACGCGTAAAAAATAGAGACGGAACGAAGAAGAAAGGGTTATGAATGCGGATGACTTAGAAAGGGAATTTGTTAAAAACGGTCTCGGAATATATGAAATGCCAGCAGATGAGGTACAAGAAACTCAACAGGAAGAAGTTCAGATACAACCAGACATGGAAGAAATAGTTCAGCAACAACAGCTAGAAGAGCCTGAAAGGAAACGAACAAGTCCCTCCTTTGGAAACTAACTTCACAGAACTAGATGAAGATTTAGAACAGCCGAAAAATCTTGACCCTCAAACAAGTGTATGCGGAGAATATGGAATTTTCAAGAGTCTAAGAAAAATTCGGCTGACATAGTAGAAGAATATCGAAAAATGTTCACCGACATACAAAAGACTCCAACATCAGATGAAAATATTCAGCATAGAATGGAAGTACTGAAAGAAAATGTACGCAAATACAATAATCCTTTTTACTTACGACCATATAACGTTCAATCTTTGGCTGAACTCGGTGAAAATAAAGGTTAAATTTCAACAAAACATATAGAAATGAAACATTGTTTAAAGTTCATTCAGAACCTAACCAATATGGAAACAAACCTACTTTTGTTTCTGCAGACTATGGAACTACAATGAAATGGGGTCATAAAGCTAATCCGGATAGGTGGTTCATAAACTTACAACCTCAATTCCAAGAAGTTGTAGACGCAATGGAAGTGAATAGTGAACCAGATATAACGGGTATTTTCAGCGCGGCTTTAATGCCATTGAAAGATATGAAAGATGCAGATATTTTGGACCAGTATGAAATGAACATGGCTGAGGGAAATATAACACCTGACGTTCTAGAACATTTATCTCAAAGAACTACCCAGAACCATAGAGATGGTATATTTGGTGAAGAGTTTAGAAAGAAAGTTAGGGAGAGAGAAGGAAGAGAACCTATTGTACATGACCTTGCAAACGAAAGTTTGCAAAATGTCATAAAAACTTACTTTGCAGACAATGAACTGAGAAGGGATGAATATTTAAGAAAACTCAAATGGACAGTACCAAATGAAATGTTAGTATTGAAAAACATGTTCCTTGACAAAATAAAACCAACTACAGAAATAAATGACGCAAGACTGAAACATTGGGTAAAAGCTTTCCCATTCACAAAAGATATTATTGGTAACATGGAAAGAAAACCAGAATGGCTACAAAAACATATATTTGGAAACGAGCTTATTCCATATGGACAAGCTATATTTGAAGAGCTTGAACCGGAAACTCAGGAAAGAGTCATGCAAACAATACGCGAAGACTCAAATACAAACTATGACAAAATCTTTCTAGGATATAGGTTACCTGAGATGGGCGACCAGAGCCCAAAGGCAAAAGGGACATGGGAAATTTACAACATACTAGGTGAACATGAGGCAAAGATGCAACAACTTGAAGCAGAGGGCAAGTTACCAAAAGCGACACCAAAGAAGAAGAGTAGAACAAAGTGAAAGTAGTGAAGAAGTAACTTCATCTAGTGAAAGTAGTGGCAATGAAGGAAAAAGAAGAGTTAAAAACTCAGTCAGGAAGAAAGTAAAGCTTGGTCCGAAACAATTATGACATATAAATCCAACTATTCTATATTTTTTACCCATATGAAATGTACGCCGCTCAGAATATAACGCCAACAGTTTTGGATGCCATGAACGGAAATGTTTCTGAATGGTATAACGAATGCGACAATGCCATTAGAAGGTCAGAAATAGTTCCTGGAACTTACGAAATAACAACTGCTGTTTCTTATGGAAACGTAGGTGAGTTTGGAGAAGGTTCTTCAACAACAGTAGATATTGCTTGCGACAGGTTTCATATTATTTCTATTGACAACTCATTCTTATACGTGGAACAAGACATTGAAATAAAACCTTCTGCCAAGTTGTCTGACAAGAAAGGTTGCAATGGAATTTTCTATGTCGGATACCAATATGCTCCAGAAGTTTTCATGGGATATAAGATATATTCTAACTCTGACTTAGTTCAAACAGTAACATGGGCAAACTATGAATGGTTCGCTTTGAGAAACTCAGTACAACCACAAGCTAGAGAACAAACAGACCAGTATGCAACTATTGAGAAATAAGAAGACTTGACCCTAACGTTCCAGGAGTTTATGTTAACCTTTCTGACAAACTGCAGCAGCAGTAACCAAAGTAAAACTGAAACTTAGAGTTCCTTTGTCATCTTTCCTCATCTTCAGGTTTTTAAGATACTTGCCAAACTGGGCAGGAAAAATTTCTATCGAACTTACTCCAAGCAAAAATAACTTAGTCATTGCACCAACACAAGACCCATTCACTATTACTGTAGCTGGAACTGGTGGAGCCAAGTTCTGTGACTTTTGCAAAGGCGAGGTTGACTTAGACTTTGGTTTCTCAAACCTCAACACTGAAGTAAACTATTATTTCAATGCTGCTGGAACTGCTTGGACCCAGTTAAGTTCACATGCGAAAAATTTGAATGCAAGAGAATAGAAAGCAGACTTGCAGTCTATATGTTGGACCCAGATATTTCAAATGCTTTAGCTGCCAAATATATTGCAGTTCCACTTATGTTCCCTATACACCAAATATCTGTCAAAGACTTTGCAGGTGAAGTTGGAAACCAAAGTGCTGACCAGGTGCAAGAACAGATATTGCTTTAACAACTGCAATGAAACATGCAGATACTATGTTTGTACTGTTCAGACGAACTATAAATGACTATTCTTGTTTCTACAACCCTGGTATTAAATATCATATAAACATAGATGGCAAATATTATCCAAGAGAAGAATATTCTACAGTTGAGGATATGAGGTCATACAACTTGACATTAGATGCTATGAACTTTAACAACAACTTCACAACAACCATTAACCCTGAAATGCAAAGTTCTATTATGCCATATGTGAAAGTATGGACTCATACAGGAGGTCAACAAACTCAATATACAAATGGAGACCGTTCAAACTTTTGGCTTGGCATTCCATTTGCTGACTCAGAAGACTTTATGGTGGTATTTCAACTGTTGGTACTGTACAAATACAATATACTGGTGACAGAGACGGTCCAGATGAATTGAGAGCAAAGAAGTTTACAAAACCAATAGCACTTTTCACGGAAGATGCTCTTTTGAAGATTCGTTCGATGAAACCTGCTGGGGCTCCTCAGATTGGCATAACGACAGCTTCCATCGAGCAGATTTTGGCAGCAGGTCAGTAAGTTGTTCTTGAACTGACTTCTCTCCGTCAAATATTGACAGTACGCCAGTTTTGACATAATATTGTATTATAAACTTTCCTTTAGAAATATCTGTAAGTTTTGTTGTTATATTTTTGTCAACGTCAAGAACTTTCACCATTTCAGTTATACAACTTTCTTTGCTTTATGAAAATATTTTGGTTCAGCAAATATTGCTATTCTATAACATTTTCCATTGTTTGTGTAAAGAACTATTCTGTCAATGTATTTGTATTGTTTGTGTGTGTAAACTTTGTTCTGCTTCAATTCGAAGAGATATCCGAATACGTCCATCTTTTTATTCTAAGTAAAATGTCATTTCCGAAAAATAGAAGCGTAAGTGTTTCAAAAGGTTTAATGGCGGTGGCAGATGTGAAGTTAAATTCACCAACTCAAACAAACAGTCAAAGTGTTATTGTCAATGTCAAAGACAGAGATGTTGAAGTGGGGAAACCATACGAAGACGAAGATGGTATAACAATTGTTCCTGTAAAAGAACAACCAACATATCCTGAAGTTAGCAGAGACTTAAGTTCTGTTGCAGATATTCGAAACGACTACCAACAACTGAAAGACAAACTTCAAACTCAGGAGAAGATTTGTCAAGCTTTAAGTATAATGTTAAACTTGGTCGAACACAACCCTGTAAAAGTGAACTCATATGTCATTGCACCTCATGAAGTTTTGAAAGAACTATTGAAACTTTTGACAGAGGCAGACGATATAAACATCAAAGAAATAGAACCCGACATTAGTTGCTGTGGTGTTTCATATAATGTCATTGACAAGATATACGTTATGAAAGGAGTGAAACGTTGAACTTAAAGTATAGTTTCCCAGACGTCATAAAAATATTTGACGACCAACATTTCATTAAAATTTATTTGCTAAGTAAATGGCAGAAGATATAATGGTTTATACTATTACGACTAAAAACCCCGAGTCATATAATTCTATAACAACAAACTTACAAAGTCCTCAAGGACGATATTGTAAACTAACCTTAAACACAATGACGACTAAAGCCTGTTTTGCTCTTTTTGACACCAGAAGACTTTATTGTTGTGAATGGTAAAAAATACTCCTTTGAAGATACTTACTCAGATATACCACCAACAGGTTTTGTTGACTTATTTAATACTTTAAGTACGGGGGTAACATGTGCTGCAACTAGAGCAGGTTTCATTATGTTTGGATGTCCGACTGAGTTTACTATAAACGATATGAGCTATAATACAAAACTTATATCTGGTTTTTACTACCAACAGTTTCCTATAACAGGAAAAGGTGTCATACAAGGAATGTCTATTCCATTGACATTAAGCACACCAATCTTATATATTGTTTCAAACTTAGGTTCAAAGTGTTATTCGAATGTCGACAGAAACTATTATGACCAAAAGATACTTATGCGTATAAACAATACTTTCTCTGCTGGTTTGCCTATTGTTCATTCGAATGCAGAATTTTCAACCTTAGTGAAC